CAGACTATTGTAAAGCCTGCTGAATCCATGCAAGTACCATTGAAACTCTAGTTTTAAATAACAATTATAATTCTGCAAGTTTTATGAGATATGATATTACTCTGCGATAAAATTAAATCTCAAGGTGGAGAGACAAGACAATTAATACCTGGGATGGGAATTCATAATGCAATGAAACAGAATGAAGCGGCAGGCTACTACTGGCAACTGGGAACTTTTTACCGCACAGTTAAATTAGTTTTTCATAGCTAGTACAGCAGCCAATGTTATAACTCCGTCCTTAATTACAGCGGCCCTTTGTCTTATCTTCGCATGTGAGTAATTAATTACATTTGGTAATTAATTTACTCATAATGGCGGAGTATCGTTGTTGCGAAATAATTAAGCCATTTGTTAATTAAAACTCCCAAGTTATGACGTAATAGGCTAGCTCACTAAATTATTGCTGTAAGTTCATTTTGAAAGCAATAATTTTATTTCAATTCTAATATACTTTCGTGTTTCATCGATTTTCGTGCTGCTGTGATTGTTATATTAATTTGCTTAAATAAGATAAGGGGTTTGATATCGTTTGTAGCAATTAAGGATACAAAGTGGTCTTAGTTGGTTCATGTGTGGGTACTTGCATAATTATAAAATTATGTCTTAGACGAATGTGATAGTATTATTATACTATTTATAATTTTCTCAATCTTAGAATTTATAATAATTGCATTAATGTTTTAGTATAAAGTTTATATTTCCAGAGCCAGAAGAAAAGAAAAAAAAACTTTATGTTTAAATAATGAAACAGAAAAAGTGTATAGTAAAGCAAGCATTCAATAGTTAATTTTGCCATGTAAAGTTTTCGAATTTTGAAAACAAAACCTTTTCACTGATACCAAAAATCCGTAAGATAGATATAATAATTTGAAATTGAATACACCTTTTGTAAAGTCTGACGAAAACGATGGTAAGCATGTGCTAACGCCGAAGTATGTATCTACACTAAACAATCACTGAGTGCAACAGCAAACAAGAGTGTGAAATGTTCCGAACAGTTTACGGTTAGTTACGTTCAACTTACAGCACAACTTTGACTTGCTTTTATACAACCTTTTAGCATGTGAACACATCGCAAATAAAGCCTCCTGTCTAGCTTTGAGAGCAACAAATCATTAAGGCTCAACTTACGCAGTACCTATACTTCATTTATATCTACTGACTTGACTTTTTGTGTTCCGGTTTGAAGAGTGATATTTTTTATGTCATTGGAATGGATTGCAATTCTAATGGCAATTGGTAACCAACGAATGTATTACAAATCTCCGAATCATGGATATGACAAAATACATTACACATACCGGAACACAGCAAAGCGAGTGCTGATAACAGAATTCTGAGGTGTACATAGTTCCATTGTTTGATGGTGATGATGATGTTTTTACCCGCGACCATCGGAACTGAAGAGTGCGCTAAATAACCACTAAACTACCGAGGCCATCGATCCATTTTGTTGTAAATTGAAAACAGTTTTTCGACATGAAAATACGGAAATAACAATTCACAGAAAAATTTAATTTGAAATAACTGAAATAAAATTAAATCGAAAATAAAAAAGGAGCGCGTCAGGTCGCGACCGCAGAATGATGTATTAGCTTGTATCTAGTATTTTGTCCATGATTTTTTTAAAAACATTAATGTATTTATAACATCTTCATATCAAAATATACATATATATCATTACCTACTAAGAAACGTATATAAATATTTTTATTGTTTATTTTAATATAATTTTTTTCAAGTAATTTCTTTAAGATTTACAAATTGTTTGAAAATTTAATATCCATATTACTTATCATTTCATACCATAACTATGAACGCTAAACTTCATTGCTACAAAAGTTGAACTCCATTATATATCCCCATAAAAAATCATTCATATTTAACAAACCCCATTTCACAAAACAAGGACCGGAAATACGATTGTACCTACATCCAAATTAATACATTTGATTTAGAGATTCAAGTCGGTAACGTGGGTGGCTAAAAATATGTTTTCAATTATGAAGTGACAGAACCAGAGGGAGTATAGGAAGGAGTTGTAAACAGGTTGACGCTTTAAAAACCGATACACCCTTTGTGAATTTAATCATGTACGTAGATAAAAGCGTTATTAAACAGGATCTAGTGAGATTGGAAAGAGTTTCTCGTTACGACGCCGACGTATTGTGTTTGGCGACAGTATTTTCGCCATCATCTCTCATGATAGGAATAGTGAAGAAACAATTAAGTATATATAGCTAAATGAAGATGTGTTCTATGGGATACAGTTACCTAGATAAATCAGTATAATAATTGCATTTAATAATGGCAAGTAAGAAATATTCAATATTGTGTACTAAGCCGTACACTGCCGTGTCTAATGTACTGTTGTCATTTAGTATATAAGATCAATATTTTTATGTACATTTTGTCAGTCTTTTATCATCTGTAATATACATCGTCTCAACCGACAACATGGTATTATTACCTCGCAGAATATTCTATGGTTGTTTGCCGAATTCAACATCGTGTTATGGACGCCAAAAGTTGTTAACAGTTAACGAATCCAGTCGACACCAAAGACTATGCTTTAAATGTCTGACTGATGATGATCAATAAAACAAATAGTAAACTATCTATACATTATCCGATGTTGGACCATCTCGGTGGTCTAGCGGTTTATGATGGTTGCGGGTCCGATTCCTAACACGGTGCAAACATTTGTATTCATGAGTATGATTGTTTGTATCGGTCTAGGTGTTTTCTATGTACGTTATGTATCTATTTACAAAAAAAAATATCTAAATTGTAAATTTTCTAGTACCCATGACACAAGCTCTGCTTACCGTGGGACTAGATGGCGCTATGTTAATTGTTCAGGGTTATTCATTTATTTATTATTATCATCGAGGTAGACACACTGTCTGCTCCATTACATTTAAATACAAACAAAATATGAACGGTACCTTTAGAACGGCTACAATTTATTGTACCTGTCTTTGCCTACAAATCGTAAGTATATATTATTATGACAGCGGGAGGAGTTGTAATAAGTCTTTTACATCCCTTAGAATACGAACACATTGCATATGTGTCTCACACCACAATTATCAAAACATTTCATACAAAATATGTAAACGTGAAATACATATTTACTGGCAGTAATGCAATTGCTTTTGTCATATATATTCATGGACACTGAAAGGTCATTGGGCAGCTATACCCACGGCCTACAGAAAAAAATAGAGTAAAATTTATATAAACATCTCTAGTTTACGAATATATATATGTCGCATTAATGCAGACAAAGGGATTCAGACCAAAATATGAAAAAGAAAAATAATATATTAAGGTTTATTATAATAAGTTTTCGGACATTTTTATTGATTTCATAAACAATAATAATAAAATATAGGAAAATAAATAACTACAGCATTTTTACGTTTTATTCGATATAATCAAGTTTACGAATATATGTATATTTGACGGCCTCGGTGGTCTAGCGGTTTAACACACCGCCTTACTTCCGATGGTCGCGGGTTTAATGCCTCGCCGGCACAAAAGTTTATTGCATGTTTCGGATATTAATATTGGTTGTTTTGTTTATTGATTGAAATTATTTTATCTAAACATTCTATACATGCTCACTGAATAACGATTTAATATTTTCTTCTAATTTTTAAGCTCATGATTAATAAAAACTACATAAAATAAATACTTAACAATTTCACAAAATTTTATTTTTGTAGAAATACTTTTGGGTCAGATTTTGCCCAATTTCAAAAACCTTTATATATCATTGATATTTCAAACATAATATTAATGTTCATACAATGTTCACTATAAATTCAAACACCTGAGCTCTTTAGATTATTACATCCACGTTCAAATAAGACTAAAATAACAAAAGTATACTTATTTACCTGAAAATGAAACTTTAGTTCTCAGTAACCAGAAGAATAAAATACTAACCTATTAAATATAGCAGGCGATAAATAACTAATAATATACCGTAATTGCATCCCGAATTCCTACAGAAGCTCGTTAAGTCAGCGAACAAACTACCTAACGTTTTTTTGCTAACTTCTCAAGAGATTTCGCCAATTCCGCAAAAAGTCGCTAACGAGTGCCTTAATTCCGCCAGAAGTTAGCCGTTGGGGCACCTTCGTGGCGTCAGTCTCAATTAAATGTTGTTCCGACAGCTATCCACCACTAGGTGGCGCTGCTAGAAACTTCTCCAGTTATTGTCACCGATAGCATTGGTAGCAAAGTAACGTAATGTTTAACCATTGGCTAAATTAATTGAAGATAGTGAAGGCGAAGTTCCACAACAAAAATAACCGTTCCGTACACTGGAATAGGTAAGTTACACAAAGTAACACCAACATTTTAAAATATATATATATATATATCTACGCCCTGGCTATGTAGATGGTATGAGATAAATTAAGCATATTAACAGAAATTATGTAGTAACCAAATAAATTTAAAAATTATATTCAAATGTACTAAGATATTTCTATTCCTTCCTACTAATTTTATAAATATGTAAAACGTTTATATATGTTAGTTAGTAGTAGTTATATAATTATAATATATAACAATCGATGATAATTATGGAATATTTCACTTTAAATTACGCGAGTCACGCCGCGGTATGCAGTATTATTTAGATGTTGCTTGTAAAAAGAATCATCAAAATAGACAAATAATAGTTTACCGTATACCCAAAAATGGAGTAAAAATGAGAAACTTCTCTTAAATAATGCCGGTCGAAAATTTATTCTCAATATAAATTGATATTATAATGTACGTGTTATATTAATATGGTATTTACATTGTGTTTCATTAATATCCCTGATATTATTGTTGGTGATAAATGAGAGCATTATACTATCAGGGTTGTAAGCCTGCGGAGTTGTAAGCCCACGTGGCACATAGTCATTTAGTGGAGTGACCCAGTTATTTTGTTGCAGGGTGTGCGCAATGTTTCTGCCAGAGTTCGCAAGTTTCGTCGCCGCCATCTTGTTCGCTGTACATCCCATACACACAGAAGCGGTAAGTGAACTTATTACAGTTTAATGATGAAACAACCCAACATTTCTACTGAGATTATGACCTTCAAATCTCTTACCAAAAGTTTTGGAGAAATGTCCTTTTAACCACTTAGGTGTGTACGAAATGTTTTATCAGTTAAATCTCCCTAGTCACAACTTATTTCAAAGTTATCTATCTTCAAGAGTAATCTCTGCGGCGTATTTAGTATTTTAGAAACTATTAGGAAACAGTTACCAACAATAAGACTGTAAATAAGTAAACTTGTTCTGGTTTGTTATAGTACGAGTACATATACAACAACAAACTACAATACAATTTGTGCTATGTTATTACAAGTTCAAATTATATTGTACTTTGCTGTCTACCAAGTTTTTATAAAAAATAATACGCCCACATGTCTTCTGTACAACAACTTATTAGTCGTTCTAGGATGTAAGTATATCTTATATATAATATATAATAATATTATTAAATATATATTTAATAGCTTTATATAATGTTTACTATGTAACTATAATATCTTATCTTACCAATTGCCAAAATGGACCTGATTTAAAATTACATTTCATGTAAATGTACGTTATAAATGTAGCAATAGAATAAGAATACATTTTTATTTTCTCCACTGAAATTTTTAAAGGTTTCATGAATGGCCTGCCATTTCTGCAAAGCATTTAAAATTTCAGTTAATATCTGTCCACAAAATTAATCGGCTAAATAGAATTACCGCCGACAGATATTTTTATCTTTCTGTTATATTAACTTTGCCTACCTTCAATTTATCGGGAAAAATTCGACCAGCTATATTTGGAAACGTTCCGTTTATTGATGTTCATTAAGAACTTTTGCATTCAAAATCGTATATTGGTTTCACCATTTTTTATTATTTTTATTGAAAAGCATTAATATGTAAAGTAAAATAGTCAGTAAAGTGTAATTACAAGCAAGATATCATCAGAGGTAAGAATATAGATACATTAAGGAATGACATGGTAAAACTAGAAGCATATAATATGAACTCAATGACAAAATACTGACGCTAATTTTCCATTATGTGTACAGCAGGTTATTTGACAAAAGTAGAAAAAATGTATAATTCGTAAAAAATATTATTTCTCAAATATATAAAGCAGACCATACTATTTGTGCTATGTTATTACAAGTTCAAATTTTATTGTACTTTGCTGTCTACGAGGTTTTTAAAAAAAAATATTTTTCAAATATATATAATTCGTAAAACCAATCAGAATATAATGACCAATCAGAATTTAATGAGCAGTCAAGTATTTGACATTATATAACAATATCTCGTATATGGATGATATAATGAATATTGTATAATACTCAATATTTTTGTAGAAATAACCATGGATATCGATAAAACATTTTAATTAGAAAATAGTTAATTTAATTATGTACATTCTACCATTAATGTGTTCCTAGCTTAACTAACATTTTCATACAGAAATAACATACTTATGTTATTATGTTATGCCAATGTAGCAATAATAAGCAAAGGCTTAACCTTTGCTTTATCGACTTGCATCCATAATCAAGGAGATCATTTTGAGCAAGATGTCTAACTATTATATTTTATCATTTTCCAAAGGCAGGTACAAAAATGCCTTAAACTAAACAATAGAAAACTTATTTAGACAAATGCAACTTTACCTCGACTTCAAGTAATACTTACCTTTTTCTTTATTTCCCGTTTTTGCTATTATTATTAATACCAATTTAGATAGCTGATTATATCATTAGCCTCTTAATATTATTTTTGACTAGACTTACTAAATTCCTCATAAATTTAAATTACAATTGTAATTTTTTTATAGTTGTATTAAATAAATACCAAAAAACTTGATTTACCTTACTAAAAACAAAAAACCTTTAAAATTCAAATATCTCGAAAGCTATTGATTTGATAGCATTTATCACGTCCAGGCAGGAAGTTACCAGTAACCCTGTATAATGAACGCGAAGTGCTTATGTTCTTAATAATTTTATATATAAAGTCAGGGGTGCTAAGCTTTAAATATTTAGCCTCGTAGGAAGATATAAAATCTTGCATATTAGCTTAATTTGGCACATTATTGTATTTTAGTACTTGTAAATCTCGGACTAACTTGTATGAGGATGAAAATGGCGTCGTACCAAAGGCCTTCTACTAGGATCCTCGTATAGTTGGCATCCCTGTACAGAATGTTTACAACTGCATGTAGTGACTGCAACTCTTTCTACAGCATTTTATATAGCATCGTATAAATCCAACTGTAACAGGCCACTCTGTCACCGTTTAACAGCACAATTCCTTTCTACGAAAAGTGCTTCTGCAACGGTGTCTCGAAAAGCGATACTAAAATTGAATCGGTTTGTTCACGTCCATTGGCCGGGAAATGAAGCAAGTGTTTCCTAATATAAAGCAAATATTTAACCTTGTGCTTCATGTTTGTATTGATAGCAAACCAACCAAAGCTGATCTAAACACTTTATATTTTGTCGTGTTATGTAATTTCCATTCAAACTCAAATTGTGTTTAGGTTTCTATATTATACAATAAGGATCAATGTAACACTGTATTGTACAATAAATAAATAGATAAATAGATTTATATAGAATCGCTTTTCCCTTTAATTTCGGGATAAAATTGAAAAAAGTTTACATTTACTAAAAATTCTCTCCCTCTCTCTGCTCTTCAATTGTAGGTATATTGATTGAATTTTATAACAAAATTGAAATTGGAATATTCGTTGTAAAATATTGTACGTGCATTCAAAAATACTTTTAGTTACTCTGTCTCTGTCTGACTACTAGTGACTCTGTCTGGCATATTTTGTTTTTTTAATTTCTGCCAGTAATATTCACATATATACCGTAGAGTAAAAGAGCATTGATATAAACTATATATACAAATTGCCCATTACAGAAAGTACTTCGACCGTCGAAGTGTGAAACAAAGTAATTTGATACAAAAATATTTTGGTAGAAAAACGAAATTAGTAAACAAAATGTACTAAACAAATTGTATTTCCTTCAAAATATATGTATGTGTTAATATTAGAATTCTGATCTAATTTATAAAATGTATTCAAATTACACATATCCAAAAGCATAAAATCGGAGTTATTGAGGCCATTTTATTTCCCCAGTAAATATATCCAAGTAATTCCACCTCGGGACTAACGTTTCATAAAGATATCCGTCGCAGTAGCCACTCGGTTTTATCGCATTGCACACAAGTACCAACGACATTGCAGCTTTACGTCCAGTCAGCTGTAAATTTGATGATCTTTAAAGTTCACCGTTTATGACCGTTTTCCAATTAGAAACAGTCGCTTCAACAAGGCCGTATTTTATATAGCGCATTATGTTCGTAATATCTTCAGTTCGGAAAACGATACACAACAAAATAACGTTTTATTATATATTTGTGTGCAATTAAAAGTATCAGAGAGAAGGACTTTATCTTCGACATTTCTCGAAGTTTGAATCCTACTTCGATCTCTTTGCTATCTTCAGCAATTTTCCATAACATTGGACTTTATTCTTTTCAAGTTTTAAGCTGTTAGTGTATTACAAAGATCGTTATTTTACTTGTTTATATTGTTTTGTTGTAGTTGCGTGGTAACGCAATATATTGTTTTTAAAATAATATCCCTTAATCATCATCAATGTGACAGTAAAACGAAAAAAATACTCCTGAGTTTTTGTGATATCTAGATGATTTTAATTAAGATTATTTCTATTCTAATTTCTATAAAATTCTAATGAATGAAAGGTTAGGCTGTTCGAAGTCGACTTTATACCAAGTCCTCTACGTGGGTACTTCATTCTCATCTATTTTATCCACCAAGCAGCTTGCTTTGTATGTCGATAAAGAGTAAGAATAGGCAGTGACATTACAAAATATGAGACATGGTATGTTAGGCTTCTGTAATGGTAACGGTTACTACTTTAAAAAAAGGCAGAACCAATTATGGCGGTATTATATCCTAGCGTCTTCCTAACAAAACCGTAGCTACGAAACATGTAGGTAAGAATATTATAATAGGAAAACAGAGGTTTTCTTTTCCAATTTCAAAAGTTGAACTATTTTATTCTCTGACTACTGTAATCAGACTAAGTGAATATATTCTGTAGAAATACAGTTTATAATGGTTCTCAAGGCGAAGGCACGTTGGTCTTACTAATGCCGCCTATATTGTACTATGTTTATTGGCTTGTTATGTCGCACGGTCGGCGCCGCTCTTACTCGCGTTGTCTACGATTTTACCGCTGTTTCAAATCCATTTATTTTTTAAAACCATTTCGAAAAGAAGGTTCTTTATATTGGAATATAAACAATATTGTTTGTCTATATTTTGTCTATGGTTCGTTATAGTTTTTTAAATTTCGAATACCTTTTGATACTATCTTACATAGTTACAATAGTACCGGAGCCAAAAGAAGAGAAAAGACATAGTTACAATAGTTCATGTTATAATAGTATTAAATAGTAGAAAGGGTATCTTCTGTTTAATTTTTATTATATCACTTTATTTTTATTCATTATTACGTAATGTTCTAGGTGAAGCTGTAAAGACTAGCTAAGGCCAACATCATTAGAATAGTTAAAACACGAAGTTATACCTACGCCTATTGTGATATTCAGTATTGTTTCTAAATTAAAGTGCATTTCTTCCTAAATTATAATAAGTATATTTTAGTATAGTATCAAACTTGGTAATTCATCTGAAATAAATACTAAAGATCTTGTAATTTCATATAGCTGTGACCTAATGACAAAAATTTTGAAAAATTGTACCTAAATTATATTACTCTTTTCCCATAAATTTTCCTGAAATGCACTGACATTTAAAGTTTAGAACTCATGAATATTGAGATCAGAGTACATGTACTCAACACCTAATATTAATAGTGAAATAATATACGTATTAAAATAATCATTTATCATTAGTATTAAATATAAAAGATCAATAAAGAGATAAATTCATATTATTATTAATGTTTTTATCGAAATTAAGAAATAATAATGGAGTTTCAATTGTAGAACACTGGGATGCTTGTCCTAAAATAAATTTCAAGTTAACCTTATTAAATTCCTAGTTAGACCCACGTCATGTTATTCCAACAAACTTTCAAAACTATAAAATTCCTAACTTCCGTTCTGGTGGTGGTTTATCGAAAACTAATGTTCACGGGGAAATATTTATATAGGGTATATAATCACACCACATCGACCCATGAACATCCCACAGTAGTGTTCAACCTACAAGAGGAGGATAATATGTTATCTATTGTTACTAAACAGGCCAAACAGCTTGATATAGTGATTTTTTCTAATTTTACAACTATTACGACATTCTTATGGAATAGAATTATGAGAACTGATACTATACGAAAACATATTAAGTGTTCTTAGTGACTTTTATTTCGGTATACTATTTTGCTATTAAAATATAAAAATCAAAAAAATTAAAAAAATATACCAAATATACTAAAGACTATTCTATTATTATATGTATTTATTATACTTATAGCTATAAATATAGGTATATTATTATATAAATATAATAGGTGTATATTTATATACCTAATATTTAATACCTACCATTACTAATACAAAAGTGAATTTGATTTCAATTAAATATCTTTTGTATTTTATACTTCTATTCAGAGTTATAAATAGAAAGAGTTTACGAATCAGAAACTATAGCAATGATATTCACTTTCCTCAAATACCAAAATGTTGTTCTATGATTATTTCTTATTTACAGGTCACTGGAGTGGTGGGCAGAGCAGAAATGCTGTCTTCACTATTCTTTCTGGGAGCCCTTCTGTGTTACGCACGGGCAGCAAATAGGAGAAGATATACAGGTATGTATGTGAGATTGTATGAAGCGATAATACATGAAATGGACAACGAACGAAAAGTAAGTACAGGTAGAATCCGGCCCGAGAGCGAGCAAGAATAAGGTAGAAAACAAAAGCCATGTGGAATAAGGTTCACCTTATTAAAAATAAAGAGAATTGCAGTAGAAAATAAAAATTAAGTACCATATGTATAAAAAAAGAATAAAAATGCTACAATTTAACATATATTACATATACAAGTTACCAAAAACAATTTCCAATAAAAAACACTGGAGTTAACGAGTTCGTTACATTGTCAAACAGCAACAAGTAAACCTTCTTGAAAATTGCTTGTTGAATGTTATGTACAACGACTTTGTTGACTATAATATACAATGTGGAACGAAACCGTGACATTGTTAGCTTTTAAATAACAATGTTGATCATATCCTAAATCCTATACGTTACAAGTACGATCGTTTTCCAGTTCGTCTAGCAAGAAATTTTTATCTTGTAATTCTAAAGGCAAACAAGCTGACGATCTGCCTGAGAGAAACCTAGTATATACTACTAATACAGGTGTAATACCTAGTTTAGCTTATCAGGGTTCTCATTTTGTTTTACTCATTTTTCTACTATTTGATTACCTACAACCAACTTCGCTGTTATGTATTGCTCCTTATTAAATGTAATTTTTCGGTATTTCAAATAAAGCATTATTATTACGAACAGAGCCACGTCATGTCATAAGGATATGTCCTGACATACATTGATATTCTTGAAAACGACGATTTCATAACCCCGTGCTCTGTAATTTTTTACTGCTATATCTTATTACTTAAAGACAACGTTAAAGGATTTGCTTGACAGCAGATATAATGTGAGGCACATTATATCTGCCAGTACAGTTGTCAGCCTGCCGATTTTTCTAGAACTTCAAGTAATCCAAGAGGTACAACTATCTTGAAATAATGAGGATTAAACAGGAATTATGTCAAGGCGAAGTTAGATACTTTAAACTTCCGCCCCTTCAACAACCTTGTTAGTATAAAATAAATCATCTTCTAGTTCACGCTAGCTATGAAATCGATAATTTACTGGGCACTTAATATTATTACCAGGATATTTTAATAACGTTTTAGTAAATATGTGTAACCAATAGCTTAAAGGAATTTAATAAAAACATATCTTGTAAGTTTAATATTTGCTTAGTATTTTTTTATGTCTAGTGTAGGATGAAAGTTTCGAATTCCTATTCAGCGCAAAATTAGGGGTGTTCTGTTCCTGAATAAATAAACTGACCGACTAAAACCTTGTTATAAGTTTATTAAGTAAATATGAGAATTAGAAAAAATAGTGTTAGATAATATTATTAGTAGATACATATGTATACATACATGATAAGTACATACATGATTGTAGAAGTCTTAGTCTTGTCTTTATTTTTAGAGCGCTACTGGCATCTACTCGAATACATAAAATAATAAATATATAGAATGTTAGAAATTGAATTTTAACCGTATTGTATTTTTTCTTAGAACACTAATTGTAACAGGTCTTATGTATTTGTATAGTAATGAAGTAGTTTATCTGAGGCCAGTGATATACCATGAAGTCTATAACAGAAATTATGTGTATATTTACTGCAATATTACGATACTTACATCATCGGAAACTTAGAAACTAGACAACTGCCTCAAGTGAAAGATTCTGTTTCAGTTCAATCAAAGACTAAAAGCCGATACTTGGAATTGACTTCGATTTTCAATGTTCCAACCGATACTATATTTATACCTAGATTTGGTTAAACACTACACTTCTATTTACATCCCCTCAGTTTAAATACAAATACCCAATCCAAGATTCCAGTTTATTTTACATTTTGTTACAAACATAGTACCGTTTGTTTAATGTAAGCTACATATGTTCAACTTACGTGTCTGGAATATACGAAATTACAACATAAATTTCCTATATGAAATAGCGAATTTTAAAGAAAGACATTCAACCTTAGTGCTACATTTGTTACAGATTGGCGTTATGTAGCAGCGTGCACGGCATGTGTTGGTATTGCCATGCTTTGTAAAGAGCAGGGCATCACCGTCACTGGTGTCTGTGTAGTATATGAGCTCTTCGTGGCCCAAAAAGTGAGTTTTTTTACTAGTAATATATTGTAATATTTTCGGTGTATATATCTAATATTACTCTTTATACATTGTACTAGCTGCTACCCACGACTTCGACGGCGTAGAAGTTTTTTTTATTAAAATAAATTAAATTTATAAAACAAAAGTAATCAAGTGACTCCTTATAACTTATAACATTAGCTATCTGCGAGTTGAAGTCCCGTCAAAATCAGTCCAACCGATTCAAAATTATTAGCACGTACAATAGACAGACAGGCAGATAAAAAAAAAATATGTAGGTACTTACGTACGCACTTTCATATGCTTTTAGTAAAAGCGGTAAATGTGAAGTTTCAAATAGACACTTTCCAATTGATTAATTATATATACATTTAGATTATTTATTTGTACAATCGTCTTTCTATTTTGTTATCGTATATATTGGGAATACTTCAGGTTCAATAAAAATCCTGATCTCTTCAGATATTAACTATATTTAAACTGGCATTTGGCATGTTTATCTCACTATATAGGTTACAGATCCAACGAATATAGAACAGCATTTGTGTCTATTTCAATAGTTCACCTTATAGCATGACATAATATTTTTTAAGTTTGTCCTGCATATACTGCGGATCAATAGGTTCGGTCATGAAAAATAATGTGTATACTTAATAAGTAGCTCTAGTTCGGTCCCAGCCCCAATCAACTCACAACAAAAGGTCAGAGTAGAAATAATCCGTATTCCCTATGCTCTCTCGCGTGATGCTTACATATTCTTTTTATTCTTTAAGTATTACGTTTTACTCGTGCCGGCTTATATCAGCAGATGGGTCGCCAACTAAGAGCAACTTTTTTATATTATGTTGTAACTTTCATTTCAGTTTTATTTACACACGCTAGAGTCGTATCTCGTGCGACTTGCTCAAATAATAGTAACATTATCCATTCGAGAACGGAGTTCAATACTCGACATTCCTGCGACCCAGTTTCAGAGCTTTGTAAATGGAAATTACTTTTTGTGAGGCTGGCTGCCTCTGCGTTGCCTTTTGGTTGTCTTTCCTCCTTCTACCAAGTTTACTGTGTTTTTGTTGTAAGATAATATAAAAATATAATTTCCGTTTCATAGTTTGCTAGGGTTTCGATGGGTGAGCACAAGTTTTTGCTCATCATGTAAATTGATCCAAAAACAAAATTCATCCAAATAATATCTATTTAGTTCAAAATATGTAAGATACCGGACGTTAGTTTGCTCAATTTTATAAATTATTTTTGACAGAGCTACTGTCTCGGCACTAGAAGCTATATACCGCTAACTAATAAAATCATCTATTGATTCCTAATCCAGTAGTAATATAATGTAATTGGGGCTCTGATTTCCACATTAAGCCTCTCTTTTGAGCCGTTGTGCATGTAGATCAGAGACTACTAAAGTAGCCATATAGCTTCTTCCAGACGGGCAGAAGGTTCCTACTATGTTAACAGAAAGGATTGAAGCTGATATTATTCTTAACCGAAATTCTATATCCCTAGCGTCGTAATTCGGGTGGTGGAAGCCGATGGTCATGGCTAGAGGCCTGGGGCAAAGGGTCCGGTTGGGGCTGCGCCTGTGGCGAGGCGGCACGACGCGTAACCACAGTATGCTGTGCAACCCTGGCGCTGCTTGCGGCTAGACTACATGTCATGGGTGCACAGCTGCCTGTCTTTACGAGATTTGACAATCCTGCTGGAGCTGCACCACCACCAGCTAGGTATGAAACAGTTAATAATTATTCGTACTTATATGACATTCAAAATGCAAAAAATAGCCCATATTGTTCAAAGATAAAATGCAAAGACAGATTCACGCGTGTCGTAAGCAATGTAGGAGGACCTTACAATTCAGATATACTTACTGAGAACCATTAGTCGGTTCCTTTACTATATCCAATGAAAAATATTTTTTACGAATAGCGCAAATAACAATACTGTTAAATGTCCAAAATCATTGTCAGTAGAGGAATAACCATTTGATATTTCAGTTTATTATATTCCGCACTTGGTATTTCTGGGATTTTCGAAGCTATACGTTTATAATAAAGACGAATTTATTATTTTCTCCTATCTATAACAATACAATGCACACTTTGCTCACGGTACAGATAAGTAAGACAATAGTATTTATACAAGCGACTCACAAAATTCTACCACAATTGCAGTAAATGTTTGCGTACTTAATTTGGTTGCTATCATCGAACGAGATGACGAGATGATCTCTGCCTTTATTACTTAGTAAGTAATAGGGGTTCGAGATAATGGCTGGCTTTGACAAGCAGTTTAGTGTATAAAACGGCACAGCAAAGCCTGGGCACATTAATTTTACGAGCATCGTCGCCCGCCGCTCATTGTTTAAGGGTGGATTTTCTTCCCTCAGTAGTTCCATCCTCGATTTAAACGAACGCCTAAATTTACGTAAAACCCGACCCAGAGGCTGAAGGTCGAAGGCTCCCTTTCTTTGACGACAGAAATTAATTGGCCTATAGCCAGTTCCCTCCAAGCTATTGACAAATAGTGTCCTATCGATTTATCTGTCGTGGTCTTTTGAAATATACTTTTGGGTTGACAATATTTGATACTTTTAAATTGAATATTTATATATATATAAACTATACCAGAAATAGATGATTATTGCTTAAATGTATTTTAATAGATAGTGATAAAGTCAACCGACTTACTTTATTAAAACGTTTATCGATCAAAATATTTTTGATTCAATTTAATCTAAATGTAATTTTATGTTTAAATTAGCATTAGCAGCTCAGCGTTATTGTAAATCAATTACGTAACTTAGATATTAAAATGTCTAAGTTAGTATGACGTCAATAAAAACTCAGTTCAATTTTATTAGCAGATTATGCACTTTTATTCAAAATATCTGTATTGCAATTTTCAGGCACTTAACTTTCGCGTACCTGCCAGCCTTAAATGCCTGGTTACTGGCATTACCTGAAGCTTTATGTTGTGATTGGACTATGGGCACTGTCGCACTACTGCGGTCGTGGAAGGATCCACGAAATTTGGCGACTCTTGCGTTGGCCACCACGTTAATAGCTGCTGCTGTACACGCTTTGAGGACTCGTTCTTCTGCTTTGTCTATGGTATGGTTTATGATGAAGATTATTATTTTATTGTCTGATTGAATTAATGCTGTTAACTGTATAATTTGTCTGGAATTTTGTGAAAATGTTTTCATATTTGGGTATTAGTTAGTCAATCACTTGATTTGAACAAAACTTGCTATCCAGATGGACTATATCTTAGATTATACTATTATAGACCTATCATCTAAATCTAACTTTTCATTAACAAACTAAAAACTTTTTCAGGGTCTGGCATTACTGGTCCTACCATTCCTGCCAGCTTCGAACCTATTCTTCCCTGTTGGTTTCGTGGTTGCTGAGCGGGTACTTTATATGCCTTCGATGGGATGGTGTCTACTGGTCGCCCATGGATGGCGATTGTTAGCAAAACGCCGAGCCAAACTTGCCGCTGCTGCACTTATATTTCTGTTTTTAGCGTTCAGTGCCAAGACATATGTGAGGAATTGGGATTGGAAGACTGAATATTCAATTTTTGCATCAGGACTGAAAGTAAGTTTTATAAAGTAATAACTTTTACGGCCACAGACAAAACTTAAAAAATACTAATTATTGGTCTTTCTTTTTATAAATAAAATTAAAATCTTGTACAAAGTCTGAATTTAAAACAACCATTATTCAACTATCGATAATTTTCAGGTCAATCGTAACAATGCGAAATTATACAATAACGTAGGACATGCCTTAGAGGCTGAAGGAAAGTACGCCGACGCGTTAGAATTCTTTAACACTGCGGTCAGTGTGCAACCTGACGACGTAGGAGCCCACATCAACGTTGGCAGAACTTACAACCATCTCGGACGATATCAAGAGGCCGAAGATGCCTATGTAAAAGCCAAATCGTTATTACCAAAAGCAAAGCCTGGAGAATCATACCAGGCGAGGATAGCACCCAATCATCTAAACGTTTTCCTAAATCTCGCCAATTTAATATCTAAAAATGCTACGCGTTTGGAAGAAGCTGATATGTTATATAGACAAGCAATCAGCATGCGAGCAGATTATACTCAAGCATATATAAATAGGGGAGATATTCTAATAAAATTAAATAGGACAAAAGAAGCTCAGGAAGTATACGAAAGAGCCTTGTTATATGATAGTGGGAACCCGGACATTTATTATAATGTAAGTTCTATTTTTTTCTTATTGTTGTTTTGTTTATTAAAAGTATATAATTTTACTATTATCTAATAAGCTAAATAGATGATTTCACAATATTTATAACAAAAACATTACCTCTAAATATTTTACTAAGGAAGTAATTATATAAATTAGTCTTATTAACCATATTTAAACCATGACCATGACCAATAAAACTAGTCAACTTTAAAAATACAATTTATTAAGAACATTTTTTTTATGCCTAAATAAAATAATCTAAGTGTTTAGCTGCTCTCATTAACGTATGTTTTAATAATGAATAATGTGATTTCATGTCTAGCTGGGAGTTGTTCTCCTAGAGCAAGGAAAAGCCTCACAAGCACTGGCTTACTTGGACAAGGCTTTGGAACTGGAACCAGAGCATGAACAGGCTCTGCTAAACTCTGCAATACTTCTGCAAGAACTTGGAGCCGCAGACTTAAGGCATATCGCCAGGCAGCGTCTCCTCAAACTACTTGATAAAGATGGTAAGTGACATTAAAATAAACATAATGGACTTATGTTTATTTTAATTTATATTACACCGGCTACCCACAATATCACAGGAATGACTTTCTTAACTATAATTATAATTTAATTTTAATAACTTTAATTTCGAATCTGACCTCCTCTAACCACCAACACCAACCTCAAATCTTTTAATATCCTTTATTTCTATTCTAATATCACCCATAACAAGCTCTGTTTACGTGGGTCTAGATGGCACTGTGTTTATTGGAATATTTATATTTTATTATTATATATAAAATAATCATGTATTCACTACTGTGTTTTGTATCCAATTCGCTTGTTGCGAATTTGGCTCCACTTTCTTGGCCACACAGATTTGCACATAGATAGTTCAAAATAGAACAGTCTAAGTGTAGTATTATCATCCTCAGCAACAAACGAGCGCGTGCACTTCAACCTGGGAATGGTGTGCATGGACGAGGGGGAGGCGGAGTGCGCAGAGCGGTGGTTCCGCGCTGCAGTCCACCTGAAGCCAGACTTCCGCTCGGCGCTGTTTAACTTGGCGTTGTTGCTGGCTGACACGCGCCGGCCGCTCGAGGCTGCGCCCTTCTTAAAGCAGCTCGTACGACACCACCCTGACCATGTGAAAGCACTCGTGCTATTAGGAGATATATATATCAATTCCGTAAAAGATCTTGATGCGGCTGAGAGCGTGAGTACTTTTTAAAGTCTTTTAGAACAATGTTTTAGGACAGTTAATTAAAACTATCAATGTAAAATATATTTCAAGCCTAACTTCAAATAGGCTATATATTGTAGATTTACTAAATTTAGCGTCACGAGAAGTCGTGACGCTAAATTTAGTAAGAATTTCAAATAATAGTCTCTATTTCTCCTGTCAAACTACTTGTTGGCGTCTATATTTGAAGGAAGATGATATATGGTATTCTTTCATAATTTAAGACCCGCACTGTTGTCGATGGAGCTCTTAACATTTTCCACGATATTCCATCAATTTCGTTAGTTATTAAAAGACACGCCTCCAACTGTTTCTTTAAATTAAAATCTATTCTAATGAAAATGAACACAATATAAATCCATTGTGTGAACTGTCTTTAGAACAACTCTAAATTGGTTATATAAAGTAAAAAATGCAGTTCATGTTTAGAGGCAATCATTTAAGTAAAGACCATTTCTATTGACTGTGTTTATCTGGCACTACCCTATTGACCTTATTATATTCTAAATCACGTCATGTATACCAGTATATGTCAATCACTATTAAAATTTAAGTTAGCAGTACTGACATGGTATCTTGTCATTTCCAGTGTTACCGCCGGATCCTAGAATTAGAGCCGGACAACGTGCAAGCTCTCCACAACTTGTGTGTGGTCGCGGTGGAGCGCGGCAAGTTAGCCATCGCCGAGGAATGCCTCACGCGGGCCTCAGCCCTCGCTCCTCACGAGCACTACATCCAGAGGCACCTCGCAGTCGTTAAAGCGCGGAGGGCTGCGGCCACATCTACAGTCGCCCCCACATCAACAGCCACTACGGAAGTGAAAGCGAGATGGAATTACATCCCCCAACAGCCACCCGACCCCCACGAAATTGACCCCTCATAGCGTATTACCGAATGAAGCCTGTAAATAATGTTTATACTCAATGTTTTATTTTACTTATAGATGCGTTGTATACCTATAAAGTGTAGTTCTAAATCACTTCGAACTCAAACTCTCACAGTAAAAAAATATACAAATTCAAATTCTGTACAAAAGGTTACTGAAATTAATTTGTATACCCATAATATGTATTTCATAGAGAAAGTATTCATGATTTAAAGAATACTAAATATTCAAAAAACGAATACTATTTGAATAAGTTAATAATATTTGAAACTGTTTCATTATTATCCTTAAAAACATTGTGATATTTTCTCAAAATTAAAGTCCCACATCAAGCATTAATTATGTAACTATGTACGTGATTTTCAAATACAATTTCCTGGTATTTATAATGTGTCTTTAGTAAAATAACATTGTGTTAGTTATCTCGTCGAACACCAAGATTTTTCGGCCAATACATAGGTTCTCGGTTTTAAAGGCATTCATTTGTTAAATCAGGGTACTCTTCTATGTATTTGTTTCCACTCTGACGTAGGCTAGTCTTAATTGACTCTTTCTATATTTGTATTTTATGAGTAAAGATAGACTTGGTACTGTCGAATATTTGTTTTTATAATACTACTGAACCATAAATGAAATTCATATATAGGAAACATCGATTTCATATAGAGGGAACTCGATTTTTGTTTATGGCATTTCACTAAATTGAGATACCTAATGAAATAAAAAAAAAAACAAAATTAGATATTACCTAGTCTATTAAATGTCTTAAAGATTTTTAAACCAGACGTTTTATTGGTGCGTATAAACAAGTTTAAATTAAGTTTTCAATCAATAATATAAATGTTGATATTGCAAGTAATCGAATATTGATCGTCGGTTAAGTATTTATTGCTATTAATTTAATTTGTTGTTACACTAAGAATTGTATCCTGAACCAACGGTGATATTAATTTGATGAATTCCACTTATAAGAGTCAAACTTAATAGTGATGTTAGGTTTAAATACGCAACAGAAAAACGTCTCGTTCAAAAATGACTGTTTTCATAATATTTTTATATTCTGAACTAATATTAAATTGTAAATCTGTGCGTTATTCGATAATTTATTGTGCATACCGATATTATTATTAGTAGCTATTAATTCATGGGCGTACTCAGATTAAAGTCAATAGGGGATTACTACTTGGTAACTCTAGATAGTAATTATCTTTTTACAGAATTATTTACGTTCATTTAGTTACTTAAATGTAATTGTAAGTAGTAAAGTCAGCTTCATAAATTTCTTAACTTCAAAAATATTAATTACACTATTACCAAAACCATATTGCTTTTAAAACCCAAAAGCAGTTTATTATAATGCCTTCACAAAAAGAAACTTGGTCACCCATTACACTTCACAATTAGGTGAAATACTCCAAAAAGTAGCGGATATGTAAGAATATTTTAATATATCTATGAACTGAGTACACCCATGATCAAACTGATCTCTTAGAGAAGCTTATGATTTGCATATGGCGTTACGTGATATTAGTTAATTACACCATAATTATATTTATGTATGCCATACATGTATAATAGGTATGTAGAATATGTTGGAACGAGCTTTCATCATTATTAGCCTGGTATACGGTATATGTACGGATTATATGCGTCTGTACACTGTAAATGAATATAGTTTCATATAGGAGACGTGTTATTTGCTAACTTTGTCTAGTCATGATGCAATTATTCGATAAAAATTAAGTTTGTCGTATGTATTATTTTAATTAGATAGAAATTAAAGCCGCGTATTCATTGTGGACGAGTATTTTAGATGTGCAGGATCCCAAACAAGTTAATAGACACAAGTAGCGTTGTTTATAATTATAATCAAATATCTCCAAAACACCAGTAATAAAGGTAGGTACGTTTATAGTTTTAAATTAAATTTTAAAACTAAATTCAAATAAATTTAAAATTATTACATTTGACAGTTTTAAATATTGAAATTACCTAGAAATTAATCCCATTGTCCATTGTCAGTAAAATAGTTTTACTGAGAATAAATATCGTTAACAAAGACATTCTATTAAAATCACTTTTAAAATTACCATAATTATGTTATCTTTAAATATTGTTTATCGAAACTTACTTCTGTAAAACTCGATTTTCATAAAATAATAACGATTTCGAACCTTTAGCTTTGAATAGGCATTGGGAAGTAACGTTACTGTAGCCGTATCCCATATAATCATTCACCTCCCAATAATTAACAGTTTAATTAAACAGTTGATCTTCTATATATAATTCTATAGACCCGAAATATAGGTATATATAAGTTATTAAATACTCAGTTAAATAAAGTGCACTACACTGACAATACCTACAGATATATGTGATTTAAAGCATTTACACCTTAAATTAAACTTCATATAAAACTGTCTTAATTTTTGAGATGGGACACACAAGAGTGGTAACTGCAAGCAGCAATAGCACTATCGGATATATATTAAAAATCTATAACAGCATATATACAAGCTAATTTGTCTATTCTAGTCCTAGTTATATTTTTCTTTATTGTACTATTCTATTATCAGTCCTATCTACTTACTACACCTGTGCTCTATATAATTTACCGGATCAATGAATACCCAAAATCCGCGTTCCCGTTTCTGAAACTTGTCTTTGGCGAAAGCACTTTGTCCCATGCCAAATCACAAAAAAAATTGCAGCTAATTCAAAAGTGAATTTACACTATTTGAGATTGCGGTCAAACGCGCTCAATTTATTAAAAAAAATCAGCAAAACAGTCAATATGGACGTCATGTTAAAGTTATTTGCCAAAACAGCTGAATATACTATCCAAAAAAATTGTCACACACATCTTTCGCACAAAAAAACATCTGAAACCTACCATCTACATCTACCAATTTTTGTGCTGCATATTTTAAATATCCACATTAACGTACTTATGTATAGAAATTGTAAGCTAAGCTTGTATTCCATACAATTTGATAAATTTGCCTTATGAATTTAAGTCAATATTGTTAATATTCTTTAAGTCAATATTATTACATTTTATGTGAAATACAGCATTGCGATTCGAGTAAATGTTGAATAAAGACATTTATATGCATCATCGGTTTCCACTAACAATACGGAGACATTTACGGACAGAAGCTCTTCTGTCGTTGGTATTTATTTTGTATACCTACCTACGTACATTATGCTTTCAAGAGATTATTTGTAAAAATTAAATTTCCATAGGAGTTTATGTTAACATCTATTACTTTTAATTTAAATATGTTATTAAAGTTGTGCCTATAATCTCTCTACTCGTAAAGATTGGCTAGTAAAGATCGCTAATAACATTTAGCCCGCTTTTTTGTTCCAAGTTTCAATAATATAATTAAATCCCTAAGTAAATGTTTCACCTATGGCGGAAATTAGAACTTCATTTGTTACTCCTATACATTACGCATTTCATTTTCATCTAACAAGTGTTCATGGTTCATCAATTCAAATTCAATGATATTTATCATTACCTATGATAAATTTATAATTCGTACCTACCTATAAATATGATGTTATGGTAAGCTCCCATTTTGTATGTTACGTGTGTCCGACCAGTTAGTACGATGTCTCATTAAAAACTGATTAAATAATGTTTATTTTCATAAAAGCTAATGTTATATTGTAAAAAATAAATGAAAGTGATCGACCGTTATTAGATTTAGATGTGAAAAAATGTAATGTTGTTAATGTTTTAAGATAAAAAAATAACTTTTGTAAAAACTGAATTTTTTACAATGTCTTGAAACATTCCCGGCGGTAACTCTCGATGGAGTGATGAATTTGTAAGGACCCCGAATATTATAACTATTTGTCGTCAAAACGTTTATTTTTATAAAATAAAATGATGTTTCAAATGATTTCTCACTTTGTTTAATTGCATTGAAATAGGAGTATAATCCTTATTTAAATAACCTTAAGTAGTATTAATTATTTTTTACAAGAAGAATAATAATAAAACTAGTTCCATTAGCTAAGCAGGAGCTTATTATATGTATAGGAGCATATAAGATATATAATACTATACAACTGATGGAAATTCTTTTTTTGTAAATATATATATAAACACCCAAACCAATACAAATAATCATACTCATGAATATGAAATTTTTGCATCATCCGAGGTTCGAACCCGCAACCATAGTAAGGTGGGGTACTAAACCGGCAGACCACCAAACGGCAAACTTCAACTTTACTACTACCAGAAAATAAATACTTACATACTTTTAGGATCTCATGTGAATACAAACTACCACATAAGTAATTCATATAATCAAGTAAAATAGTTTCCTACGTTATTAACAACTTATTTTGTAGTATATTATAAAAAAAAGGGCTTGTGCCTACACTTGTAATAATTGTCAACACTTGACACAACCCTTAAATTATTTTTACTGTATCAAAATTTTATCCAGTACCAACTTAAATCAATAGGTATCCTAAACGATTATAAAATCACATAAATCGGAACTGCAATGAAAAAAGACGCCATCTGTTCGAATACATCGACAACGTACAATAGTCATGGGTACCTTGAAGCATTGACCTTTTGAGTCCTTGACATTATAGAGTATAGGGCTAATGCCTCCCACACGTCGCCTTTCACCATACATGGAAAATAATATACGTATAAGTAAAAATAGCTTACCTTCTTATTCACGTTATTAATATTCTTCTTAAACAACACAGTAATGAAATTAAACAACAATTTTGTGTAAAAGATTCACTATATTGTTTTGTATAGTGAGCGATTCACAAATTCAAGACAATATCGCCCCCATTACACACCTTAAAAATATCCGTCATTCATCTCCACTAGGTATCTTTAATACAATATGGAACTAGTTATTTCAGTAGAATTGCTTAAACAATTAATCGATCACGAAATCATTTCCCCGTTTACGTGTAACATAACCGTAACAGGTAATAAGCAGGGAGAGGTATCTAGCATCACTGAAGATTGATCACTAATACAGTTATATTTAAGTACCACTATGGCTTCCACTCGATGTACATTTATATAATGTTCCACTTTCAATCAAATCACTTATAGCGTACACAATATCTTTTTTCTTTGATATTTTTTAAACAACTTGGTAAAAATAAGTTTCCAACATAAAATCTAATCAAATAAAGGAATATAATTTAACTATATACAATTTCTCGTAACATATAACAAAATCTCACACACGCGCTTCCCGCACAACTTAGCTTGCTAACTTGAAATACTATTAACTTACTTATATTCGATGGACTTACATTACATATCGTCATATTGTAACTTGTTCCTGATATTTTACTATTGCTGTCGTAAGTTCATGAAAATACAAATATAAGGCCACACCTTTTTTTGACCGAAACTAGTTTTATACAAAGGAATTGAGACATTAATTTTGTATATTAACGACCATCACAATCGTCACAATTTAAGATTAAGTAAAACTGCAAAACTTGTGTTTACCAACTGAGATTCCTTGTCCGAACAATTAAGATAATATAATAATAATACTCTTTAAAGATTATAATAGGAAAATATAATGTCACTGGTTAAAAAACCCTAATTATCCATCCCTAATGCTGACCTCATACAGTAATATCGTGCCCCTAACTTGAGAAACCTAATAAACTCGACAGGTTACATAATATAACATTAGTACCAGTAATTTTGTATATTCTCGAACCCGTTCCATGCAAACCGACTCTAGCAGATAGTAGCGAAACGGTTGACAATAAATGTCATAATCAAAACGTCAAAATATTTACGTTATCAAATCATCTATATATTTAATGGAAAATATGTTCTGCAGTTCTACTTAATATCGGTAACATCGCTAATTTATTCGTCATAGGTTCATCAGCATCTCAAGAACAATAACTCATACATTGAAGATTAAATAACACTATTTTTATTTTTTTTCACTCAGCTCACTACTCACTTTCTTCACTTAATTACCCAAAAAGTAGTGTTAACAACAGTGCTTTTCAAATCTAGGGACATAATATACTTTCATATATATAGGATCACATAGAAATACAAAATTATCGAAAACTTTACAATATAGTGTAGAACTTTTTAATGATAGTAAAGTTCCATTAACAGCAATAATACGTTAATCTCTATATGATCCTATAAATTTAACAATATAGAAATGGCCTAATACATATTGTAATAGTAAAAAAAAACACATTTATGCTCCACAATATGGCAAAAATTATTTATGTTGAGTTGTGACATTATAGTTAACAATCCAAAATATTTGCAATCGCAAAAATTTTTTATTACGGATCCAATCCACTACGAAAATTCACTCTCTAACATTCCGTAATCCGAACATTGCCGTAAAAACAGTACATAATATTGTACATAATACAAAATTTAAGACGAGCTGTTCTGTCAAAGTTCGTTTAAGAAAATATTTTTTTAGAACATCGGACATATCACATCACACAGCGCCATCTAGTCCCACACTCAGAGCTTATACTATGGGTACTAGACAACTGAGAGTTATAATACAATACTTTTTAAATACAGAACATTACATAGAAAACGCCGCATACAAACTGACATGATTATATTGTACGAGGTCCAAACCCGCAACACAACTATGTACGTGAGGTAGTGTTAAACCACTGCACCACAAAGGGTGTCATTAAATTTTACAAGACAGAACAGAGTAAAAATTAGGGATATTTTACTTAGCAATATTACGGTTAGAGGTTAAAAATGGTACTGTATTACCATTATTATATTTTATTCAGTATACATAACCTGATAAAACTACTTAATCCCCAAATAATACAATGCTTTTAAAAACTGTACCAAACAAAAGTAATAACAGACACACTTTCAAGGTCTGAAATCTACCTACAATGTAGACTTAACATAAAATAATTAACTTAACAGAATTCAATAACAGAAACAGTATTGAAAAAAAAAAAGAAATTCTTATCTAATAATATATCTAGAACGTCACGCCAAAACGTTTTGTTGTAATGATACAAATTGTCAACAATTTAAATATGGTACAATGTTGTTGAAAATAAAAGACGAACACCTACTACTTTTGGGCCCAGCGATCACCTCGTTGAAATACATATATATATGTATATATATTAATTCTAAGGTAAAATATAATATACCACAAAGATCTATAACGTAATGAACGAGAAAATTCAAAATAAATTAAAATCTGAAACTATTAACTACAAAAAGCGATACGGGCATTGAGTAATAATAAATAGATTTAAATTAAAAAACTAAGAAAATTCAGTAATACATAAATTTTGGAATACGCCGTACTCTTGAATTCTATTTTAATACAGAATTTGTACTAAAATAGAATTCGAGATCTTATTTTAAATACAAATTCTGCATTCTTAAGTCTAAAAATGTGCGTTTCAAATAATATCCATTGGAGAATAGTCATTGGGTTACGAACTTCACGCCTCAAGTTAAAATTAACGAATAACACAAAGTCACGACTGGTTTTTTTTTTTTGTTATATTATATTTTGATTACTAGATATATAGATAAATTTCCTGTGACGATTTTCCAATTATTGTATTATTAAAAATATAAATGCTAAATGCTGTGAACATCTAGGCACAAAAATGTAAGGGACAGTATCATTTTCGTTCAAAATACCATAGATTCAGATATTGCACAACGTAAGTCGTTTTCTATGTTAATGCTGCCTTGCAGTTTTCAGATATATATATACATATTTGAGTTCAACATAATTATTCCTACCTCTGAACCAATTAATTAATATATTTCTACAAAAGTTGGTCTCTTGTATAAATATGAAACTATAAAGTAACTAGTACCGAGTATTATCAACTTGGATTGCCACATATTCTTTAATTCTACATTATGGTAAGTTTTTCTTAGTTTAATGTTTACTGTAGTGTCTTTAACATTTCTGGAACATAAAAGTAATAATTTAAATATATTTAATTAATTGTAATCTCACAGGTAAAGCTAATTATCTATTGATATATTATAAATTTATTGAAACCTTTTGTGTTGATAGTAAAATATAACTTTCTTCTTACATGCACAGTCAACAATAAGTCTTAATATGTTTGTACTTGTAACACTACTAGTACTTGGTTCTACTTAAATGGTAAAATATAAAAAAATCTAAATTACATGTAGTCATATTCTGTCAATATTAGAATTAGAATTAATGAATTTAAATTTGTACTTCACAGAACCTATAATTAAGGTAGGCTGAAGATGATATTGAGGTCTGCGATACAATGGTGATTTTAATTCCAATCTTCACTTAAAAATAAATTGAATCACAGTTAAAACCAACATCGCCGTACCTTCGTTAAGTCACTTGTATAGTATACGAACGTATGTCACCGAACTTTCATCAGCTAGCAACTTCTTATCACAACTTGGCTGCATCACCTACGATTTTCTCTAACTCTCCCTTCTTCTCTTTTATATCAGCAGATATGAGCACTTTATAAGGAGTTAAAACACCGTGATGCTGACATTTATACTCTTCAATCTACTTTAATACGAGGTAATATTTACGAAATATCAATTCGAAATAAATACATGTGGCAACCGTAGAATGACTAATTACTTTATTGACAACTGTATAGAAATTGTTGTTGTATAAAAATATTCGAGTATAATATAAAAATGTAGGCATATACTTGTGGCGGGTACCGATTTGTAACATAGTTAAAAAAAACGTAACAAACACTTGAAGGAAGTTTAATCAAGAGACTAGAAGACACGAAACAGCACAAAACGGTATCTACATCTAACAACTTACCAAATAACATGATTCAGGTAACGCTCCCCCGACACATGTATTTACGAAGTCATCAATTCGCAAACTTAATTGTATACTTTTAGACCGGCGCAGACGTTGAATAATTATTGGGACAAGAGTTAAATCCACATGGAGCACTAAAAATAAAATCACGATACTTGGAGATCGCAGATGTTCAAGAATTTCCCTCTATACTCGAAAAAAAATAACAAAAGCATGGATAGAATGAACCCGAGAAACGCGGATGTTCCATATAAAATAAAACAATATGCATCAAAAATTCAATTCTGATCCAATTTTATTCATTCTTTTTTTTTTTGCGAGCCGGTGTTGTCTCACATGGTCCCATATTAATTATATCATAAATATTAAAATGATCTCTTCTTTATATTGACTTTTACTTAGTAATGTGAATGAAGTCGATTTTTTCGACAGTTTGAGTATAGTGCTAGTAGCAGATGGTTGAATACATCTTTAGAGTTAAAGTCTAATTCTCGCAATCAATGCAATCACATGGTGAATTCCAGTACATGTTAAGTAATGCACTTTCATATTCTGGTATCAAACAATGGTATTAGTTTATCCTCTGAAATTATATCCCTCGTCTGCGCAGACCTAAATATTTCCTTCCGAGATTTGCGACACTAAATCCCTCATTTACTGTACCAACTCATTTATTACAAATCGGCACCAGCACTTTTGCTAACATTGAATCCTCCTGACCCGCATTGGGGCCTGAATACATTCCAATTTCCTTGATGGTAAGGAACAATCGCAGTTTGTCCAATACAAACTCCTGGTAAGCCGACTAAGCTATGGTTTCACCGTCGTAATCGCCCTCCCCCACATATTCGCCTTCATCTTCATCTACTTCTTGGGCTTGTTGCTGTTGAGCTAGTAAGTGGCCTTTCTTATAAGCTGTCATTTCCTAGAATAGAATAATAATTAATGTCAGATATTTATTTATTTCAGTCTACTAAATACTTATGCATTAATATGTACATCGTCTGTAAAGACGAAATAATAATTAAATATATTTGTGGTCACGGAACTTACGACGGTAATCTGCTATGGTATGCGGTATTTGATATAAGATGAGACTATCCACAAAATAACTACAGAGAATTTATAGAACATTTTTTAAAATTATATGCAAATATAGTAGAATTTTCGCACAAATAGACCTACAGACAGATATAAAATGTTTACAAGTACTTCACATATCCTAAATTATGTTTTAGTTAAAATGCTAAAGTTGATAGTTATGTTACATATGCAGTGGATAGCTAAAATTGAAAAGTGCTGAAGAGCTGAACTTTTACGAGCCGAATAATCAACGAGGCCGCAATGGCCCAACTTCAACATAGTAGTTGGATAATTTTAATTGGAATATTGTTAATTACATATTAGATCTGTAAACATGCTTGTGGCAAATGTGGTTTGCGTTACGATTTCTGAGATACGTTCGTTCAAACATTGAACGGTGCCACGCCTATTTTAATTATAGTTAGTTACATATAGTGTAGCAATATATTATAAATTTAAAATGTTTTTTATGCCTCCAGGATGCGACTACCCACCCTAATTCACAATTGTTATTCATATAATATACATATTTGAATTTTATAAATAAAGTACACATAAGAAAACTTGGCTCTTAAGTGATTAATAATAAATAAACATCAAATTAAAAAATAGTTCAATTTAAATGTTGGTTAATAATAAGCAACTTACCCTATCATATCTCGCCTTGTCCTGTTCTGATAGGGCTTCGTACTTGGATTTTGTCTCTGGATCGGCGGCAGCCCACAGCCGGCCTAGTTCCTTGGCGATGTCTCCCATAGAAAACATTGGATTGCTGGCTTTCACCTTAGAACGTTCATCATTGCAGAACCAGAAGAATGCGGACCTGCAATTCAAATGAATATAATAAATTCAATAAGTGTTACTACAAAATATTTCAATACGTTGTTCAATTATATCATCTTAGGATATCTTGATTTGTCTGTGTATTTTGTATTTATATTTTGCGATATTTTACTGTATCTATTTTGACGGCATTTTAAAATAGATAGTTACCCTTCTGTGGGTATTTTATCTTTTTTGTATAAATCAGTCAATAATATCAAAAATAACTTTTTTCATGTAACACATTTTAGCCGCTTATGAACGTCAAGTTTTTTCTATTAATACTTTTTCACTACCATCCAGTTCAGTACACGGAGTAATTTAGTACCTATGTATATAGGAATATATTTTTATATCCATCTTATAGCTGTGGAATCACCATATCTCCTCGGTGGTCTAACGGTTCAGCGTACCGCCTTTATTCAAATGGTCGCGTGTTCGATTCATCGCACGGTATAAGCATTTGTATTAAAAAAATATGATTGTTATATCAGTCCAGTTGTTTTGTACGTATATTATGAATGTATTTATGAAACAAGTATTTATATCAATTCTCATAACTGAATTGTCCTGGATATTTTATTTCAATCCTATAAGTATAATTTGACATATTTATATTTTTGTCATATGGGGATCACGCTATCATCATCATCAGCCCACAGCAGTCCACTGCTGGAAATAGGCCTCTCCCAAGGCACGCCACTGGGCACGATCTTCAGCCCTTCTCTTCCAGTTTTTACCCGCAACCCTATGTATGTCGTCGCTCCACCTAGCTGTGGGGCGTCCTACACTACGTTTGCCAATTCGCGGTCTCCACTCTAGAACTAGCCTACTCCAGCGAACATCGGTTCTGCGACAGAAATGACCAGCCCACTGCCACTTCAACTTGCAAATACGAAGAGCTATGTCGATGACCCTAGTTCTCTGGCGAATTACTTCGTTACGGATTTGATCCCTCAGAGAACCTCCAAGCATAGCCCTTTCCATAGCTCGTTGAACTCGTCATCAGTGTCCACGTATGTCATAACGGGTAGGTCGCACTGGTGGCATGGCATCGCACGTGGCATCACGAGCGTCACATGATAACGTGATGTTCATGTCTATAGGCTACGGTTACCACTTACCATCAGGCGGTCGTCATCTTGATTGCCATTGCAATTATATAAAAAAATAAATGTTATTCATGACCATCAACTCACAGTGAACGCTTGGGCGCGTTAGGATCCTTCACTTGACGCTTTCTGCCGCGGACCTTTACATCTTTGGGCGGCACGTAGTTCTGCATCTCCAAATCGTACCGTCGCTTGTCCTGTTCTGCCATCTCGTGGAATCGCTGCTTCTCTTTTTCTGACATTGTCTGTGAATTGTTACATAACGTATTCATCACGCCTTTTCTAAAATTGAAGATTACATTTGACGAAAAATAAGCCTAATTTACATATGATACTATTTGTATTCTAGTGGTAATCATTTTAGAATTCCACAGTACAATAATTTCATTTAACACATAGAGGAAAACCTAAAAAGAAAAAGATGAACTGTGGCAGAAGGGAGATTTGGGACAAAGGACCTTCCTCTATCTGAAATCATTAGTTAAGCTAATATTTTGTAATTAATACAGTAGTTTCCAGAAAAGTAGTTTCGTGCCGTTTCATTTTTTTAAAGAAAACTAGTAACTTATTTCTTGCACTAATAAAATTACTCAATCTTTATTCAAATATACTTATTTTATAATACTGAATTATCATATTAACTATTCAATCCTCACATACACACACTGGTACATTTAATTGAGACGATTTCATATAGCAAATGGCAAAAATATCATAATGCTATATGATATTTTGTATTATCCTCTTTCCAAGAAAATGTAGAATTTAACAAAGTTTCTTGCTCAGTCTGACTGTGCTGAAACTATTTTCCAAATACTAAATAATATAACATTATTATATTCTATTCATCTTTACATCTATACATATCAATAAAATTGTAGTGTCTGTTTGTAACATTTAAATAATCGTTTTTTATTATATGTATATGAATATAAATACGGTACGTACACCAAAATTGATTTTTTTACAATTTTTGTCTGTCTGTCTGCTTGTTCCGGCTAATCTCTGAAATGGCTGGACCGATTTGTCGCTGAGTAGCTGATGTAATAAGAAGTAACTTAGGCTACTTTTATTTTAGAAAATTAAAGTTAAATTCCACGCGTACGAAGATGCGTGTACAGCTAGTATAATATACAACTGGTAAAACATCAAATACATACATTCCACCTTTCGGCACACTTCTTAGAGAAGGCTGCAAATATGACATTCTCCTCTGGGTGCTTCTTCTTATGCTCCTCACGACAAGTTTGTACGAAGAAAGCGTACGCAGTCATGCGCCCGCGGGGCTTGTTGTATGGCCTTGCTCGTGGCATCCTTCCTTTATTCCCAGCTGCTTGTGCTATTAACGCTTGCTGTTGTTGCAGCTCCTGACAATAATTAGGGAATATCTCTAATATACCTGCAGGTTTTAGCAACTAATCTACTTATTTTATATAATTGAAATAGCAAACAAGCTGACAACCTATCTGATGGTATGTTGATGGTCCGTCGCCTATATATATGAACAGATTCACTGACCATGGTACTGCTTATGTTGGTTTTCCAGAGGACTAAATGTGCATTAATAGCCTGTACATTAACTGCTTTTACTCATACTTCAACATAGTCAAATTAGACCTTGATGGGTCATACAGTGAGACAGGGGCACTCATCCAGAAGACTGTAGAAAGTTGACCTCGATAAAAGTATAATAAGTACTAATCAGGTTTAAATTTTAATTGTAAAAAGCATTTGCATTGCACATCTCCATATTTTATCTTATATTTTAAGGCAACTTCAAATGTTATATATGGACCATTAGAGTGTTTTTGTGAAGAAACACTGTTATTTTCATTTCTTTTGTGTAAGAAACATCTAATTGGAGACAAAATCTATACATATAAATAAAATTGGAGTGTCTGTTTGTAATATTGTAATAACCGTTTTTTACTACATGCACATGAATATAAAAATCGTACAGACACAAATTAGCTCTTTTTTAAATTTTTGTCTGTCTGGATGTCTGTCTGTTCAGGCTAATCTCTGATATGGCTGGGCCGATTTGACGGGACTTTTTTTGACAGGTAGATAATGTAATAAATAGTAACTTGGAATACTTTTATTTTAGAAACATTATTTTCTTTTAGAAAATAAAGCATAATTCCATGCGGACATAGTCGCAGGAATAGCTAGTTTAAAATAAGAATTCAATAACTTGCTCGGGTGTACTAGCACTAGCCTAACAATATAATAAAAAAGGCACCTGGAAAGTAGCTGATTGTCGTTGTAAAGCAGCTTGGATTTGTTGTTGCTGAACTGCTTGCATACGTTCATGCAGGTTCTGTTGCTGTTGCTGTAATGTCTGAGCAACTTGCTGTTGTAGAGCAGCTTGAGCCTGTACAAGTGCTTGGGCCTGAGCCTGGCTCACTTGTAGGGTCTGCTGTAAACTCTGTTGCAATGTTTGTTGCTGCTGCTGTTGCTGTTGTTGTTGTTGCTGCTGCTGTTGTAACTGATGCTGTTGTAACATCTGCTGCAATGTTTGCTGCTGACCTTGCTGCTGCTGCTGTTGAAGGGTTTGCTGCAATGTTTGACCTTGCTGCTGCAATGCTTGTTGTAAATTTTGTTGTTGTTGCAGCTGCTGTTGCAACTGATTCTGTTGTTGAATCGCCTGATTCTGCTCTTGTTGAGCCTGCTGTTGTTGTAAAGTCTGATGGTTTTGTTGTATTCCGTTGGGTTGTTGGTTTCCCTGATCAGGATCAGGGCTCGACTGATTCTGAGCCTGCAACAAAAAATATATCATCCATATTTTTCATTGTCATGCTGTAATATATGGAGACTACAGCCACACACATTTGTATATTTTTTTTAACTTCAAGTACCTATGTTTATATGAATATGAGTACAAGTATATAAAAGAAAAAGAATACAAAAATATTTATAAAGATCATTTGGAGTCACCACACTATCACCATATCACCACACCACACACTTATCACATATTAATTTATTAATAACCTACCATCAATCTAGAAAATAGTTAAGACACAGCAGTAAACTTGACTAAGTTTTTAGTTGTAATTATTTTTAAGAAATATTTCACTTAAAATTAAACCAAATGTTTCCACAATGCAGAATATTTTAATAATAAATAAATATATCATGTAATTAATAGCAATTATATGATCAGGCTTAGTTTCCCCATTTTATATATCAGCACCTAATTAATATTAAGTATATAAATAGTATTATTATTTTATCTAATTTATAACACAGTACTATAAAATCTACCTAAATATTCTTAGTTTACACATATTAAGAACAACAAGCACATGTAATTTCATTAGAATAATTTATATGTAAAGTGGAATATTACATCCGTAGGTCTACCTCCATGTTACCTTTAGAAACCATTATGCTAAATTCTTAAAAAATAAGTCTTGGCCATGACAGTTGTTGCTTTACTCACTTGTGCTTCCAGTATGGAGACAAGGGATTGTTAGTAACGGGAAATAGTTAGACCACATTGCTAGCAATGAACAGATCTTAGTTTGACACCCAGGCAGCACAAGGGGTACTCCGTGGAAACGATCATAGTTAATCCCTATAATTTTGTCATGACCTAACTTCATACTAATGCTATTATCCTCCACTGGTGCACTGCCAGCATATACTTTTAGTCCAGGTACCCGACGCACTACTCCATTATCACCCATTTAAAACGATGCAGCAAGATATATTAAAAATAAATATATTTTCCGTTAAATATTGGTTCCCCATAATAATAATTTCTATTATTTAATACATACTTGATTTACTGTAATTATTAACTGTTTATAAAAATAAATGAATTATTTCAAATCTCCAAGCGCTATGCGATAAACACATCCAAATATTAAAGTGAAATAGTTGAAATTGTATGAGAAATAACCGATTACTGATTATTTAAAATTCAAATACTGAAGTACTAAATAGAATAGTGTAACACCAATTTATCGGTGATATTAAATGAATGAAAATGAATGAGTTGAATGACTGACTTTCATATTCCAAAACTGAATTGAATTTGAAATATCTCATTGTCGGACTAATAAGTGACGACAATATTATGATTTTAGTGTAATATGCATATGTAAAGCCGTTTTAAAAAGCTTATTTTGGCGGCAGGCTAAAATGATAATCGTATTGGTGCGAAAGTCAGAGATTTTAATAAATAATTTAACAAATTATTATCCAACGAAACGAGCTTTATCATTCGCCGGTAGATTAAGGGTACATAATATTTTTATCTTTTAAATAATTACGTATATACTGTTATTGAAACTTTCTTTCGAGAATTACTTCAAACATTTAGTAATACAATACTAAATACATGAGGACATTATTTATGATATATTTTGATAACTTTTATTGTTAGCAATGAATATATAACATTAACCTTGTTTAAATTGTACTCATTTTTATACTGTACTATCTATTTTCAACAGTTTGCGTACCGTTGGAGAAGTTTGTTGAGATTCCACTGTCCCTGATGAATACCACCATGGTTGCTGAGGTGATTCTTCTCTGGTATTTGATCCAGACATAATACGGTAGTCGTAGCTTGTCGTAGAATTATCTCCACCATTGTTCGAAAAGCCACCAGTCATTTTATATGTATAAAGTTGATGTGTAGGAGCCGCAGTACTTCTAGCTACTTCTTCATTTAATTGTTGTTGGTGCTGTAATTCACCTGCGCTACCCGGCCACCACGAGGATTCGTCGCGCGCACCCCAAGCGCCCCCCGTCGCGCCTCTGTCCCCCATATTACAGTCGCCGCTTTCGGACAACCAGTTTCTTTATGCCCTCGGGCTATGTACTTCAAAATATTCTTTGTGTTTTAGCTCTTATGAAAATCATATCCCTGTTGGTGTAACTTACATGTAATCACTTGATATAATGTAGGTTTATATTTTCACCTGTATCACTGTCACTCTTTACACAAATCTTTTTTTTATAACAAAGACTCAATATGTCTAGGCGTGGTAAAACATTATCCATATGTATTATATCAAAATTATATAAACTGCACTGGGTACTGTGTGTTGTTTAATATAAAAGCTGCCGGCTGTAAGTTAGTCTCCACGCGCGTACGTTTTGTCTTCGTTTGTACTTAAAGTCAATAAAGTTGGCAACGTCGCATAGCGAGACGCTAAACAAGTGCACACAGGCGCCCTCAACGCGCAGCGGCCGATACAGAAACGATCGAACATATACGAAGAGAGACCGAAAGTACACGAAACGGCAACAAGTTCGTCCAGCAACCGGTCAATAAGACGATTAGCGCAGCTAAAGCTATCCGCCTTCGTATTGAAATTCTTTTGTTTGGAAATTATCAATAGTTATATTAAATTATATTCCAGAGGCAATTTTTTATTTACATGTCCATAAACAGATTGCTTACAAAGAAATAATATTATTATAAAATAATAATAATAATGTAGGAAGTAATAGTATAATTTGTAATTGTATATTTTACACAAATATTAATAAATAATATATACATCAAATCGTCCAAAATTGGAATGATTAAATATAATATTACTAAATATTAAAAAAACCTAATAAATTATTACATATATACAAATTTATGAAATACAATGCACAAGTTAATTAATAATTCATATTTATCGTAAAATTACTTAAATCTACTTATGTTTCAAATATCATATTCATGCTTGTACAGATTGTTGGTCTGTAGTCGGTTACCTCTAATGGCTCGATAATATTTTGTAGAAAGACTGCTTAGATGGATCATAATCTGAATTAAAGCATTGATATTTCATCAAGGGAACTCGATGTTGAATAGTGGTTATTTTCATAGAATAATGATTAATATCTATATCTCGAATCTAATAGCACTTTCTTCATAAGTTGGAAAATTTTGAAACTCTATTATCTCTTGTTCTGCCTTTTACGAGTCTACATCAGCATAGTGTGTAAGAAAATTCCAATGCCATCTAATACCATCATTCTAATGATTTAAAATATGGAACATATTGAGATATTGTTTTTCAGAGTCAGGTTATATTTGCAAAATCTTAGTTTAAGACAAAAGATAATAAATTAATTGAGTAGATTAATCAATAAGTTATGATACAGTGTAATCAAAGAAAATTAAAATTTATTATTTTTTATAAGACGCTATACATTGATCGTAGCGTTCTCAAATTGATTCTGAAGAGACTTCGGGATGTCACATTGTTTTATGATTTAACAATACTTGTAACTACATTTCTTCATTCAACGCATAAATCTTAATTAAAAGTAAATTTGTAGCTTCTGAAAAACCTTTTTTCGCTAAAATTATACTAGTACATTGGCGGTAAATATTAATAGTAATATCGTGAATTACTACGCACACATGTCTGAACCGCATGTAAATATGATATCAAGGATGTTTTCGCGGTGAATGCAGACAGTATGGAGTCAATTCAACACCATTCTAAACATGTTCATAGTGAAGTTAATAAGCTTTTGTAAGCATATCATCGCTGCTGCATTGAGATCTCTCTTGTTTTTTATTTCTTGTTGATTATTTAAATATATTTGGGTAATTATCCGTAACATTAAATAATGATTTATTATAGTTTCCTTTTTATGGAAGAAAATGGAATGGAACACCATCAATGGAGAATGATACGATGAATATGAGCTCAGGTCAGTTAGCCTGTTCACCAGGAATTTATCATGAGGTTATCCAGATACACCACGTAGAGGTCCACCTGTCATGGTACATTGCTAACAATAAGGTCAACAGTATACATTCTACTAACATTCGCCATTCCCTAGGTGCCTATTGTAAATAAGAGTTTTACACGTATATGATATAAATAATGGTTAATTACAAGTTCAGTGTCTTTATGCACTGACGATACATGTTGGCGGGGCACTAGATGATAATGATATAATAAGGTGATGGGCATAAGGTCGGGTCAATTCGCCTGACGTGAAAAAAAAAACGGATTTAAGCATGAAGATAGACGGATAAGAATTATAGATTATAGGAGCTTCCAGTGGAATATAATCTGATGTAATACATTGATAGGTCACTGGTTCCCTTTACTAATAATTACCTTGCCCCATAGGAGTCCAAGTTAATATTATCAGTAAGGTATAGGTTAACAAGATCAATTAACAAAATCATATAACTTCTTTGGATTTTTAGCGTCCATCGTTCTGCACAGAGACTAAAAATTTTAAATAGCTACGACTTTTTCCTAGATGTTTGAAAGAGATATCAGACACCAAATCGAAAGGTTAAGTAAGTAAGGTTAATAGAATACGTTGGTATTAAATACATATTTCAAATTATAATTTATCTATTTATAGCGCTGCGATGTGAAAATTTTCATACGTTAAATGCTGCTAAAAACCTCACTTATAGGTAATACAAGGTTATCGGGTAGCGAATGCTCAGGTGCACGTAACATTACGTCCAACTTCCCAGATTCTAATAGGTAGAAACTCTCATATTCAACCTTAATGTGTACAAGTGATGCCAGATGATTATTAATTTTTCCGCAATAATATAGGTACATGCATGTTTGTTTACATAAATTATTTTCAGTTCAAAGGCAAGACCAACACATACAAATTATGTTTCGTGTAATAACCGTTATTACAAGAATGTAGCTATCCAATTTCATCAAACTGGTGTTGTTTACCATATTAGCATACTTATACAGCTTATATTGCTAATATAAATACTACTATAATATTGTAATAAAATTAAATATTGTATAACAATTAGTGTTGAAGAAATTTTGTCGCAAAATGAGTTTAGGAATAGGTATTTAAATCCTGGCATTGTACATTATATAATAATAATATAAAATGCAATCGTAATTAACAAGATATACCTATATACCTACTTTTTTTTAATTTGAATTAAAGTGGTCTATTTTAAAAACACAGAGCTGTGCAATGGTGTTTCAAATATTCAACCGGAGTCTCAGAATAATTTTCCTTTTTCACTTTATTTTTTATTTTTCGACAATGATCTTATAATTAACAAAGTACCTACTATGTATACATAAATAAACGTTATTGTATTAGCCATCTGTTTTAATAAATTTAGCAACTAATAGTTTCTAAAAGATGTGTTATAAGTTGAATAGAAAAATTACATATACTTATATATTTATAACCTATATACTTATAAAATTGCGCCTGATTGCATGTTTAGCCACGTGTCCAGACTTCCAATGTAGTAATTAGTTACGAGGGAGTGCATTTCTTATGTCTTAAAATTAGTTACAATATAAGTATTATATATATTAACTATTATTTCTACTTTATATTATATTCTCTTTATACTATATTATAATCTACTTTATATTAATTACGTTCAAAGTTTATACTCCCCTGTAATTGGTATGCCCAACGTAGTATATGCATGTTAAAGCAATTTAAAAAATCGTATCAAATACAAAAAGCAAAAATAGTTTCAATTCAGTGATATAATTATTTTAATTAATTACCCAGTGTTTTAGCTGCTTAATACATCACTTATATCTACATAGTATATAGCGCAGTAATACATATTATTTTATGTGTTTAAATCTATACACTATTAAGATATATGGATTTGTAGACATTATATTATGATAAATATTATTTTTTATTCCTTAAATTCACACACACACACACACACACACACACACACACACACACACACACACACACACACACACACACACACACACACACACACACACACACACACACACACACACACACACACACACACACACACACACACACACACACACACACACACACACACACACACACACACACACACACACACACACACACACACACACACACACACACACACACACACACACACACACACACACACACACACACACACACACACACACACACACACACACACACACACACACACACACACACACACACACACACACACACACACACACACACACACACACACACACACACACACACACACACACACACACACACACACACACACACACACACACACACACACACACACACACACACACACACACACACACACACACACACACACACACACACACACACACACACACACACACACACACACACACACACACACACACACACACACACACACACACACACTATACTGGCTATTCTACAGCTTTGACCGCGTAAACACTAAAAAATAACCTTACTACTAATTCAAAATATGATCTGTCTTAGTACCGATTTTCATTTATTTCAGCAGTTTTATCTAATTGAATCACTTTTATTTAATAATTTCAATTAAACTTTCATATTTTAATTGTTTGTACGTTATTATAATATTGTTTTTACCTATAAAATCTGTATTTTTACATTAACTACAAATATCAAAACTCAAAACGTTCCAATAATATGAACTTCAATAACATCTATGTAGGTACTCACCTACACTACAGTGTCAATAGGTATAACTATAATGTCAGTACTCCAGCCATCGGCAGCCATTTGCTTACAAAATTAGAATGTAAAACTATAAATATCACTTTTAGTCCAACTCTCGCCCTCAAATGCTTAATTCAATATTATAACACTTACTGAATTTCATAAAGAATTGTATCAATAATTTTATAATAAAACTCACCGCGTACGTGTTTATTACAATGATCACACGATTTCAGCGCTTATTACGTAGGAAACTTCACGTTCATTATAATGGATAGTCTAGCAGGCGATATCGGTAACAAAAAACTGTGATTGGTTGAATTTAAAAGCCCCGCCATAACGTGACCAATCGGTATACAGGCGTCGGCTTTATTTTTTGTTTATAATATAAACATAGCTACGTTGTGACATTGCATTTACACACATTGACAGTACTATTTTGCTAGAAAAACACATACATTGTCTTTGTTGCTGAACTAAAATATGTTTTATGCGCACGACTTAAGGCCCGAGACAGCAATTTTACAGTGAATGAAAGAGTGAATGAATGTTTTTGATGATGGAACAGCACTATCGTTCGTCGTATTGAGTTTGTTTCTCTGCATACATACATACATACGTAATAGTGTATAAGTGCATTCCTATACATATACATACAAATACGTACATGCAATCAAATCAAATGGCGATCGGTCGGTTCGAACTGCGAAAGTCTCTCGTTCTATTCTTATTTATTCTACCAGTGTTTCTGTAACTTCTGTTTTCTGTACTGAGCTAGTAATTGAACTATCACAGTTTTTATTTCGTTGTTGTTTTAAGTAGCGATTGATGCATGAAATATAAAAACTGATGTTTTCAAGGTAGCAAGTTTGTGAAATAGCAATGAACATTTTAGTGCATCTGTGATTTAAAAGAATTATTGTGTTTAATACGGCACCGAAGTGTAATAATTGAATAGCCGGGTGTTTATAAGCGGTGCTTTAATTGACGTTATGTATAGAAATGGTCAGTGTTATTAAAAATCCTAACCTCAATTCCTAGTTCTTTGTGAATACGTCGAACTTTTATCGTTCGCCTGGTGCGTGGTCTACGTAGAAGTGTAATCGATTTGTTATATATGATTCAACGCGAGTATCAAATGAACAACGGGTTTAGTACAGGAGAAGAGGATTCTAGAGGTAATTTGGATCAAATATGTTGCCTTGTGGATGACAACGAGCGTTGCAGACAGTCCGCTGGCAACGCCGCTTACAGCAAGCGAATACAGAAGACTGTCACACAACGGAGGCTCAAACTAAATATTGACCCACAGGTATTTATTTCTTATTACTATCTACATTTATAAAGTATGTACTTACGATCTTTATCAAAGAGTCTCATGAAAACTATGTTTTTTGTAGGCGAGGCATACATATATCTGTGATTACCACAAGAACATGATCCAGTGTGCAAGAACAAAACAGAGGAGGCTCAAGGACTCTGAAGATGACAGTAATGAGGCAGTGATGGACTCACCTGAAGTAGACTGGTGCCAACTGCAAGTACCAACTCTAAGGCGATATAAAAGGCATTATAAGGTGCAGACAAGGCCAGGGTGGAACAAAGCTCAATTAGCTGAGGTAAATCCTGCTACTATTTTTGCTTGTTTCTAAGTTTATATTAAAGAAGACATATCTTCCTGTAAATAATATTTGTTCTTATTTTATTTCAGGCTATTCAGAAACATTTTAAGTCTCTACCTGTTGATGAGAAGGAGATTATTACTTATTTTATTTATATGGTGAAAACAAATGGAAATAAGTTGGACCAGAAAAATGGAATGAACTCAGATTCAATTTAGATTATATGCATATGACTGTTATTTATAGAACATTATAGTTTTAATATTAGCATTAGATCAACAGGTCTTCAAGTTTTCTTAATGAAATTTTCAATCTGCATTCAACAGAGGCAAAAATGTATGAATTGTGAATCATAAATATATTGAAGTATATTACTTCATGCCAAAATTGTAAATTGGACAAATGCAATGAATTTTTGGGCATGTTTTGTATCTGATATGAATCTGTTCACATTAATGAAAACAAATTGGCTATATATTACACTAATAATTAAATGCTTATTTGTAATGTGTAAATTTATTTTTAGGCAAATATTTGGTATTGCTCATGTTGGGAATTATTGAACAAGTTAGTGGTAAGACATGAATCAGCCCAACAGGAAAATAATGTAATATAGCTACAGATTTAATTTAAGACATTACAAATAAAAACTAATTTATTAATACTGTATTTAAGTTTAATATTACACTTTACACAAAATTTTGTTTCATTGACAAAATGTTACAATGTTGAGGGAAATGCAATTGTTTGTTACATTTAAGAAATTATAAAAAAGCTGTCAAATGTAATGTTATTACATTTTTTCAACAAAATTCACTAATCTTTAATTGTCTTCATCTGATTCTGATGAAACCTCAATCCATGTTGTTGCTCCTTTCTTTGCGATTATTTCTGCAGTTTGTGGTAGTGATTGTATAACTGAAACAAATATTAATAAACATAAAATGTATTTAATTCAATGGACATTTTTTCTAATGAACAAATTGTAGCCTTGTCTAATCAATATTATAATTAAAGTTCAGATATTATTATCACAATTTTTATGAAATATACATTATATGTACATAGTCAATTAATGTATTATGCTGAATTTCATAGAAAATAGGATTTTAAAACATTTTTTCTTTTATGTAATCTACGACAAAAATTACTATGTACTCTGTTTGTACTAGTAAAATAATACACGAAAATAGATGATGAAAATAGACATTTGAGAAATTACTCATCATGATGAGTAATGTCTCTAGAAATTACTCATGTAATTTCTTGAACCATGCATTAATTCGCATATAATAAATTTAGATATCTCCTAATATATTTCATCATGAATTGAAAATAATTGTCATTCAATATATCTTGACAAACCGAACTAGGTATTAATACCTTTGTTTGTTCTAGTGTTTGTGGTTAAGAACAAACAAAGAACTGCACATTCTGCTAAGAGATTCGTGTCTAGTAGTTGGATGATAATGGGTTGATATGTCATTAGTATTTGAGTGAAAGAGCAGGGTGCATATACTAGTCGATAGCGATAGGGGATAAAGTCGCGCGGTTACTATTAGTTTACACAAAATAGTAATACCGTCATATTTGCTCAGTTCTGGCTTTTCATCTTCAAGTTCTTTCATTTCTTCATCATCAAAGTCCTTCATTTCTTCATCCATACATGTTGGCATATCAGCATTATAATTCTTAAGACGAATGTTGAGGGCTTTCTGACTGAGTGATAGAATGTGGTCTGTTGTTATTATGTCACCAAAATTGATTTTGATACGTTTTTGTCTGAAATTATAAAAAAAAGAAATAAATTTCATGATGACTAATCACAAATTAATATGTCCAAATTTCATGTTATTCTAAATATAAAGGAAGAATTGTCTCTTTTTGCTAATAATGTTATTCTAAAACGTTGTATTATACACCTTTCGCTATTCCACATATTTGTTTTGGTGATAAAAAGCATCAAGGGATAATAATTATACAAATATTTTTATAAATCCCAGTCAGTCATTTATTCATAACATAACGTTAAGACCATTATTATTCCAGATGGTATAGCTAGAGGCATCAAATATCAATGTAGTGGTAAACGCAACACTTGACATGTTCACATTTCGCTGTGTATACTTTAAATCTAACATAGCTGGGGGTGAGTCTACTGTCAATTCATTCATTAATATAGGACATTTTTGCCCTTACTCACATTGTTGTATATCTCTCTTTATTTATTAATGTAATAAGTGCAATAAAGTATATATATTGTTTTGCAAAGTACGCTCAATTTTGACATTATGATTTGGTTAAAAGAACTATTTTATCCCGCGTCCACGGTGGCGGCAATAGTAGCGAGCTACCCAGATCAGCACCCTAATGTCAATTATACTACAGTATAATTGTATAATGTAAATATTGTACTGAAGATATAAGATGCGTTTTGCACGCATAATAATTGCCATCGCATGTGTCGGTTTCACAAAGCCTTGTACTCTTGTGCATTAGAAATATGACGTGGCTGTAGTAAAAAAAAATAACATTTGTAGAACACCAACGCATGAGTACCACCATGACTATGGATACCGTCGTACGATGACAACGGTACTTACATGGTCATTATATGACGTCATATACTTGGGTGCTATTGGAGTACACAGACAATGGTTGTCTTTTACCATCGTTTACCATTTACTAGGCCAAATAAACCTGTAAGCTTCTTTGCTATTCTAGTTATGTAAAGAAAATCAGTACTTGAATAGACTCTTAAAATACTTTATAGAACTAAACCAGGCTAGAATACAGTAAATGTGAATTATGAATTAATTAATTATGCACCAACTACTTTGTTAGAAGACTGCAAGTGTCGAGTTCATTATTTACGATAACATTATCAAAAGATAACAATAAAACAATAGAATAATAATTCTTATCCATCCTTGTGTAGATCACAGATAATAGTTATATGCTAATTTAAAACTACGTCATTCTATATGGTTGAGAACTCTTGAGTGGTTCTCAAACATACCTCTAGAGCCTTATTAATTTTCATTGAATTATTATTGCAAGTTGCTTGTGGGAATGTCAATCTATGAACGTCTCTCGATTCTTTATTAAAATATTTATAAAACTATTTATATAGATTTAAACATTTTATTTTAAAACTTATGGTTGGTAATCACTAATAAATGCCTCAACAAATTGATTCTTACCTCATTGTGTCGTCTTTAATTATGGATTTCTTTACAATATCAACAATTTCCTTGCACCTGTCTGCTGCACTTTTGATAGACTTGTGTACTATATTAGAGTCATATAAAGCAGCTCCAGTTAAATTCAATAAACACACTTCCCTATACTGATTCATTCCAACTACTAAAACTCCCCCACTTGCATTTTGACCTTCCTCAGTAGTGCTTGTGCATACTGATTCTTCTATAAAGCTCGGATCTGATAACAAAACACTGGAAAAGAAAACAGACAAGTTTTACAACTTACAATAATTGTAATCCAATGCCGCACAACAAGGCTGTGCACCCAAGATACTGGCAGCATTGCCTCTTTGAATAGCTGTAGCTACCTTCTAAGCAAAGTAGCTCCTAGTTCTCAGGTCACAAGTAACCTCGATGAGCCGCACTGAAATACTCATCAAACTGCATTGATAAAAATTACTTAACACATAATTGTAAATGACAGACAAAACTGTTTACACATTAATTTAAGTATAAGTAATGAGTAGTATATGTTATTAAAATTTTTAAGTTCCAACATTAATCACATAGAATCATAGGACTAATACCCTGAGATGTCTACATATTATTATTAAAAAGGTAATAATAATTTACATAACTGCAATGATATCAATTGTACTGTAATTATTTTACAAATAGTTTTATATGACATCAATTAAAACATTGTCATGTACAAAAAAGAGCAAAAAAATTTCTTGGATGAATAATGACTATGGTGGGTTCACCCAGCCTAACAGTATATGCAGGAGGTTACCATTCTGGCAAATGAACAGCAATGCACAATGATTTCTAGGAGAATTAAAGGATCATTAGTAATGGGGACTAGCCCTATTGCTATGTATAAGTTACATTGAAATGGTCAAAGAAAAGATTCAATATATTTCAATGAAATTACTTATTAACTGTCAATCCTTGTAGTGAGAAGGTTACATACCTCTTAGAGGCCATCATGATTAATTCCTGGTGAATTTACCATAATGGGCTAACTGACCTTACTTCATGCACAGCCTAGCATCTTTCATTTGTACCCTGACAGCATATACTGTTAGTGTGTAACATTCTATTGTCATCTATTAAAAAATCTCAAATCCACCTCTGTCTGCATTAAATTATGTGAACTTACTTATTTTGAAAAATAGCAAATGACAAACAAACTGGATAATGGTATAGTACTGTTGGGATTGGGTCCTTCTCAGCCAATGTGTGTATGATGACACTGTCACCAATTCTTGTTACATCGGGGCGCTTGAAATGTGCTAAAGATGTGAGTGCTGCAATACTAGCACATTCTATGAGATTGCCAGCATGATTGAGAACTTTAATGTCCACTCTTAGTGACCACACCTGTAATTTGAAATGTTTAGATTTAAATAAAAATTATTAAACTACTGGTGCATATTATTATGTTGTCAGTTGAGTGTTTAACATAACGGAGGAATAACATATTAGTCCTCCAGAATAGCACTGGGACAGGAGTATAGAGTATCACATGCCATAGTGCTGTTCCTGTATATAGGCTATGGTTATCAGTTACCACCATCACCAGTTTATGTAAGCTGTTAGCCTGCCATTTGATTCTATAATCAAATTTATAGTAAGGTGTAATGGCAGGCTAACAGCTTATAGATATATCATATATATATAGATATATCATAATATTTGTAGCTGTTTTTTTAAAAGTTATTTAGTACTCACAAATTTACAAGCTCTGCTTAGTTGTGACTGACACATACTGATGTATCAACTGTCCTGGGTTATCATTATTAACTATGAATAATCCTAATGCCACTGACAAATTTTAAGATAGTGATTTATGGAGCTTACGAACAATTTAGAATATTTTAACAAGAAAAACCAACTGAAAGTATTTTTTTTATTATATTACAAATAACTAAAACATTATTTGTGTCAAACGAATAAATGTTATATTTACCTTCTCCTCTACAACTATACACAAGGACTCCAGGTCTATACATTTAGAATCTTTATAACATTTTTCAATAAGTCTATTGAGATACACTGTGAGATCGGTTTGCCTATTAGCCTCAAACTGTGGTGCAGCCATTGGGCTTATTTCAACATTTATATACAGAATTCCTTCATTGGGGCGAATTTGTTTTGGCTGTGTTACTTCACAAGTCACTTGGGCTAGTACTCTGTAATAAAAATATTAGATAATGTAATATTGTGAGACTAAAATAATAACCACATTAATTCGAAACAATTTTATGAACGTCGCATTTTATACGTTTGGAATCTTTTATAGATAATCTTATGAATGTGCGTACTATGTAATTATTTTAGTTAAAGCGAAAAAATAACATTCGGTTCTATATTTCTAAAACACACTAACTTTGTTTCTCCGAGAGATACTATACAACTGCCATAATCCGAGCCAAATGATATTTGTAGATTTCGACATTCATTATAATTTCTTCCGTCTAAACGCTGAAATAAAGAATTACTGAAGTTAAAAACATGTATAAACATGAACAAGTTTGATCTTTAAACGAAACTAACTTACGTGACCCTCAGAAATTATTCTATGTATAAAATTTTTCTCACATCCCGATATAAATAAATCCCTCATTTTTACAGTTGTTCGTAGAAATTACAAACAAATGTTTAAAAAGTAGATATATTCTAACATAACCTAGAATAAATATTTGAAAGTCTTAGAAATGAGTATGACAGTATGTCATTTTTTTTTGTTCTATTTATCCTTTAATCGTAAGGCAAAGGGAACTGCGCCCATACAGCCATATCAGCCTGTATTTTGTTAGTTTATTTTATAGGTCCTGAATTCTTGTACAGTGCAATAGATGTTCTTGAGCTAGCAATGTACCGTGTCAGGTTGACCTACCTGTTGCGGTTCCCCTTGGAAACCATCGTGACAAATTCACCAAGAATTAACTAACCTGACTTCATGCTCATCTTATAACCCTTCACTGGTGCCCCGCCAGCGCAAACCGTTAGCCCATAAGAAAAAATAAATGTTCTTGAGTCTCTTAATAGTTCCTAAAGAGAGCACGGGACCCGCTTCTATTAAGATTAAAAAAAAACTAGTTCCATATTAATTATAAATGCAGAACATTTATAATCGACTTGTATTTTACCTTCTTATTTTATCAATTAAACAGTGTCAAATAATTTGAACTTGTTTCAAATTAGGCCAAATACTGGGACTAGCAAAATTTTAATTTTTTAAGCAGACATAAAATTGCATACTTGCAGCAGTTCTACATTACTTCGATAATTTTTTTAAGTCTACTTAGTGTACCTACTTCTATTTTTTTTCGAATAAGATTTTAATTATACAATATTTATAAAGCATCTCGATTCATGGCTTACGGTCCTATATATCCGATGGAGGGCCCATAAACAGTATATTAAAATTTCAATGTTTTAAAACTCTTCACTATAAAATAATTGTATAATGTATTTGAAGTAGATACATTTTATATATTACTAGTATATAAATAAAGATTTTTTTACACATTTCAATAATCAGTCGTTTTGTAAAACAAAGGTTTTCAAGGCGACTCTTCGTTTATTTCTGTGTTAGTTAATATATGTATTTATGCATATTTTACTATAAAGAAAATCTTTATTTTGTCTATTTTTATATTCTTGTAAATATTATTTTACGTTACTTACATGCTACAGAACCAATTAAATATAAAAGCGGTTATGGTGACCATGTTAATCTGTAAGCTAACACGATTATAAAAGTCTCTTAAAATATTCCTAAACGAGTTGATTATCTTTATGAACTTATAATAAGGCAAGGTCATCATTTTTGAATCATCAATAAGTAGTAATCAATAAATTCAACCACATAATTGTATTTTAATTATGTTTACTTTATATAATGACACTGAATATTACGACAACCTTTGTGACTTTTGACTTAAGCTTACATATTTATTATTTTATCTAACAACCCCATGCCTTCACCCCATTAACGGAATATTGACTACGTATGTTTTCATAGTCCACCATCCTATTAGCGAAAGAGTAATGTGGACTTACCTTATATGAATTAATTTACATTTCAAATACTCTTTCGACTGGTCAAGTGCAAGTGATATAAGTCTCGTAAGACTTCTTTTACTTTCACTTACTATTTCATTAGTTAACCGTTAATGTTTCATTAATAAAAAATCTGATTCTTGCAGTACAGTCGAAAACTGCTAAACGGCAAAAATGGTAAACTCTTGAACTGTCTCCATATTGACCTACTGAGACTTTAAAACAGGCACACCGATAACCGAAACTGCTTCGATGTATTGAGTTGAGTATTTGATACATATGCCGTTCTGGAGGAAAATGCTTGAAGTCCCATGTCCAGCAGTTTCTGCGGCGGAATCTCTATTATTTGAAAAATTAATATCGAGACCAGGCTCTTTATCATACGTTTCCTTAGAATTTTAAGCTTTTTGATAACATTGCAAGGAAAAATTGTTACTAATTGAAGGTATGGTAGATGGGTAGAGTAGATGGCAAACGTCCTAAAGGGCGCAGCCCCACAAATGGTCTGACTAAATCTGCTCATCGTATCTAGTAGATCACCACGTCCATGACGCCCTCCATTACGTCCCAGATGTACACTAGTGGAAGGATATAATCAGAGGGTAAATTATTCAGCAGGGCAGTCATTACACTCAAATGAGGAAAACGATGTAAAGATGAGGATTATTATCTTATTAATTATTGATTGCAATTTAATAGATTTATTCTATAATATCTCAAGACCATTCACAGCGCTATCTAGTCTCAAGCTAAACAGGGTTTTTGTGATGGGTGATACTAAATAACTGATATTAATATGTACATAGAAAACACACAGACCGATACAAACAATAGAATAGAATAGAATAGAATAGAATAGAAAATCATTTATTCAAATAAACTTACATTGAAGCACTTTTAAATAGTCATTACATTTTTTAATCTACCGCTCATTCGGAAAGCTGTCTCATCACAAGAAGAACGAGCAAGAAAGTTGCGTGTTGCTCTTTTAAATAAGCTTTTTTAAGTTAAATCACCAATTAGCACTAATTCAATTAAATACTCAAATAGAAATAAATATTGAGCCAACCATCACTGCGCTCGACCATATCTTTGGGAGTCCAATGACCCGGCCCACCACGCCGCCACAAGTCTGGACACTTTAGTAAGCATGACTACTCAAAACACTAAACCACGTCAAAGCTACTTACAATTGCCATCTGATAGTTATAGTATTCACATTTTACATAAGAATGCATGCAGCAATCAATACAAAAACCGCTACGCTTTCATATTTCTAAAATAATTAAATCAAGAAAGCAATGAGAAAAATAAATTATAACGTTGTATGCTAATATACTAATTATTTACTTGATATGTTGTCATCTATGAATTCGTCTATCCTGTAATAGGCTTTCTTACACAAAAATTGTTTAATATAAGATTTGAATCTGCCTCTCTGTCAGATTTAGTGCAGATTCTGGTAGTTTATTATAAAATTTTACGCAATTTTACGCAATAAGACTAATGATGGAACACAAATGAATACAAATATTGGAACCATGGAAATCGATCCAGCGACCATCATGCAGAAGTAAGGTGATATGCTAAATCGCTGGACCACCGAAGCCGTCTATTCTCTATTGCAGATAATTCCAGACATATCATTACTAAACTAACGTTTCAAAGTCATAGCGTGAGTGAGCGATGTAACGGACATGTCATATAGCTCATCCTCGCTGTATGGTTCGTGCTATGTCGCCGCGACAACGTGTCATTACGCAGGTGGCATCCATTATGTCTGTTATATTTAGCACAAAGTCCAAAATCTGCTGTGTTTCCGCCAACGGCCAGTAACAGCACGATGCAATGGCTACCGGAATAGACCTCATCGTCTCTACAGTATGCAACGCTACATTTTGCGAACCGATATACGACAATCCCATCTTAGGTAGGTATATTACGTTTTATTTATTTAATTGGTATTTTAAGTAAGTTGAAGGCACATCTGACTATAGGTAAGTCTGAATAGGGAAAGGGGATTGTTAGTAAGTGGACTGACCCCATTTCTAGCAACTTTCATGCGCCATTCCCCCTGGAAACCATTGTAATAAATTGGCCACGATAAGTTAACTTCACCTCATGCTCATCGACAACCCTTCTCTTCCGAATTGGAGAACTAATGTTTTCTTTAAGAGGACGGGGATTGTTAGTGATGTAGACTGATTATAATAATAGGTTGCCTGACGATGACACTGACCTGACCTGGATGGATGGACCAGTCCTTCACTGGTGCCCGGCTAGAGTAAACTGTTAGCGCACGGGTTTGTAACATTCCATTATCATCCATTAAAAAAAATGTTCTGTTTCCTTTCAACCGAAATGTAGGTTACTCGTTTGTATGAGGCATGCTTAGCGGGTAAGACAGGCGAGACCTAGATTAGACATGCAGATAACTTTGTACAAACTACTTCGGCAAATAGGTAGATTGAGTTATTCCAGACTATTGCTTATTTTTTTAATGAAATGACGTTTAATTTTTCCCTCTAGAAACAACAAAGAAGGAAACCGACTTACAGAATCTAATTAGCTATGTTAATGGAAGACATTTAAAAGTAGCAACATACGATGTAAGTATATTTGTTTATTAATATAAATACAGAGAGTAGGCATGTAACTAATAATGAAAGGGTCCTAAATTTTGCTTTATCTACTGTCAATATATAGTAAAAATATCAACTTCGACCAGCAGTGATCTTGAATCTAATTTCAATATTATAATGACTTATTTCGATGACTACGCAATATAGATGCTGCTAGAGTACAATTGGAGAGTAAGTTACAATGTGTATCGAATCGAATTTAGAATTAATTATGAATTTACGAGTAACAAAAAATTATTATCATAAACTCTTGGGATCATTTTACTTATTCTTAAATCATGATTATATTATACTTTAGGATATTCCTCTGAGCTGGACAGAAAATGGACTAAATGGCTCTCTCGTGGGTCAGGGGGTAGCGTTCGTTATCCTTGAGATATTGCGAGAAAAGTTTAATTTCACCTATGAAGTTGTGATACCAGAGAGAAATTTCGTGTTAGGTGGAGATAAGCCTGAGGATTCATTGATTGGGCTCGCTAATAGTAGCGTAAGTACAATAACCTAACATGCTATATCTAATTATAATAAGCAACTTAGGCTAAGCTAGCCTATGTGTTCATGTTTCTCTTACCCATGATAATTCAATGTACCGTCTAGTCCCAAACTAAACAACTGACAGAGATAGTTCTTTTTCCATTTATTTGTTTCACACTTTATTTTTTTTTTATACGTATATATTTGGATTTATAAATTGTTAGGTTCCCGCTGCGATTTGATATAGGGGAAGTTTTTAATAGAAGTTTTCACTGTAGGGTATAGTATATTACATTAAAGTATATAATAGATTTAATATTTAAATACAAAATTTAATAATAGAAAGTTTTCGCATGTATGTAGTGTACTCTTATATATTGTTAATCTGTTAGAAATAGTTATCAATATTTTTTTGGAAATAAATAAGCACTACATAATTAACAAAGAAAGACATTTCGTTTCTAATGTTAAGTATGTTAATTTTTGAAAATTTTCAATAGAAAGTGGATATGGTCGCCGCATTTTTACCTAAAGTACCACGTTTTCGAAGTATGGTATCATTCTCGTACGATCTCGATGAAGGCATATGGGTCATGATGCTTAAGAGGCCAAAGGAATCAGCAGCCGGCTCCGGTCTTCTGGCCCCCTTCCACAGTTATGTCTGGTAAGAGAGGTCTATCTTAGGTAATCTGTACAGTGCTTAAAACATATCTATTTTCATATATACTTTTTCTTTAACATCTCTTCATCAGGTATCTAATTCTAGTCGCAGTTTTGTCGTATGGGCCCTGTATAACTTTATTGACCAAATTACGTTCGAAATTAATGCCGTCGGGGGACAATCATATAAAATTATCACCAAGCTTTTGGTTTGTATACGGAGCTCTCATCAAACAAGGAACCAATTTAGCACCGGAGGCTAGTAAGTACCGTTTTTTTTACATAAGTACGCTCTCATGGGATCAATCCGGCCCTGGAATTGTATGAGTACTGTAAGACTCCGACAGTATCTACATACTAGATACCTACTGTCGGAGAGTAGTAGAGAGAGAGTAGAGACTGTAGATATCTCCTATCCTAGCTTTCGTATAAACTCTTTAATCCTTCTTTCTATTCTATTTTATAATATCCTAAATATTTTATTTATCGTTGGATTGCGGATGTAGGTATTCTAAATATGTACAATGCTTATGTATTCGGCTAAGGATATTGTTAGTAATGTGCACTAATAACCCCATTGTGAATTTTTCATGGTGGTTGAATTAATAAGATAAATATAAGGTCTAGTTAGACTTCACATTTATCTTATTATCTTCAAATCTTCCACTGGTGCCCCGCCTTCCCTAGTCCTTAAACCTTCCGTAGTCATCTATTTAAAAAATGTGTATTTAATATATGCTGCAATACACATAAGTATTTGTAAATATTAAAACATATTTGTATTCATACCCGTCCTATATGTAACTATGTAGATACAATTGTATAATACTTTGTAATACAAACATTGTGGTAGGTACTTCCGAATCAATCTACATTAGTGGCGAGTAATGGGCGGTTTGCTTATATCATCTATCATTTTCCGGTCACACTTTCATCGCGGCCCTAAAGGTGGAGTTAAACGAGGCTAACGAATTCCCGTTCTTCTCATAAGCACCAAACAGCACACAAGCTGATATTACACTTTATTAATATTGTCAATCAATTACAAAAGTCATTAGATATAAAGAAAAATCGTAATTCAAAAATAGAACGTTAAACATTGAACTGTTCTAAGTTTTTGATATTGGTAACCTTACTTATAAAGTAAAGTAGTTAATAAGAAATAATAAAATATCCCGAACGCAAATGATGTTCCAATAGTCCATTACCAAATATTCTTATTCCCCAAACACGATTACAAAACTACAATGTACGTATTAATATCGATATTTTCATTCACTTTTGTACTTTTAACTCTGTTAAAAGTTACTGTTACTGTTACTTTTAACTCTAATATTTCTATACTACTAGATAATATTATATAGTACTACTATACTATATCTCTACTATTAACTCTATCACTAGATTTTGTTCTAGTCCGGTCCACCATTGAGAAATAATGTAATATATATAACTCTATATTATATGATTTTAAATATAAATTTGTCAACAATCCATTTTGTTTTTGGGAAATTATCAAGAGTAAATAGGAGTAACAAGAGTTTACTTCTACGCAAGTCTAACTCCACCTTTATGTTGTATTCCTTTCCACTGCATAAATTGTCAATAATAAATCATATACACAGTTTTTATCATTGACAGGTGAATGTTAGATACTATTTAGGTACATTTTATGTAGGACGATTTGAGTAAAATATTGGAATCAATAATTACAGTGTTGATAGACATCAATGACAGAACACCCATCATTTTGTTGCATATCTGTAAAATCGTAACAGCTCACCTAATCTATTAGTGATATTACTTTTTATATTAAACATAAACACATTTCTTGTACATATTTGTTGCGGTTTCAATGATATAAGTAGATACTTTATTATTTATATTCGACCTAGATAAAAAAAATGATATTAGAATATGAACGTACCCACGTAATAATATTAATTTGCATGGATAGAAAGGGAGAGCAAGACTGAATAAAACATGGATGGATTGTGTGAATGTTGATATGTATAAAAAAAAAGTATACTCAGATCTAGAGGCCGGATCATTGGAACAGGATGACATACTGTGTCGACCAAAAATAATGATATGAAGGCAAGGCAATGATGATTAACGTAAACGTGCGAAACTTTATCGCGATGTAGGCACTTTCTACAAAAGCAATTAATGTTGAATGAAAATTAGTATCATTTTATAATAATTTTAGCTAATTGTATAACACATATTTACATCATTCAACTATTTCGATCAGAAATATTTAAGATAAAAATATTCAAACACAAAACAATGATAAAAATTTCTGTCTGGTGTTGTTAATGTAATGCAGAAATAACAATTTTTTTTGCTCCATAACACACGATGAGATTCGCTTTTCTTTTATAACACAATTTTGGCAGATATTGTAGTACAATAAAGTTTATATATGTATAAATACATATATGTTAAAAAGTAGAGTAAAATTGGGTAGAATAAAATCCATTGCTGGATTCTGTATTCTCAGTGTATTCAAACCTAACTTACTAGTAGTGGAATCAAAAGTACTACATATATTTTCTTTACACCATACACATAATATTAACCTTTGAACTAGTATATAATTACAGATTTAGAAAAGGTATCTACTTATGGCCTAACTACTACAATAATGTGTAGGTACGAACTATTTTCAGATCTGATGATAGATTAGACATAAGTGTCTGGTGTCTGTAATAGATCTACATGATTAAATATATTTTGATTTGTTTTACTCAGTAATTATTTAACTATTACCACAAAGGATTGACTAGTTTTTCATGGTCGACTGATATAATTTCTCCTACTTAGGTATAGAAGACCTATAATTAAATTCCTACTTTACAGACACAACCAGAGTTCTATTCACAACTTGGTGGCTTTTTATAATACTACTATCAGCGTTCTACACAGCGAATTTGACCGCATTTCTCACACTGTCCAAATTCACATTGGACATAGAGTATCCTAAGGATTTGTATAAGAAGAATTATCGATGGGTTGCAGCACAGGGCAGTACGGTCCAATATATTGTATCAAACGTAAGTTGAGCCATAGTTAGGGTTGTCAACTCTCCCGGATTGACCGGAAATCCGATACTTCCCGACCTTCCGGAATGCAATAATTACTCCGGTTTTTCCAAAAAAGACAGAAAACCCAATTACATTTGTTCTTTCCATTCTTGTCTGTATCGCTTTATTCGCATTCGCATATTCGGCATGATGGAACAAGGAAAAAAAAAAAGAGTATTTTTTTGGTAAAAGAAGAGTTACAAGTACTAACTTCGATTTTTCAAGTAAAAACTTTTATAATTTTGTGGTAAATAAACGACAAATATTCAATGGTCAAAACAAAATACAAAAAATTATGATTTTCTATTAATAACCCCCACCCCAATCAAATTCTAAGCATAAAATTCTCCCGGGTTGGTCCTATCGAGAGTTGGCAACCCTAGCTACAGTGTATATTAATTAATGTACAGTCTGAACGATCATCCGGCAACGTATGAGTGGTACCAGAAACGCCACATGATAACGTGATATCCATATGAACAGCAGATCATGTGCATGGGCGACATTTACCACTTATCTCAGCTGGACTATCAGTTTTATCATTTATATATATGTTCGTATACCAATTATATAAAAAAACACATATATATGTAGAATATTCTAGATGGGGTAGTCAGAAATATTGTCGATTGTTGATCTTAAGATGAACGCAACATTTGCTTATCACTTCACAAAATACCTAGGTACTTTAGCTACTCAGTCTAATTTCATTGTTATCTATGTTTCGTCCAGAGTTTTATTTAATTGTGGTTTTTACCTATTCAATTATTGTGATATTTCTACCACAGATAAGATATTACCTACTGTATCTACATATGTATATAAACATGTACCTATATACCGTGAATATATTCGTTTCAGCTAAGTTGAAACATATGAAGACATTTTTTTGTAGTTTTTGTACAAAATTGTCTGAGTAAGTACCTCTATGTCACCTATTCCAGTGGTCAAGCAGGTTGTTTTATAAGTTGTTTCGTAGAAGGGTGAGATTTGGCAGTAAGTTTGTAAAATTGGTTTGGATGCATAATACCTACCTCTCATTTACATGCCATGTGGTAAGGCAATGAGGATGACGTTATGTCCGTTGTTGTTCATGTATAGGCGATGGTTGCCACTTACCATCAGGTGGGTGGTCAGCTGGTTGACCATTCCAGTTACATAAAAAATATATTCCAATACAGCCTGATGAAGAATTATATTATCTGAGTGCAATGGTGAAGAACGGCCGTGCAGAATTCCGGCCATACAGCGACGATCAGGCGTTCCTGCCGCTGGTGAAAACCGGAGCAGTTCTAGTCAAAGACCAGCTCGGTGTTGACCATATAATGTATAAGGACTACATTCAGAAGGCTAAGGAAGGCATCGATGAAGGCGACAGGTGTACTTACGTTGTGGCGCCTAATTCATTCATGAGTATGTTGAGAGCATTCGCTTACCCAAGAAATAGCAAGTTGCAATTTCTATTTGACCGAGTGTAAGTACCTAATGAGTTGATATATTCTTTATTACACTTTGAAATACAGTAACAATTTTAATTATAAACAATGTGAGCAAAGAAAGAACAGAAAGAAAATAAAAAAAGATGGACCTTAAAGACAGTTCTCTACCGATCAATCCACAGCGTGGCATAGTTAATAATGTTGATATCTCCAAATTAAAAAATAATCATAAATATATATATACTAGATTACTACAAATAGGATTTTATACAAAGTCGCTTGCATTAAAGCCAGCTGTAAATCAGCTTCTTTCAAGTTGTATTTTGGTTCGAGAAATTACAAAAAATGTATCTATATCAAGTAGGTATGTATTTATATCAAGTGCTTAGTACCTATTACACAAGCTCTGCTTAGATTAGGACTAGATAGCGGTGTGTGAATTGTTAAATATTATTTTATGACCCACTACATCCATAGTTTTTGAATCCATATATATCAGAACTTAAATTTTTCGAATTATTCAATAATAAATTTTTCTTTCAGTCTCGTGTACCTCTCTCGAGCCGGTATAGTGAAGTACTTACAAACACGTGACTTACCAAGTACGAAGATGTGCCCACTTGACTTGCAGTCCAAAGACCGGCAACTCCGTAACAGTGATTTGCTGATGACCTACATGATCATGGTCATTGGCCTTTCTGCAGCCGCAGCCGCGTTTATAGGAGAGGTACCTAAACTTGATTATTAGATATATATTATATTTGATGACCCGTAACTTCATCTGCGTAACATTTCTTCCGTTTTTGCTTCTATTTTCATTGCTACACCGCTCTTATTAGATATAACGTGATGTTAAAATTTGTTAGAGAAATAAAAAATAACCATTTATCTTAATACTATTTATGTACATGTATATCATTATGATCCGTTCATCGATTTACTTTTGAAAAGGTAACAAACAGACATTTTCACATTTATAATATTAGATGGACATACATATCGTTTGTATAATGGACAAACAAGATGCAGGACGGGAACGCGTATGTGACATCCCTGGTATACACGTGTGCATAGGATAGGGTAACTATGTACCATCAAATAGGCCGTGCGCTTGATTGCCACCATCGAAGTATAAAAGAATGTGTTATTTATTACTTTCAGATAATAGTGAAACGGTACTTACGTATAAAGATAAGGAGACGCGGAAATCAGAAACGAAAGAAGACGAAATTTAACAAGAACCATATTGTCCACAAGTATGATGACAGTCGTCCACCACCTTACGATTCGATATTCGGCCGCCGCAATCCGAATTACAAAGTCACCGAGGAACTGCAGACGAAGATCATAAATGGCAGGGAATATCTGGTAGTGGATACAACACATGGAGGCTCCAGGCTTATACCGGTTAGGACGCCATCAGCATTCCTCTACAATCTGGAGAAGTGAATTGTCGAAAAAAAACGTGAAAAATACCTTTGCCGTGTATTTACGTTATCTGTACATACCACAGAATAGAAACTCTCGATATAAAATCAACATTATATATAATGTTGTAACTGTAAACGGTACCGAATTAAATTCGTTGTATGTATTTGTAGTGTCTACTTACATACCTCATAAGGTAAAGTATTGTACTTTCTCTTATTGTTAAAACACACGACACAGTCGATAAATTATTCTACTGATCCCTTTCAAGATTGTATATTTGAAGAAACTTTTTTGATAAGACAAAATCACCAAAGGACTCTACGCTTGTTGCTATTCTAATTACATAAAAAATATAAGGTTGACCAAAAAATAGGGTGAATAAATAATATATAGGTAGATCACTATTTTTTATTAATTCACTTTTCTTTTAGTTAAATTAACTGTGGACTCCTCATTCAATTGGAATTTACTTACCTGCTATATGTATGAATATTGAAATTAAACGTTACAATGTAAATTTAATTTTTACCTTTCCTATGGTATGTACAACAATAAAAATTGCATGTAATAATAGTATTTATGTATAACATACTTTGCTAATAAAATTTATTGTTAGATAAAGAACACAAAAGCACATTGCACAAAGGAGCAGAAAAATATATATTAGATGAAATGTTACATAAATAAAAAAATGCTTTTAAATACATATTTTTATTAATCGTGAAAATTCATTTTCACAATTCCTCTAACATTCAAATCTTGATTCACAATTTCTCTCGTTTTGAAAACAATAAACGTAATAAATTATATCAAGATATCTGCATTATACATGGTTCGACAATAGTTTATGAAATTATTCTAATTATTAATATTAAATAATTTATTTCGTAAAATGTTACAACTAATAAAATGTTGTAAAACAGGCCAACAAAAATAAAAGGAACTTGGTGGAACTTGTCTGACAATCATCTACAATCTGTACATACATACATAGAATTTTACATAGGTACATTTCTTATATTGAGCAGTGACCACTTGTCACGCAAAACCTCAGTCATAATACAAAACATACAAATGTAGTGGCAACATCTCCGCATATCGAAACATTCTTTATAAATTTATTTATGTTTTGGATTCATATAAAATTATACAACAAATTATTATCAATTTATAAACATTGTGATATATAAATCTGATCAAAATTGTAATATAAGCATGTAATTTAGAACACTACCACATATATGATGACAAGTTAATGAATAACAAAAAAACCTCGGAATTTAATAGAATAATAATGGTATATTGGTTAACATCACTTGTAATAAATACTTAAGTACTTTCTTTACACTGGCTATTAATTTAGTTGATATTTCCTTTTATATAATATATAATAATGTTATTCACTACAGGTTCCAGAACATATTAAAATAAAAACTTTAGTAATCCCCCAGGATTCGAACGTACTCTCAGATATGTGCAAAGTAATTATTTAATCAAAAACAAACATCATACAAGACGAGTATTTGTAAAATTCAAATAAAATTTTGTTTTTACGTGAACCAACCTATATACCATTATTTATGTAACTGTAATTTATTTCAGTTACGTCATGAGAAAAGCAATTACATATAAAAATGTTAAACATTTTGTCATACAATCAGGGTGGAATTTACCCACGTCTGTTAAATAAACATTACTATATCGCTAATAAGCCACTGTCATATCCCCGAGTTTAAAATCTAGATATGGAGAATTATTGACTATAGAAAATAATGAGATACAGCAAGAGGTGATCGTCACAAAGATTTCTCGCGAGGTGCAAATAATAACTGCAGATATCAAAGATAAATAAAATATTCATATTAAAATAAAATAAACAATTGAATGACATTAAAGTAGAGTAGGCTAAAGTGTTTATTTATTGATATAAATATCGCAGTAAGACAATACGGCTACCTAAATTGGGCCGGATTATACCATATAAATGTCCCCATTACAATGTCTCAGAACTATCTCTAAGTAAGTTGATATCATTTAAACTTTATAAATAACGGTAAATAATAAAAAAACTGTATTAGTAGCATGTAACACCTAAAAAAAGTACTAAAAATTTACTGAGTACTAATGATAGTGTCATACTATTAATTACGCGTTAGGGCTCATAGCCTTGGACATTTCCTATGAATAACCCGGGACTATACCTAAAGAATCCACTGAAAGTTGCTAAACCGTTCAGCTTGAGTGTAGATATTATAATCCTACGTGATTGTCTATCTAAATGTATTGCATAGTTACCCGCACAAATATTCTCTAAATGAGAATCATTCACTATAAACATGCCACTTTCCTTGGCGTTTCTCTACTTATACTACAGAATACGATCACAATTTTAAGTGTAAGAAACAGTTCATATTATTTAATAATTAATAATAAGTAAATTTAATATTTATATCCTCAACCGTCTCTAGAAATGCACATGTTTTTGGATATATTATTCATTAATTTATTGCTATTTTATGAAGAGGTATTATTGTTGTATTTTAGTTTATATGAACACATTGCGTGGATGCGCTAATATTTAAGAATATTATCGATTTATATAGCAAATATACCGCAACCCTATATGATCACAAACTCGTTACTACTCTTAAGACAATATCATGGAAGATTTAACATCAAAAGTGGAATAGTCCAAGAACTTCGGGTGCTCCCTCAACTCACAAGAATCAGTAATTTCCAAATCAAATGTAGACATTCATTGCATACAATAATTTGTGGGTTTTTTGTGAAATTGCTGATCCGAAATCCTTAGTTTATTATTCCATGAACAAAATGCATAGGTACAATAAATTAAATTCCACTACAACGCTTTCAAGTTTAGATTCATTCGAAAAGATTTATAAAATCAATTTTTTTTATTACAGAATAAAGGAATAATTTACTTATAATTATATAATTTCGAATTAAATTAATTTGCACAATATATTTTTTATATTAACTTCTAGTTCAAAGGGCGTGTTAGAAAAAAAATCATAATAAGAAGGAACGGCAGACATTGCAGAGTAACATATGGGTAGAAGAGAAAATATTTATATTTCGTCATACGAGTACAATCTCTAATACAATTTATTTCAAGTTTAAACAATTCATTTGAGTTGTCAAGCTTAATACAATTTATTTAAGTTATACATGTATGTCAATTTAGTTTATTGATAAATTAATGTGACTACCGAACACAATGAATCAGTATATATTAAATATAGACACACACGTCTTAAGGACTTAGTCCTTAACATAATTATTATCAAAGTCGTCTAAAGATTAGATTAATATAAGCTATAATATAATATAGCGTCATCCACGTGCCACATTGTAAGGTCAATGCCCTTATTTTATTACCATTGAAATTTACCGCCGTAAGCTTCAAATATTTATATAATTATTTTTAAAATAGTGCCGTCAACTTATTAATTATGAGATATAAAACATTATTACAGAATAACATACATTGTACTTTAAAAAAATATATACATAAAAAAGTATTCATAGGCAAATGAAAGTGATATAATAGTTATAAACAAATATTTAATCAGCTATATATTGTTTAGCTATAGATTTATCTACAGAGCATTAATTTGTGAATAAATAACGTTCATCTAGCGTTTTCTATTATCAAAACATATCAAACCTAATTCTAACATTATGTGCATTTTGAAAAATCGAGCAATCAAATTATGATTACTACGAAACAAACAGTCTAATACACATGCGCACAAACAAAACACATATTTATTATGAAAATACTGTAGGTATAATATTTTGAACACACCAGGTTTTGTTTGGGCGTGTTGCGAATCAGACAAATTTGTTTCGCTCGCTCTTTTCTATTCTAAGGCCGCTTTCTAATTTGTCGCTGCGTGTACTTGTTTGGTTGATCTGTATTGGTACAGACATTACTGAGTAAACCAATGCTGTACTGACAAATCAGTAAGTGACCTAATATTACCATTATAAGCAGTAATATATTTTTATATTTACTTCATTTACGACAAGCAAACCAGTGCTTTGCAGTACATCATAAATCAAGAGACAACAGTCTGTTTAATTATGAAATTAATCGACATTTCAATTGTAATTATATAAATTAAGGTAGTTAGTACAAATAGTAGAAATATAATATTCTGAGTAGTAGCATCTATCAATGAATGCAAATTAGTACTTTGCCACAGTGTCATTATTGAGAACTCCAAACATTTTTATGTACCTATTATAAACAAGTTGTTAAAGCGACAAGGTACCAAAATATTATTATTAATGGGTAACGGGCAATTTGCCATCCTACGATGGTATTTTCTATCTCTACTATGTAATATGATAAAAGTAGTAATATTATTTCAATGGTACAATAGAATTAAGGAAATTTTATTATGTAATGATTGTCGAATATCTACCAAAGTAACTATGCAACTAAAAATAAGTATAGACGCATAAACGTAGTACGTCTTTAAATGTAATCAGTCAACGGAATGAAGGATAATAATCATAAACAGTTGAAGCCTACTAGTTGTGATGGGATTATAATTATTATATTTATCACTATGTCAGAATTAAAAAAATAAAAACATATATCGATTTATTTTACAGTAGCGCCATCTCTTGACGTATTATGAACTACGAAGTACTAGTGAACATTGTCCTTTGCTTTGTATGCGTTACCATAAAAAAATGTAAAATAACTGAATGTTGATCGTGATACACAAATTTTTATACTGATTTGTAGATAAAATTATGATTCAAATCATATCGAATGCATATAATTAAATAATAATTAATTTAGATATACCAAATTGTTTACTTTGCAATTTGCAGTTCGTCCATAGCGTTCTCTAAATAATCTAATAGGGATTATCGATATTCATCGATGTTCAGGAACAAAATTAATGTTTTAACACCATTGACAAGTCTTCGACGACATCGATATACATGTATATGGAGACAAGCATTCGATAACATGGACAAATAAGCAAGAAACCTAAAAAGTCATTCGAAACGCAAAATGATTGCACAGCGATATTTGTAATTCGATATTTATCATACTATATCGATACTTATAGATCGATATTGACAGTGATGATTTTTTTAAATATCGATCGTCCCTACATCCGCTTAAGTGACGATAGTGCAACAATACAAGATGTCTTCCTTCCCCCCATCTTGTAGGGTATGCCACGCACGAAATCGTCGCATTACAAGTTTGTTACTTTATTACGCCAGTGCCAATAATTAATTACTCCATTCTGTCTTGTAGACTTAACATATTTAACGCAAATATCTTATAGTAGTCTCATAGCAATCTGTTAACAACTTTTATTTGGTTTATACCAATATACATTTTTTATTTATGCCTATATTTTTCTTGAAACTTACTTATTAAACTTAGCTGATAATAGAATGGTAGTTTAGTCAAATATTCAGTATTAAATTGGTTTCTTTCATTACAACATGTCGTATTATTATAATTGTATGATCGTTCACGTCAATTATTTTTTATTAAAATTGAACTTAATCAATTACAATAACTTCCCAATAAAATACTATAAATAATATAAATATTCTTGGCTAAAATACCATGCAAGAGAGGCTTTAAAGTACGCTAAAACTCCGATAACTGCAAACGAATCTTAAATATTTATATTTGTACCATCTCTACATAGGTATATCATTAAAGTTACATAAACATCAATTTAATCGGGATTTATTTTAAACTCTGAGAAAAAAAGTAATCGTGCAAAAATAATGTATTTTTATATATAATAAATATTTTAATTTGATTTCATAATATTTTAAGCACAAGCTTCTAAGTTAAATAAGGACTTATTAAATTCTTTGTGAGCAGTTTCAAGTTTGAAAACTAAATAATATATAAGCGTAGTTTAGATTTAGATTTTAAATATAATCGTATGATTGACGGATTTACAAATACATTATAGTGAAAGTGAGACGGTAAAGGAGATCACCCAAGGGCAGCATTGGATTTACCATTGCGTGTAACGTTACTCATCAGATATGTAAATCTGAACGCCGTTTGTACCGCTAAGTCATATTTATATTAAATATACCTATGTATATATAAGTACGCAAATAAATAAATAACACTTTATTTCACAGCCGGACTGATGTTGTAGCCACAATGGAAATCCTAGATTTCTTAGATTCCGATCCAGCGGAAAGTTGGAAGTGTAAAACAAAAGCACACTCTCACGACTTAGTTTATAATAGTCTGTGATGTCACAAAACGGTTTGCGATGATATTATCACACCTACACAGTTTAAATTGTATTTTTACAAAATTGGTCCTTCGAGCCGGACTGCGATTCTTCATTAGATCATTTTATAATTATTCTACTAACCCGCACTCTAAAGCTTCTAAATTCCACGTGACACCCCTTCCCTGGGCGTCATTACCAGGATTCGAGCATATGGATTCGGATCTTGATCCCATATTTCGTTGTCTGCAGAGATAAGGTGTGACTGTCGGGGATGGTGTATTGTGCTCCTGTAAACATAATAAAAAAATCATTTAAAAGAACGATAAAATCATGAGTAATTCTAAGCTATTAAATGGTTAGTAGTTGATTCAAGAGCGAATGAAACTAGCACATGTACATAAACCCTAAGCGAGAAATACAACACTAGAGGCACAATGAGGAACTTAGCAATATTAAAGTATACACGATATTATTGACATATTATGGTTTACAATTACAATAATACGCTATGCCTCTAAAATGAAGGTAGCTTATGACAACACATCACCGTATTACTTACAAGTCTAGTCGAATATTACTGCGCCAGTATTATACATGTTATGCTGGTTGTTTAAGAATCACAGTAGAGGTGTATAGTATGTCCTGACTGGGCTCGGCGCAGTAAGATACGGCTGCATAGGTGGTAATATGTAATTTTAATTAAAAAATAAATATATTGTATATAAAATTAATACAATTTATATACATTTATACAATTTATATAGATTAATTTATATATATATATTACATATTAATAAATGATTTCAACTTACACTATCCTATAATTTGATTATAACATAAGTAGCCCTTTACTATTGATCAGTTATAATTACTATATTTAAATGATATGCTAAAATAATTAATTGTATGTCACTATAACTGAAGCTAAGAATATAATACAGTATACACAACACAGGTAATGTAGCAGCCTCGGACTATGCATACATGTAGTTAAAGTCGCGTTTTCAAGATAGGCCCCAGTGTGTGCAGTTCTTTCGTGTGCCTAGCTAGGCGGTAGATATTGTATTAACGAACGTAGGCTGGCGCCTACTCTAGCTCAGTAGCTGGAGTAGGGGCCAGCCTACGTTCGTTCATACAATCATTATTTTTAGTTAGTATTATCTAACTTTATAAGGCTCTAGGTTTGCGGGGAGCCACCCGGGCCCTTCTAGTCCAGATCTAGTCCGACCCTGCAAGGTAACTATTAAAACATGTTTCTGTATACAATACCGACTACAAACAATACTCCGTAACCTTATGCATAATAGACGAGTGGATGCAATTGGTTTGGTCTTCAAAAGGCAATTTCAATTGCAAACAACGGCCGAAGTAATTTCCATGGCAATCATGGAGCGTGCATTGATATTGATCAGATAAATTGAATGGAACGATGAAAGTTGTTTTGACATCAAATGCGAAGTGCATCTAGCTTATAAAAAATTCAAAGGAAAGCAATAATGTGTATCAACTTTGTTTCAAGCACTACTTAAGCTCACATTCGTAGTACGTTCACTGCTTAGTAAACACATCATTTGCTTTGAGGAGAACATTTAATAGCATTTTATGAATTACATGCACTTATATTTTGAGTGGCTTCTAAAATTCATCTTGTTTATTTAATATAAATGCCACTTATAATAAAGCTAGTAAGGGTTGTCGACTTACTAGAAGACTGTTTTTTTGTGTAGTAGAAAACTGGAGAAGAGGGAAGTTTCGGACTTAAAGAAACCTTCACATCCGTATAGACAACCCACAACTATAAAGAAAACTTTTCGATATTGATTACAGCTTAATTACATTTTATCATTAAAAGAAAGAAGATAATAATAATAATACTTAAAATAAAAAAAATCTATAGGAAAGAAATTTATTTATCTCCAAATGAAATAAAAAATGTAGGTAAATTGTTTGGGAAAACGGGATAGAACCTATTAAGTATTTTGTAAAAGTCACCTTAGTAAAGTGTTAATTTGTAATTGTTACACTATTAAAATATTACATATTACTACCAAACAATAAAAAAATATAAAATATTTCAAATAAACCGTCGCGGCGTCGTATAATAAACAATGTTTATTGCAGACATTTTTCCACAATGTAAAACGCAGTATTTATTATTGTTACAAGTTAAATAATCAAGTTCAAGTTAATCGATGAACTTATATCAAGGCAAACAACTCGTAAACCGCGTTTAGTGATTAACAGTTATGTAAACACAAGGTCGCATTTTATTACACGATACAGGTGTTTAAGGAAATTAAAAAAATAATAAGGTCATCTATCGGAATGTTTTTAATCGATTTTCCTACAATAAAATAACAAGGTAAGAGTATTCGGGCTAATAATGTATAATAATAATAATAATAATAATCGGTAGGATACATATAGTTTTGGTTGTAATTAGAGTATACTTTTCGAAGTTTAATTTATAGTAAACAAGTGCAATATTCAGTGTTTAGTTAAAACATAAGATAAGCGATGTGACTAGAAAACATTAAAGTTTATAGGCTGAAAATAAATATCGCTATTTTCTGTAAAGATATAAAATAATCAAACATTACAGAGAATAAACTGCTAAATATACAAACAGATATACAACAAAATTACTAGTACTTTATTTTAATTGGTTAGAAATGTACCCTAAATTTAATACGATAATAAATAGAAGATTTTATTCATATATCTGTGTCTTTAACCCAAACAAGTTATATCATTTTTAAAAACGTCCATGTATCGTCAATTACGGAACCGGTAAATGAATTAAACTCAACTGCAAAAATAAAAATTTTACTATTTTTTTCTCTAACATTTACATAGCTAGTGTACATTAATATAGACAAACAATAAATTAATACGCATGATTTATAATCTATCCATATATAAAAACTATAGTATAATTTTAATAGGAGTTCGCAATGTAAACTAATATCACAACACAAAATAGTACAGTCTGACAAGTATCTTAATGTGACGTCATGAAATGAGGGCGCTGCTGCATTATGGTTCTTTTATAAGGTTTCTGGTCTACATTGATTTTCTGGCGTTTCACTAGGCTTCAAACTGGGAACACAGATTTATAATCTGAATACGCTCACATAGATACTTGTAACTATATGTTGTCAACAGTCATTAATCTTCAATGTTGTGGACAAAGGCAGCATTACTGGAGTGTCCACTTTCAAAAACTTCTCCTTGAAAAAGATTACCGAACCCTTATCGTTTCTAAACTGAAAAACTGCAATTGAAAATAAATAAAGCTGCTAAATGTGGCAACATAAAATATAAAAGATTGAATAAAGCCACTGATATTCAATATAGAGCAACTAAATCTAAGAAAATCAATAACAAAATAATCATGATATAGCCCTATCGTACCCAACAGCCTATAGACTGCTTGCATTTTGTTTTATTACATTTTGTCACTAGGGACATGAACTTAGTAACCAATAACGAAATAACATGTAGAAAAACTTTTGTAACTGTGTACATTGTTATGACTTTTATGTCTTAACAATGTAGTTAGTCGAGTTGAAATTATTCTACGTTAATGGATTTGTAAACAGAAATTGGAGCCATTCAATTTTCCAGCTGAAGTGATGTACCTCTCAAAATTGTCCGTGAAACCGTAAAATTCTCTAGCGGATTAGGTTTATACAATTTATTCATCCTAAGGCAGCTTATCTGTCCTTTGCCAGATGCCTGACGGGAAACAAGGATTCAAAGTAACACTTTGAGAATATGCTATTAAAACTTAAAACTTAAACTATTTATACAATATAGATAGAGAAAATCATAAAATAGATAGTTAAAAATTTATAATGTCTTAAATTATGGTGTTTTATGTTTGATAGTGTGTGGAAAATTAGAAAAAATGAATTTCTAATAAAATAAATCACCAATATTAATATCATAAGTGCTATAATTATAAGAAAAGCTCCATTTCATTGATTATTTGATGTTAAGTAAGTATTAAATATTAATAGATTGTATACCATAATAATAACCATCAATATATATAAACAAAACGGTCTACAACTCAGTGAGTGGTAGTAAGTTCACTGTTTTTGCTATTCATGGTTTTCATGACAAGAAAACAAATGGCGCACAGGTGAATATAATTCTGATATACACTTCTTACTTCACAGAGTTTTAACTAATTTACTCAGAGACGGCGAAAATTAGAATTTTCTCTATCGTTTCAGATTGTAAATCTTTAGATAATTTATTTATATATAAACCAATTAATACTTATAAAAACCTTTAGATAAGTTTTCTACTAATTGCATATAAATAATTACAATAAAATTAATTAGTAATTATACTAATGTAACACGCATTATTAATTGTATTTTTAAAAACGAACATATAATATATCACCCGAATATATGTATGCAAAATAAATCAATCTAATTAAGCATTTGCTCCAAGTTGTTAGTATTCTTAATAAGCAATTAATAAGAAAATATTAATGCAGTGGTGAGAACTTTTAAATTCCACCCATTTTTATAGGTTAGTGCTTCATCCATATTGTGCATTAAACAAATTACGCCAACCGTATACAGGTTTAATTAAATAGCGACTTTTGTAGTTACGTAATAAGGTATGACACGATTTTATCGTCAAGTATATATAACATACTAGCTTACCATGATTTCTTTTTCAGATAAAAGTTAGGCTATGCCCGTGTTAGGGATCTAAATTGTCTTTATTTAAAAGTTCATTATCCTCCGTTCAGCAGTATAGCCGAGAAAATGTAATAAACAAACCATTCGCATTTCTTATATTAGAATAGATAAGAAGAGATAAATGTATAGAATTTTAATAAGACTAAAATTTCCATAAACGTTCACCATCGTCATGGTATTGCTTTAAACATCTTTATACATCTGAATCATAAATTTCATATCTCTAATATATGGTGACGATAAAATTGTGATATATCATGCTACAGTAAATTATTATATAATAATAATAAATGTATAAAATAAATACACTTCCGAAATGACCACAAAAATATATCAAACTTGGTTCAATCTGAATAAAATCTAGATAAGAGATATGGGACAGCTTTACTTTATAATCTAAATGAGAGAAACTCATTTATAGATTGGCTCAAAATTGATATTGTCAAACATTAAGATCCGATTAGTTGTTTAGTTCATTTAGTTTTGGACAGGTACCTACTCAATGTATCACCTGTCCAGTATATTCATTTGGCTGTCAAAACATTTGCCCTTGTTACTTGCGCTACTTTTTTTAATTTAAAAGACACTGATAACACTAAATTAGTTAAAATTTAATACGTCATGGGCTGGATAATGATGTTGTGATCATAAATTCAGTTAATTTACTACGGTAACTGAAACTTACACTCCATTTTTTATTAAAACCAAAATCAAACTAATTAGTTGTGGTCATTTCGTATAGTGTGCAAAAGAACTAACCTGCTGATTTGGCCCGCAACAGGTGGCGTTGTGACACAGATCGTTAGGAGGACAGTGGAGAGCACACGGTGCTTCCGCAGACGCGCCACTGGTTATCTGCAATAATGTTACTATTATACCAAAAATATGCTCAGATATGTAAATACTCACATATGTGATACAAGTAATAGAACTTTTAGTGTTGTCCAAAGTTTGAAAAAGTATTTGCAATATACGGAATTTTATCGATTTTTGAGTGCATCGATCAAAGTTTATAGTTTAGAAATGTGCGTAGCTTATTCCTCTTAAGATAAATGCAGTACTAAGTGAGTACATGTAAGCATACATGTTACCATGTTTACCATTACCATGTTAGCATGTTTCGTATACTACATGAATATATGGAAAAGTTTCAAAAATGTGAAGCAATGTTTGAAACTAGCGTAAAAGATGTATACTAACATTTTATTTTATATATTAGCTACATCAGTGCGTCGACTAATTGAAATAATGAAAGAAATTAATAGGGGTATTCATAACATAGAAAGTGATATCTCCAATTTGAAAGGTTTTAAAATGAAAAAAGAATAAAAGCATTTTAACTCCATCAAGACTTAAATAAAATACTTTCAATAGTATTGATTTTTGGATATCATTAGGCTGAAAAATATACTGTAGGTACACACCTCGTTACCACCCAAAGGCAGTTCAATGAATTCGGGCTGTATCGTGGTGGAGTGGATCCCTTCATTGTGGAAGAACTCCTTTACCTTCTCAGCTATTTTCATATACTCAGACAAGTTTTGACACCTATAACGAATAGTATTATTTATTAGTTGAATCTAACATAATCGAGTTCAATAGAACTTGAATAGAAGGAGGATACAATACATGGTACGACTCCACGTACAACGGCCCAAAGGCGATGTTAAATGCAAAAAACAGAGACCAATTTTGGTCTCTGTTTTTTGGCTCTGTTCTAGGCCACCTTTGTTATCAGTTCAATTGAAATAAAAAAAACGGATTTTTTACTGCTATAAAAACCGCGTTATAATCCATCATCAGGCACAAAGAAAAAGTATACAATCGAATTGAGATCCTTCTCGTTTTAAAAGTCTGTTTATTTTATATATTTCCAAAACTTATATAGTGACCAATATATTTCATGACCATTATACTTGAACATCGATAGAATAGCTATATTGTTCTATTAGATTTAACTATAAAATACAAAAGCATTACATTTGAAATTTCTTTTTATATCTAGCTGACCCCGGGAACTCCGTTCCGGCTCAGAATTAAATAATATGTTGAATGTTTTTTTTTAAATTTGACAGACACGATATGAAAAAATATTTTTTTTTTATAAATTGTTTACTATTTTTGATGAAATTTCTTCATATTTTCTCACAACTTAAACCTTCCTTAGCGTTCTATAAATATTTCGAACCCAAAATTAGCCAAATCAGTTCAGCCGTTCTCGAGTTTTAGCGAGACAAATAAACGTCTTCTTATTTTTATATATAAGGAAACATTGTGTGTGTTAATTACCAAACATCAAAGCAAATTTATAGACCTACTTAATTTCCATACATGCAGACGATATATTAAATTCGATAAACACAGTACCTACAGTAAGCAATACTCCACTTACTATACGCGTGTGTATGTTAGTCTGATAATGTGATTTTACACGAGTGATTATCTCCATGAAGTAATGTATCTCAAACAAAGGTACATTTATCACACATTGTTATTTCAACATTAGCATAAGTACTCCTCATGCGTCAAAACATACAATCGAGATAAGGTACTTTGTTGCAATATCAAATAGTACCTACATGATTTAGTTGGATTACTTGGAAGAATGAGAGTTTACAATGTTATTAATAATCTTGAGATAGTATAAAACAAATTCGCCGCGGCTGTCTGTTCGCTTATATCCTTTAAATTATGCAACAAATTTTAATGCAATTTTCAGCAATAGATAGAGTGATTCAAGTATTCGTGTTATAGTATAGAAGACGAGAAATTTAAAGATTTGTAATGCAACCATGCGAAGTATAATAAGAATTATTGTTTACAATGTTAATAATAAATAAATAATGAAACCCTGGACATTTCAAATATAATTAAATTATGATTAGTGTCCTATTAGCTTAAAAATGTTTAATAGAATTTAATATCATACAGTACAACCATTTTGAAATCGGTTTTATATGTGCACTAGTAGTTACTTTGTCTCCTTTTTTTGCAATAAAAGCCTATGTCACTCTGGAATAGTGTAGCTCTATAAAAACTTATGGTTTGAATTTACTTTCATAATAACAAAATCCGATTCTTAAACAACGAAATTGAAATTGTAACTTGGTTGTTATTGTCTTCATGGAGCTGAACAAAGTCACGTCTTTCGTCTTTCTTTGTTTAGCTTTAAGGTAGCGCTGTTTTGACATTCAATATACGTGTTGCTATCTGTAAGTATCTAATATTATACTCCTTCATTGCTTATTTAATCTGTACTAATATTATAAAGAGGAATTTGTATGCATTGAATATGCTCTGAAACTAATTGAAAATTTCTTTTACCATTCCAATCCAATATTATCCCTGATGAATAGGCCATAGAATATTTTAAAAAACGTTAGGGATCCACAATGAAAACTTCGATAATGTAACCCAACATATGAAAAAATGCAAATATCGCGTAACCTCCCAAAATTATTGACAGCGAAGCAAAGTAATATACCACAGATGTTATAGAGGACATCAATGTGTACAAAAAAGTCCTTGATAACATAAGTCGTATCTATTACAGGTATGTCCCAATAACTTCCTTATATTAAAGTATGCAACAGTAACGTAGTTACAAATTTGACCATTATTATATAATTCTATCATTATTATATAATTTTAATACCCGAATGTAGCGTGGATGGAGTTAGTGTCATAGTTAATTACAATATCACTATTCAGGTTAATATATTTTTGACAGTTAATTCAGTGGTTTTATAATATCACTTTTAGTATACCAAGTTAATATAGTTTTCATTGAAACTAGTCTTGAAAACCAACGCTACTTGTCAAGGTTGGGTATATATTACACACAAACATTTTCCAATTGTTGCGCGTTCGTTATATAAATTTACCCATTGTGTTTCATGTACTTGAGTCAAATAAAGTTGCTAATACCCTTTGTTCAGTGCACACGACTAGATCCAGGTCAAGAAATTCTAAATTATGAAATAGTTACAGGTATTTCAATATTTATTATGTAAAAAATATATTGTCATAGCAATATTATTATTATAAATAAAAGAATTTATGAATAAAATGTTAGAGTTAGCTCTAAATAACTTTAGCGTTATTTATTATGTGGAGTCACAGTATTAGTCAGTACCTAGTTATTCGTGAATTATTATTGTCATTTCGCTTTTCACCGTTTTTATTATATATCCTTAGTGGATGCATTAGTATCATACTGTAATACGCACCAAGAACAAATAAATAATACATATTACAACTGAATATTTACGTATAACGATTATATATACTAAGATATCCTCAGCCTATAAAAATAAATACGTGCATGAATCTGATTAGTATTCAATTAGTACACACTAATTATTAAATCAGATGTTTTGGAACACAAGGCAAATATGATGATAAAAAGCCGTCACTCCAAAAATAGTAAGTAATACTGTAATAAAAGAACATAATCGATCCATTGGTATTTCTCTATTTCTGAACTAGTTAATATGTATTTATGACAGTAAAAAAATGTTAAGTAAAACCATCTGACACATTGGTTCGTTGACATTAGTTCTGTTTGGAACAAAGACTGGTTTACATTGGGATCGTGCCAAAACCGATTTATTTGTGAAATAAAAATTCAAAAACGCAATGATGTAAAATAAATAAAATAAGATCACGACTGCTGTATATAGCTAGCTATTATGTAATAGCTACTCATTGACTACCGTGAATAGTTTTCTACTCTGAAATAGTAAGGGATGCTTTAGTTTTCGATCGGAACGACATCTTAGCTGGTGTATGTACTGACATAAGAATTACTCAATGACAAAGAAACGAGGATACATGGACTGAGTACAATAACGTCAGAAACGTCTTGTCCGGCAGAACTCGTTCCCTTCACCTTGTTAAATGGATATCAATTATGGTTTTTCACACATAAAAAAATTGTGAGATAGCCCAAGGACGTCCAGAGTATGTATGACCCCGTCAAAAATTCGCATTACCGAAGTAATGTTATCAAGTTGATTACATATCAGCAAATAGCTAAATAATTCAATGTTCGGATTAGATTAAAAAATAGTTATATTATTTTTTATAAGAATCTGTGAGAACTGTCTGTTTACAGAGATAAATAGCATTTCTTTTTCCAACTATTCGAATCAATAGCATTAGAATAGTCGAAATTTAGGCGCAGTCTTTACAGCTTCACCGGACGTTAAGGGGTAGTGCAGAGGGCACTCTAAATCCGCGGAAGGATTTAAGGAGTAGCTGAAGGCCAAGAAGGAGAACTTATATATTTATATATATATATATATATATATACTTAAGAGCGAATATATTAATAATAAAACATAAGAGAAAGACACGGAATCAGATAGACAAGCATTTCACGACCTACCCCTTACCCTATTAGCTTTTACACAAATTAATGATGTGTTAATTCCACGTAATTTGAGCAACAATCTAATTCCATGCTGGCTGGAGAATAAACTTCAATAGTTATTAGTAAAGTTTTTCTTCTCTTGTATTGTGATTTATTCCCCTGGTAGCCTCTATATAAGAGTGAAAAGGAATGGCCACAAATTGTTTTTTACTCTGTTAACATACAGATTTGATTCGTAGTTGAACCCTTATCTTTGTAATATATGCTTTTACTGTCACGTATACCTGTAAAATAGTAACTGATAACGCAATTAATTATAGTAAGTGGCGTTCTCCATATTTATACATAAAAAAACTGATATCGCTGTCTGTACACGAAAGATATAGGTACGAGGAAATCTAATATATAATGTATACATATGTATATTTTATGTTTATATTATTAAAATCTCTTTCTTATTTATATCATTATTTTTACTTATTCCTATTTGCATGTCACCCACCATTTCCTACAATTGTACCTGTTACCCTAAGATTGCAATGAAAAAATTGTTTTCAGTAATAAGGCCAGCTTTTTGTATTTATACACATGTTTATTATAATCAATTATAAATAGTATAATTAATTATATATATCTGCTAATGCAAATACAGCATATTCTATCAATCTAATTTTATAGACTGTATCAACGTAGTAAAACCCAAAACAATTATATATTATTTTTAAAACTTTTACTCACGGGAATTCAATGAACGAGCACGCATCCTGAAGATGACTTCCGGAGGAAGCGGAACCAATTATCGCAAAGGACGAAATCATAGTAAGTTAATTAAATTCCCGTATATACATAGTAATATACAATATTAAAACAGCGACGGTTACATTTTTAGTATGTTCATCTATTTACTTCATATTAGATTTCACTTCAGTTATAGAAATAACTTCGATTTCATTTCCATTTTTTTTCTTTTTAAGTTTGACTTCTCCATTAGTATACACATTAAAATATACTTTGTGGACCAGGGTAAATATTAATAATTTCGAGTAACGAATAATTTGCAATAGATTCAATAACAACATTTGACTCTTATTTAATAAATGTGATTAGGTATGTAATAAAAACATTAATGTTTATTTGAACAAATACAAAGAAACATGCGTGTAACAGATTAAAATTATCGCTACTAAATAAATATTGAATCCTTGACATATTTTTTTAGAACAGCTAAGTTACATTATACTAAAATCTAAATAAAATAGTTAAATATACGTTATATTATTAGTTAAATATATGTTATTTAAATTGTCGAGTTCAACATCAACGAGGTCCTCAATTATTTACCTATTATTTTTTATTTTTCTCGGCAAATATGAACTAACATTAACATAATTTTTGCAATAGACATGAACGGTCAGCTGGTCGAGTCGAGACCGATAAAGACTGGCGTTGATATATAATAAAACCGAGATAATAGAATATAATTTATAAAATCTTACCACTCGTTCGGAATTCAGACTCATTACAAGAAGGACTAATAAAAAATTTGCGTGTTGCTCTTTTAAATAAATGTGGTTCTAAATAAATACACATTAACAAGGATTAGGCATGCGAATATCAACATTTTAGGTTTGGACTAGGTAGCACTGTGTGAATTGTGTACAATTATTAATTTTACAGTCAGGCGACCCCTGTAGGTTTTAAGTATTTGTTGTTTGAGATATTACGTACCTAATATGTGCACTAGCGATGATCCTGTCCCCGGCCAGTTGCCACACGTGGAACTCATGGACTGCAATCACTCCGTCCACTTTCTCCAACAAACGCCTCTGTATAGCGTCCACCTGAACAAACAGCGTGTATGAATAGTGGCTTTACGCGTTTTATCATTATGTAAATATGATTGCTTATTTAATAATACACGGGGGATGTTTTGAGTTGCTTATAAAAAAAGCACAATTCCATACTAGTAGTTGTCATCCGCGACTGCGTCTGCGTGAAGTTTAAAGGTTTTTTTTATAAAATAAATAAAATTTCTAAGGCAAAAGTAATCTAAGTTACTCCTTGAACTTACACTCGCAGAAAACTAATGCTAGTGCTAATGCTGCGAGTATAAGTAATATCGTTCTATTTAAATCGACCAGTTGTTTTAGAGATTAACAAAAACAAACAGAGAGTCAGATAAAAATACTTAAAATTATTTTCTATGGAATGGTGCTCTCTCCAGCGCCAGACAAAAGTAATTAAAATCTTTTTTTATGGAAGTATCGTATATGATTTTAATGATCTGTATTTTTTTTACGGATTATTTTGGAATGGTGCTCCCTCCTGCGCTAACGTTTCACGCTGGCAGGATACCAGTGGAGGATGATAAAATGAACAATGTACCATATCCAGTTGACCTCCACCTGGTTCCCCTTGAAACCATCGTCACACATTCCTGGTGAATATGTCACGATAGATCTGAACTGGTCTGACCTCATACTCATCTTGTAATTCTCCGCTGGTGCCTCACCAGCGTAACCCGTTAGCGTAGGCCGGTGCACTAAACCTTTATCATTAATTAAAAACACTACTGCTTATAATAGAAAGTATTAATCCCTGGAATTATATTTCAAAATTATTATTCTTCATTGTTCTCTTCACGGAAAAAGAAACAAATATATTTGTGTATAAACAAGCAACAATGGGCGGTCTTATTGCTGAAAAGCGATTTCTTCCGAAACTTTATGCGAATTTATAACATATCTATAACAAACTGAAAAAATCTTACCTGGATGTGTGTGGGGACTGTTTGTAACAAAATGAGAGAGGATTCTCTTAACAAAGGCCATACTGACGCTAGTATCAAAATGACCAATACTATACTCAGCGCTGGGTCGATATAGTACTTGTATTTCCAGTCAGTGAGCCATACTACCAATGCTGAACCCACTACTATAATTGAACCTGCAACAATGAAAAGAGATAGTTAAATTTAGATAATTTTGGTAGCAGCAATCACAACAAAAATATCGGTAGGTATGTTATCCTTTGAATTAATCCTTCTTTAAATTTGAGGGCATCTCGTAATGTAATATAAAAAAATCACGTATCACAGTGCTTGTAACAAAACTCCTTCGAAACGGCTTGACAGACTCTTATAAAATTTTATGTATATTAAACAGGTCTGAGAATTTATATTAACCTATTTTTCATACCTACGTAACCTATTTTTCATACCCCTAAGTAATAGGGGTGGTCCATCACAAAAAATGTATATATTTTATTGTTAGGTAAAATTTTTTTGCGCAACTGTTTATGATTCGACATTAACAACCAAAAATTTTCATCTATCTACCAACAACCGTAGGGGTTGTTCTTGAAAGCGATATTAGTACTATAATAATTACAAGAAATAATTTATATAACAAAACCGTTTACCGGATCAGCTTATATTCTATTACTAGCTGACCCGCGCAACTTCGTCTGCGTTTAATTTCCCCACCTTTTGCAATATTTTTCAATGCAGTTCCGCTCCTGTTTGTCGTAGCGTAATATAGCTTAAAGCCTTCCTTGACAAATGGACTATCCAACACAAAAAGAATTTTTCAATTCGAGCCAGTAGTTCCTGAGATTAGTGCGTTCAAACAAACAAACAAACTCTTCAGCTTTATAATATTAGATTATATAAAAAAAATAATAGGCGATTTGACGTAAAGTCCCATTACACACAATGCAAAACTGCTGCACTGAGTTACGGTATTGTCCTATGACTCATAAACAGATAGGGGGAAATTAAGACCGTTTTATTTTTGGCTTTCGTTTACGGAATTAAAACGAGATACGTAAGCAAATGAATCATATTTAACAATATCAGATTTTAAACATATAAGCATTATAGTTAATAATAATCATAATCTCAGGATAATTCACAGAGTGCAATCTAGAACCCAGTTTAAGCTAGCTACAGCTTGTCTTATGGGTATACAACTGATACAAATACATAATAATTTTTTTTCCCAAATACATAGAAAACACCCAGACTGATACAAGCAATAATACTCATGAATACAAATCTTTGTGCAGTGCGTGGATTCAAACCCGCGACCTTCGAAAGTAAGGCGGTGTGCTAGACCAGTAGACCAACGAGGCCGTCAAATATATGTAATACATTAGGTATTACATATATTTATATTTGTTTTATTGCCGAAAACAATGTCAGTTTTGTAATTTCCCATGTGTTAATCCCTGACCACTCCTATCCATCAACCTTCAGTGTTAAATATAGATAATTTTTAAGTGATCAATGTAACCGATCAACTCACGTGTGTGATAAGATTTTTAACGAAACTGGTACAAGGTTACTACGGTTTGCACGTTGTGACTTTGTAGTTCACAAAATTATGTCAATAACAGCTGTCTGTGACCTAATCAATGCAATTGCCAAGTACTCTAGAGAAATTAGCGTAGTCGACCTTAACATGTTACAGACCGCATGCACACCGGTGGGTCACTCCGCAACGAAAGTAAATTTACACATTGAGACCGGGAGATTACCCGTGGGCACTGTAATTATAATAATAATAATTCATACAGCGCCATCTAGTCCCAAGTTAAGCTACCTAAAGCTTGAGTTATGAGTACTAGATAACTGATAAATACATAGATATATACATATAAATATATTGGAAATACATACATATTATACATAGAAAACACCCAGACCGTTACAAACAATCATATTCATGAATACAAATGTTAGTGCCGTGCGGAATCGAACCCGTGACCATCGGAAGTAAAGCGGTGTGCTTAATAAATCTAGGGATTAAATAATGTCTACCTCAAATTATTGTACACTAAAAATATATTTAAAAAAATATATACGTAATTAACAAAAAAAGTAATGCCGGTCCCTATGTGAGAAATAAGACTATTCAATGCGTTCTGCAACGCGTTAAATACTCACTGAGTATATTTGTTTGTAGCACCTAATATTTTGAAAATATGAATCAAGCTATTGTGCCTGCAGAGGCAGGTAGGCAGGCCTGCAGAGGCAGGTATAGATAAAACATACACATAAAAGAATATATAAAATAAAGATAAGAAATAATCAATAAGAATAAGAAATCTAAATTCACTTTTTTAGAGCTATAGAAACCAAAAAACAATTTTAGAATTTTGTCTGTCTCTTTGTACATGCATCATGTAAAGACGTCGACATAGAATCGAATGCAAATTTATCAATATATTGCGAGAGGTCTAACTCATAATAACTCAAAATATAGGTTCCATTTTACTGCAGAAACATCTCATTCCCAACGAAGCAAAGAAGGATATCTTCTTTGCTTCGTTGGGTCGTCGTCGATTGCTTTTGGACATATAAAGATAGTTTGTTATTTTATTCTATTAGTTTAGTCAAATCATAACATTATTTTGAAATTCTTAAATGTATATATGAAATAAATAAATACAGCGAGGTAATGTGCAAATAGTAATGCTCGTGTGTTTATAGTATTCAAAATGATGAATCATTGAGTAGGTGAGAAAAATCAATAACTTTATCAACTCAAGTGAGATTATATATTATGTTTACATATTATAATGTCGGTAAATGCTATTTAAATATACATATTTGTATAGTACAAATAGTTTTACAATCTCTATTTAATTTCTAATAACAAGAATAATAATAAAAAAATCTAAAGATTTATGTATATACATAACTTTTGTAACTGACCTTGCATACTGTATTCACATATAGGTAGTCATCATAAACTACTACTTGTAAACAAATGAATTTGTATGAATGTAATAATTGTCGTGATCCTAAATAAAAAATAGTAATTTCACATTGTAGTATTCATTCATATTTATGTTAAGTCTACCTCGTGTTACATAATATAGAAAACAACAAAAAGGAATGTAAAAACTTACAATTACAATATTTAGAAAAATTAAACTTGTCAAGAAGTTGGCTACAATTGGATGCAACATAGAGTCAGTATAATTTCGATGTCACAACCTCAATACCTAGATATGAAATATCAAAAACTATTAAATATCGTTGTATTCGTTTATTGTAACAATTAACACAAATAACAAACAAAGTATGCACGGTCATTAACGTGTACATTCCATTACCAATAATAATACTCCAGCTTCAAATATCTTTGAAATAATGAAGGTGATAATTGTAATAACAATGTGAATACAACAATTTCGCTGTCCACAATACGCGATAACAAAGGATAATGAAGGGAAGTTGTAACAAATACATAAAAAATCGATTGGATACGACGGTGTGTCGAGTTTTAGTGAACAACAAACGCATTATGTGTGACGGCTGTCACAAGTTGCACAACACAAGGACATAGTTTTAATTTTGAACATTATTTGTATTTGATTTTAGTGATATTTTCATTAATAATGTATTTTAATGACGAACTCGGCGGTTCAGCGGTTTAACATGCCGCCTAACTTCCGATGAACGCTGGTTCGATTCCTCGCACGTAGCAAATAATTGTATTAATGAGTTTTATTTTCTGTATCAGTCTAGGAGTTTACATTATGTATTATTATTATATAAAAAAATCTATCTAAAATTTCTATCTGCTGCCTAGTACCCACAACACTTCTGCTTAGGGACTAAACAGTACTGTGAATTGTCCTTTGTCATTATTATAATAATATAAACGTATTAAAAAAAACACTAACATAAACTAGTATGTAGAAATGACAAAGTCAAAAACCAAACCGCAAATATTACAAAATTATGGCAACTTGCAACCGTCATATTAATTTCATAGTATCATCATCTAATTTAGAGATTAGATAGACCTCATAATTAAGAAGAGTCTAACAGTATCTCTATCTTAATTGAAGTACAACGAAGTGTTCAAACAACACATTGCGTTAAAACCTACTTTTTACAACAGCTAGGAAAACTAATAATATAAATACTCGTACATATCTACCGAATACTTATGTATAAGAGAAAGACATTATATCTAATGTCGCCAATACAGTAAGACATGCAAAAGCTTGGAATGGTGAACGTGTGGGTTTTTTTAATTGCATGACAAGTTAGTCTGCATCTTAAGGCGCTTTGTCCCCGATATTTGATATGGGTAACGGGGCGTCGATGACAATAGGTGTATCCTATTTTCATACTTGCCAGTGCTATACTAATGACATACGCTGGCGGGGCACCAGCCGAAGATGATACGATGAACTGCTGAGGTCTAACTAGGCACTAGGAATTAACCATGATGGTTTTCTGGTTCCATGGAGGTCAATCTGACATATACTACCAGCAAATAGTGTCACTAGTCATAACTAATAGCCCCAATGAACCTTATTAGTCTCTACCTAATTTCGTTTGTGACAATATCTTATTAATATTTTAAACGCGAACGTTTGTGACTATAGATGGATGTTTGTTACTCTTTCACGCATAAGCTACGGAACAGATTTTGATGAAACTTTACAGTATATATGCATATACGCATGAAATTTATATGGCTATAAATTTCATAAACAAGCATAAATCAAGGAGCGAAAGGGCTTTAAAAATAGAAAAATACTAATACTAATTTTACAAGTAGAAAAATACTCTAATAATCTCAAATAAAAAAATAAGCACAATTCTCTAACCAAAGATAGTAAAACAATATCAAGGACATGAGTATTGAATATAGTTTGTTACATACTAAGCTATTATTTTCACATGTAATTGGGTCACGAGAATTGATTAACACATTTCTAATGATAACGTAGACCGTTAGTTAGGTATGCTTAAATTGATCGGTAAGATAACAGGACTAATATAGAAGATATGAGTAGGTGCTAGGCACGAAAGTTGGTGTTAAATGTGCGTCACATATATTATCATCTAATCGATTCGGTATTTTATTATTAGTATAGTATTATCCAACACATACAGATTGAATTTAGAATTTTACTTTTATATACTTTTTTCATTAATCACTGAACACCAGGATCTTGGATATGAGAATTTCCTATGCGCATAGTGCTATGGCGCTAAAGATTTTTCCTAACAATAACGGGCGAGATTGTCCACATTATGGAATAACTCTGTAATTTACACAGGTTCCAGAGTGCGTGTGATTCGTGACAAAGTCCTAAAATGTATATATGCATAATAGTTTTTTTTAATTGTGCGTTTAATCGCGAAAAATAACGACTTTGATCTTTTTACAATTAAATGAAGTTTATTCTCCTGTTGATTCCGTATAAGTAACCATTTTAATAAATCATCATATGTGGTAGAGTCTGGTACAGTCTATTCTCCGATTCTCCAAGTGATTGCCATCTATGTTTCTATGTATTTAATACAAAATATCAATTTTAGGTTTGTATTATACTCAAGACTTGGTCTCGTAGTAGATACGATGTTTATTTTTCCTTCTAATTATTAGCGTGTTTTAGGTAATTAAACCTATTTCTTATTAAGATGTTTTTTATTACTTCCTTCGACCATGTCTCTTTTTCCAATGTCAATGAAACCATTATTTAATTGGTTTTTAGTTCTGAACTCATTGGCATTTCGTTTACAACAAATTGCTTATAAGGAACGTAATTTCAAGAGGTAAAAAAGGTAACTTTAATTTTCTTACAGGTTAGTCATGCTTGTGACTTCCGTATTGAAAGCAAGAGTCAATGTCGAGGTGACTTCACCGTTTGATTTGTTTTGTGACCGAGATGATTGTATTTAATAATGGTATTTAAATCATAACATAGCGATATTATACAGTGGCATTTTGTATGCAACTTATTCAAAATTATTTAGGTATACATACAATATATTCCGTATTATATGTAAACTGGGAATTCATTCATGCTTTGTAATTATAATATTCATCACTCTAACAATTATTAAGAGTGACATGCTTATAGACAAGGAAAACAGGGAATTCATCCCCAGACGCTGAAACCTAAGTAGTCTCAGAGGAGTCTCCCGCGTAATATGTGGAATTAACTACCTGTCGAGGTTTTCTCGAACATCAACAGCATGGGATTTTTCAAGAAGCGTATATTAAAGTTTCTTAAGAGTCGGCAATGCGCACGTGACACCTTGGTGGTTCTCTTACCCTTTACGTGACCTTGACACCCTAGGTGTCCATAAGCTACGGTAACCGTTTACCATCAGATGGGCCGTATACTTGTTTTCTACCTACGTAGTATAAAAAAATACAAATGGTTGCGTCTTTTTCAGGTAGAGAGTTAACCACGCGACATCAGCACGCTAAACAATAGGTTCCCAGGTTATATACAAAATCTATTCGATGTCTGATGATGGCGAAACACGTGTCGCAATGTCACCCACATTGCGACACGTGTTTAGACTCAATGACGGTCGGAATTTGATCACCAATGGAAGGAGTCGTAGAGCTTCCAGTGGTGGTGGTCAGATTTCCGCACAGAATATGTTCTCACATATCACATAATAAATTATAAATCCATTAAGTAATAAGATGGACATCCGTAAAATAACACCCAGTTCGATAAAAACTACTTACCAAAGTTATTAATAAAAAAACTGAAACGGTACGGTTATACCTACTACCTCTTAAAGATACAAATGATTTTTCCTTAGGAGCCAAAGCCTACTGCCGACGTCGACTTCGATACGTAACTTCGTACGTAACTAGTTTGACAACTATTAGAACAAACCGTTATACTACTCAATAAATCTACCTAGAGCACATAGAATAATAATATATTTAAATCGGCCGATTAGCATCTCTATTACACTTTATAATCAATACAAACAATGATGGTAATCAGTTACATTGGAACTATGTTTTAATTGCGCAAACGCAATTATTGCGTACATTCTTACATTATTGACGAATTAGTTTTTATCTAAAAATGACCATGTATTTTCAGTTATCATTGTTACGGCGTATGTAAATTTGTGTCGAATATCGACTCCACTGTAAATATGGGCACATATGAAATTCAATGGCACATGTCCATTTATCTATAATTGTACGAAAAACATATCTAGACACGCGGTAGCGTGTCAAAGCCGAGTTTCAAGTAAACTGGCAAGCAGCACCGTGTGTATATTTACACGAACCATTTGGAGCCACTTTTGACCCCCTCATAACTCAAAAACTCTTTCACACAAACCTGTCAAATTTGGTTCATATATTGAGACTTGTGAGATAAATATGTGTTTCATATACAAAATATACTGTAGCCTTCGCAAGTTCTAAACATGTTACTTGTCGGTTCCTATTTTAATATTAGTACTAACTAGCAATAGAAAGTAATAATTGGTATATGAGAACTGGCCAAGTTAGACCTTAGGCTACAGTATATTATCCTAAGTTATAAGAAGAAATGATATTATATATTGTTATAAATATATTTCAGGACAGACCATTGAACTTGGCACCCATTTAGATCTCATCTCTTTTGTCGTAGAAGTCAACAATCAAGGCATATATCATAATATTAAACTCGGCTATCATTTCACATTTATGTTTTTGATGGGATAAGCTATTAGTAGTAGTACTATAGTAATAGTTACATAAAACTATTTACGAAAAAATATACGGCAAAATAAAGCAATGTGGTAAAAATTTACAACTAAATTATAATCTACTGATGATAATTAAAATTTGTCAGTAATTTCCATGTCAACATTTGATGGCGTTGGTGGTCTAGCAGTTTAGCTTAGCACACCGTCTTATTTACGTTGGTCACGGGTTCCATTCCTTTCACAGTACAAATATTTGCATTATTGAGTATGTTTGTATTGGTTTGGGTGTCCTTAAATATAGTATGTATGTATTTAAGAAATAATTTCGATGTCAACATCGTTTGATGGCCTCTGTGGTCTAGTGGTTTGGCATACCGCTTTACTTTCGATGGTCGCGGGTGCAATTCCCCGCATAGTAGAAATATTTGTATTCATGAGTATGTTTGTATTTATTTAGGTGTTTCCTGCACCTTAGCTAAATAAACATTCTTTAATACATGTAATTTATGTATTTTTATATCAGTTGTATTGCATATAATATATATATGTATATAACTTGTATCAGCTATTTTCTGAACGATGCATAACGGAAATGATAATAGCACTTACCAAGGGCGTCAGATAGCACATGTAGAAACACTCCCTTCATGTTCATATGTCCAGGGTCAGTGGTGGTACGGCAGGGTTGTTTATTATTATTTGACGTCTTTACAGCCTTAGGTGGCACCATTTCATCAGTCTCCTCAGGATCCGTGGAGTTATGACCCAATGCCATGTCCGCGTTGCTGTTCACTATTTCCGTCAGATGTCTGACGTTTGATGGTGGCGGTACACCATGTGAGTGACCATGACTACCACCATGTTCTAGAAAGAAAATGTCACTTAATTTTATGCTATAAATGTTTCTAGTCGACAGAATGGTACGGTGGTTAAATTTGAAGTTAAACCGCTAGTATTGTTTGCTACATGCAACTGGCATACTACAACTGTCTGAGTATTTTCCTAATTTTTTTATATTTAATTAATCGGAATAGCAAAACGGGCTGACGGCCCACCTGATGGTAAATGGTATAGCCTATATACATGAACAATACTACGACATCACGTTATCATGTGACTGCCGTGATACCACTCCTGCGTTGGAATTTTGGAGGTTTAAGATGTCATGCCTTTTGTCCTGTCATAATTTCACTGTTTTAAATCACCCTTCAACCGAAACAGAACTTGAAAAAGCAAGCTGCTTGGCGGCTGAAATAGGGACCCACGCAGACGACTCAAAACACAAAGTCTAATTCAGTTACTTAAAGTGTAAATACATAATTATGCCGCTTATATTCTATAACTTAGATGATATAAAATAAGATATTGATGATACTAATAATTTTAAAGTTTAAATAACGGGGATAACCGCAATAAAATACATCAAATAGGTACTTAGTTTTAAAGCCTTAGGTTCTAGGCTAAGGTACAATATTCCATCCATTTTTACCGCGAAGTAGTAGTAAAATGTGCATGGCAAAAAATTTTGGATCACATACAAACCAAAAGCAATTTCTTCCTTATGTCGCTTTAGGATATATTGTACTACTACAAAACTATTATAGTAGTATAATGAAAATTTATGTATAGTAAATATATAAATATATTTATTTATAAACTATTATATGGCAAACTATGCTAACAAGACAATTAATAACATACATTTTCGCGTGGTTTAAACTCACATCCTATATAAATAAATAAACGGTATGGATAAAATTGAATGAAATTTGTTATTAGATCAATAAACATATGAGTGGTATAGTAAATTATTTTAGTATTTGTATATATGTATAATAAAATGAAACATCTATATTCTTTAGATCACGATTTATATAATTAGATTTATGAGTACATGATAGTTGGTCAAATATTTAATACTTTAGCAGAGCCAATTATTCAAATATGTAGTATGTACTTACTACCTACCTGGTAGTAACTGAAAACCAATGGTTTGTCTCCCAGAGCAAGTAATGTAAAAACTACCTTTTTGCATCATTATGGTTCACACATAAAGAAAGGAAAGTTTGTATGAAATTTTATATATATTGTATTTACTTCTGCTTTTTTTATTTATGTACTCTGCTCTTTTGTTATTTATAATGTGTATATGTGTGTATCTATTGACGTGAAAGTATCTATCTGTGTCTGTCCCGTCACACGAATGCCATGACCACGGCTAGACTTTACGAGAACAAAAAAACCGTCAACTCACCGTGGAAGAGGAACAGCCCCACAACATTAAGCAGCAACCCGAGTGTACCGACGGCGACCAACAATTGAGCGTCATGGATCTTCTCAATTTCAATAAATCGTTTCACAGCTTCCACTGTTATGCTGAAGCACAACGCGACTAGGAAGACGGCGTTCACGAGAGCACCAAGCACTTCGGCACGCGCCCATCCAAATGTGTTCTTTGACCATTTTTTTGGTGACATCTGGGACAATAAATAAAAAGTTAGTACAGTGCATTAGTATATATTAAATTATTAAAAGATCACTGATTAAAATTTAGTAATTATTTCCATATCACCATCAATTAAAGTCATCAGTTTTCTAGCGGTTTAGCACACACCTTACTTCCGATGGTTATGTGTTGCATACCCCACATAATCAGACGTATGCGTCCATAACCATTAAGTATTTCTATGAATTGTTTGGCGTATTATTGTAATAAATTTAAATTTATTATATGAATTAAATGAATATTTAAATAAACTGTATACTCGTAGCGGACTGTGATATGTCGATAAATATGGGATTCGAAATAGTATGTGAATTTTCTATACACCTACTACTCCAGACTTCCCTACTAAGTACTAGAGCTTCATTAGGTGCAATCGTTAACATTTCATTGAGCACCGATCTTTTCATGCTTTGTAAGCTATTATGTGTAGTTGAAATGAAAAAATGGTACATTTGCAACATGCTTTGCAACTGAAGGAAATTGTCAATCGAACATAATTTCTGTACTTCATATTATATAAATATTTAAATGACTAATAGATACAAATAGGTGTTAATTCTGTGAAGACTTTATGATGTCATATTATAACCATGAGTTGATTGGTATTTCCAACTACAATTAGGTAGGTATATATATATATATATATACCTACCTAATTGTAGTTTCTCTTTAGCTACAGCTAAAGATGAAAAATATAGCAAAGTCTAACTGTATAAAAATCTGTTACCAGATTAATCTTTTTAACAACTATTTTAAGATTAATAAGAATGGATTGATACATGTATAAATAAGGGACAGCATTTTTATAACTACCAATAGAACTTAAAAGATAAGCTACTAAAAAAACTAAAAATAGACTATTTCAGCTTAAGCTTCCTTCTAAAATACAAGTAATTTACATGTAAAATTCAAGAACTAACAAGATCTTGCCACATTTTATAGTTATATTGAGTTTCCAATATATCACCTGTATTACAACAATCATGATCATGACATAGAGCAATTAAAAATATGATTTACAAATCTTGGCACCACCCCTGAGAATTGAACAAAAATTGAATCTATGCAACAACATGCAATGCTTCTAAAAAGGAAAAGTAGTTTAAAAAACAAACACACAAAAACTATTTTATTTTAATTGAGGCTAGTTTGCATATGTGGACAAAACCAATCCTGCTTAAAATAATCGTTACACACATTAATATGAAAATTATTTTGATCCCAGTGATGAAAGCTGTATCAAAGGTAAACTGAAGTCAAGCAGATAAATAAATAAATAAATTATATGCAGACACATAATATTTGTCTACCTTCACACAATATCCTTTGTTGCTACAACAAAGGATATTGTGTAAAATCATATATTCACATTGGTACACTATTCTCTGTATCATCTAATACTTGTCTAACATTTACAGATCCTAAGTTTTGTTTAAACAAAACTACATATAAGTAAAGTCTACCTAAACATAGTTGCATATCAAAACTAACTAACTAAATAACTGGAGGTACTTACTTTAACAGATAAAAATGCAATAACCAGTGCCGCTACATCACTTAGCATGTGAAATGAGTCGGCTACAAGTGCCATTGAGTTGGTGACATAGCCCACAATGAGCTCTACAAAAAAGAAGCCTCCAGTGAGCCACAACATGGAGAGTAGCCGACATTTCTTCCCGGTAAACCTTCCCATTGTATCTGAAACCAATGATATAATTAAAATAATAACTCTTTATTTATTAAATATACAATATATAATAAAATTATAGACTGATATTTGTAAAGATAATGAAACAAAACCAGTTTGATGGTCTTTATTAGAGCAATAGTGGCCGAAAACAACAGAATTTTAATTATTTTCTGTATGTTTTTTTAAGGATCATAATGGGATGGCTCTCCCACCTGTGTTAATGGGTTATATTGGAGGGACACCAGTAATGGATGATAAGACCCCCTTTGGCTATATGTTAGGTTGCATGTATGTACATACATCACACAAAAATGACTGTTTATACAAATCAATTAGCTTTCCATCAATCTAATGCTAGCTTTAAATATTAACCATTTCACTGCAACAAAATATGTTATTTTTAAGTGAAACAAGGGTGGCTCTCAAGTACAATAGAAAAATGCAGAGAAATGCCAACGCATGTTAATACTTTAAAACTATTTTATTAAAGATGAGGCTAGCATTCTTGAGTATACTTAAAAATTTATTTAAGGCATGCAACATTTTTTTTCATTGATTTAATAAAGATAATTACAGTTATTTTTATACAATGACTCACCAAACTGCAGAATAGTTTGTTGGCAAGTGTTTGTGTGTAAAATTTTAAATAAATTTCAATGTTGTTAAAATTTCATTGTATCTTAGTATGCATACTAATATAATACATATTATAAACAATGTTATAACAGTACAAAGACCAATAAATAGTATTCATACCAATTATTATTTTGAACATTGTATATTTCTGTGGTTACACAAATAACAACTACATTAAATAGTTATTTCTTAATTATTAATTAGCTAAGTAATTGACAAATATATTATAGTAGGCACTACAGATCTCTAAAGCATAATCTATTCATACAATATTGCCATGAACAATTTCATTAATGATTTAGTAAGTAACAGGCTTTAGTCAGTGTGTTCTAGCAGACATTTTAAATACATTAAAAAGCAAACCTTAAAACTTAATAAGGAATATGTAAAAAAAACACTAAATAAGTTTTAAATTTAAGTGGTGGTAATTTAACCAAAATCCATAGAGAATTTAATTTTCAGTAATGGGTCTAATCTCATGGCTAGCAATATACCATGTTAAGCCAGTCTTGATAACTATATCATATTGATTCATGAATGAAGCATATGCATAATTTGATATAAATGACTAAGTGACTTGACATCATGTTCATCATAAGGTCGATATGCACTGGTGCCCCGCCAGCATGTACAATTATAGCAAGCACCTGCCTGCTATAGCTATATATACTGCACCATTCTACATTCATTCATTAAAACACACAAAATAAATACTTACATGTTTTAATAAAAGACTTGAAATTAAAGAGGGTAGTATTAGCAACGAACACCCATGAGGAAGAAGGTATGTCACAAAATATGCACACTCATTTCACAACAATAGGTTATTGCTCCAATACGATATCGATTCAACACTTCTCAGCTAAGCACAACATACAGCACTTCCAATAGTTAGAAAGTAAACAATTAACACAGGCACGTAATGCAAAAACAAATCCTTTCTTCTCTTGATTGTATATAGTGGTAACATAACAATTATTGGAGAAGAAAATCTAGTGAAAGTTAAAGCATTCTATATATTAAATACAAATTTTTGTTTCTTGATAAATTTTGTAAAATGGACAACAAATAAAATGTGTATTTAGTGCACTCTTATATTAAAAATTCACTGTCTGTTTTATACAATAGGACTCGTGAATCAGTGACGAAATAAATCTAAATGTATAAAAGACAATCCAATGTGAATGATCTCAAATCGAATACAAAAGATATGTCAAATTGACATTTGTAATTTTTAACTGTCACTGTCAAGTGAAGTAATTCTTAAGACTGTCAAGAAAAAAATGGCTGTATGGGCGGAGTTCCTTTACCTTTCCGTTATAGGATTAACAGAACAAAAAAAAACATTATAGAATTAATTCAACAAATAATAAATAAAATAAAGTGCGACACTAGACAGTGCAAATTAAGGTAAAATATATTATATTTTGTGGCGAATCTACGGATAGCGCGCGGCAACACCGTTACCTAGCGACGATATAGGGAGAAAAATAACAAGCCTGTTAGAGAGGACCGAATCCCTTCTTTTCTTATGTAATTTCTATTTATATTATTATTATCATTCACCGATTGTAAATAACATAAGAATGCACATATACAAGGTCACGACTGGTCTCATTCTTTCACCGCCCTGTCGCGAATCTACTATCATCGTGCGGCAACACCGTTGCCTAGTTACGATGGGGCAAGAAGAATAACAAGCTTGTCATTCGAGACCGAATCGCTTTAATGTACATATACTAATTGTAAATACTTCTATATTATAAATATGTAAATAGTCACGACTGGTTTCTCTTCACCTCCATCTTCTTGATGCTGCTTCTACATGAACACAAGAACACATAATCATAAATAATTACGGCCCCATCTTACACGCTAAAGCCCTTTTCTTGCTGCCGCCTATACCAGATGAACACTTAATATACAAATATTGCGGCCCAATCATAAATAAAAATAAAGCTAAAATTTTAAGGAAGCAAGAATAAAAAAAGAGTATAAATATTATACATAGTAGTTAATCTTCTTCTCATTTGATACATTCTTGACAGAACGATCGTGGTCATTATGTATGGGAGGCTGATGTCATCCATCGTACGACAGCTCGCCATTTATCTCCACTGCATGTCAATTTGTAACACTCGTGGAGTGCAATTGCTGTTTTGATTTGGTCGGTCCATCGCATGAGTGATCGTCCACGGGGTCTAGTACCGTCAACTACAGTAGCTAATATGTACGTAGTTATTGAAATGAATTTGTAATTAACGATTTTAAAGTTTGTCCTGTTTTCATTAATCTATGTAATGTTCTTGCTCTTGAAAAATTATTCTTTTTAACATTTCGTAGACATAATGTAATTTTCATTAAATCAGTTTACCATGGCGTCTTTAATATGTCCAATTGTTGTAGCTACTCTGCCTTCATCTTACGTGAAAGTTTATTTACTAAAACGGAGGCGAAATTAATAACTTAATCAATTAATTCTCGTAATATAGGAACCAATTTTTGCAAATAGGTGAAATGTTAATTATTTAATTAACATATTCACCATCAATAGCTTTGCATAGTGGTTATTTGCTTAGTAGCAGCTGTCTTCTTACCGTACGTCAGTGTCATGTCGTGTCACACTCTATTTGTCTTACTTACCTTCGGTTCTGTGTTACTTACGGATTGTTATATTTATTTTTATGACTTTCTATATCCCTTATATAAGAGTATTATTAATTAATTATTGTTATTAAAATCTATCTTATACCTATCATTACTGATTGAGATGATTTCGTAAAAATGAAATAGCTTGATTTATTTACTTTGTAATAGTATAACACTTAACCTATAAATTAATTGTGATTTCTTGTGAATATGAACTGAATTTAAATAAATTAAAAATGGTAACAAAAATTACTGGGAAAATATGTGGTTTTGTAGGTTATGCATTACAATGTGCTTGCATTACTCACTGTACATTTGAATATTTAGGAGATTTTGTTATGGTAAGTCATAATTATTGTTTTTTTAATAATACTTCTACTATCTAAACAACTATTTAATATGCCAATTTTGTCTCCTCTTTACTAAAATGTTACAAATGAGCTTTATCTCCCTGCCAAATATTATTTTTGTACTAAATTTCATGTCGTTTGATTGAATAATTATGGTGCCAAAATATACTTATAATAATACAAACTCACTATCACATCTTAATCTTTACATATAATAAAATAGTGACGAGGCTGAAACTGTCTGTTTATCTGTTGTTGTCTGATAATAAAAAAGGCTGAATAAATGCCCTCCAAATTAGTGAATTAATAATTTTTGTGGAAGTTTCAATACATCATTTTGTAATGTATTTTTAAAATAAATAAGAGGTATTATGTTTGTTTATTGTCCTGATTTCATTGTAATCAACAGATAACATCTACAAATGACATGATGGCAATATTTTTCTTGTGATGAGCCTGCATTCTGAATGAGTGATTGAATCATGAAAAATATGACTATTCAAAGTGCTTACATAAAACTTTATTACAAATTTGACAACTGTTAACCACATTCCAGTTGTTGAACCTCATGCTAGTGCCATAATCCTGCCCATGGTTCCAAATATTGCCATTAATGTTGTATACTGGATGATATTTTTTTCCAACATTACATAATAGGTATATAATATTTTTACAGTGTGAAATTCATTCCTGAACATTCTGAATTATTTAAATTTTAGGTTTGTTTTACTGTAATTATTTGGCTGGAGCCTATTTACTTATTTCAGTGTTATGCATATGTATTCTACACAAAATATGTATATTAATGATACCTCATTTCATAGTGTCTTACATCACTACCATTTTCGTATACCATTACTAGTCTAATATTACTTATTTGCACAGTAAAAACACTCAATAAGAAGGGGAATGGGTGATACAACAATCCTAAGAAATAAATTACACAATGGTAGAGTTACTTTAAATGAGGGACATCTTCCAGTCAACCTTTGAATGACTAAGAGGAATTGTGGAGTGTGAACACTTATAATTAAATGATAAACAACAAAAAATATAAACTTAACAAAAAATATAACCTTAATAATAAACATAATACAATAATGATTGAAATATAAAATAATTGTTTTGAATTATTCTATGGTCTCTGTTTTCTATTTTATTGCATATACAGGGCCTGGGATAAGGTCTATTAGGAAAATATATTTAAGTATCCCATTTATTTGTTTCAGTGTTCTGGGCCATCAATGGAGCCAACATTGGAGTCAAACAATATACTCTTTACAGAGCATATATCTCCCAAATTGCAGCGATTACGTCGTGGTGATATTGTTATATCCAAAAGCCCTAATAATCCAAAACAAAATATATGCAAAAGAATAACGGGACTGCCTGGAGATAAAGTCCGGGGCCACTTCCCCAAACGTAGTCAAATTGTGCCAAGAGGCCATGTGTGGTTAGAAGGTGACAATTCTAGTAATTCTGCTGATTCCAGAGTATATGGTCCTGTACCACAAGGATTGATTCGCAGCAGAGTAGTGTGTTGTGTATGGCCATTAGATAAAATAGCATCATTGACTGATTATTAAATGATCTTGTTAATATTTAATAGTTAAATGTAAATAAAATACACTAGTTAATTTTATAATAAATTTAATTTTGTTAATTAATTATTTTTTATGAAATTTTCTTCAGAATTTTCCCAGAATTTTCACTGGAATTTCCACCTGTAATTTCCTCCGAACTTTCCTCTGAACTTTTTTCTATACTGTCCTCTAAATTTCCCACTGTACCTTCCTGTCTTGGGTTAATTTCAATTGTTGTCACTGATTGCGGATCCACTATGAATTCTGCGTACCTGGTTCTACTAACATATATACGAACTTTGCGTTCTCTTCTACGCCTGAAAGAAAATAATAATAATAAATAACCCTGGACAATTAACACAGCGTTATCTAGTCCCACATAGGTCGGAAATAAAGCAGTGTGCTGAAACGCTAGATCACCGAGGCCGTCGTATAATAAAATTATGAGATGAATTTCTCATTGGGCTTGTTGATCGCAGTGATGGCTGGCTCGCCTATTATACTGGTGAATCGATGCTGCATGTAGGGACTGGTATTATCTGATAACTATAACTGATTTATTCAATTTTATTAATTATAATAATTATTTATTTACTTATGTCAGCTTTGCTATTATATATTTAAAAGAGCAACACACTTATTTTTCTTGCTCATTTTTATTGTGATGAGTCTGCGTTCAGAATGAGTGGTAGAATCAAATAAACTTACTATAAACACTTTGAATAGTCATTATTCAAAGTGCTTATATTAAGTTTATTTGAATAAAGAATATTTCTGATCCTTATCGACGGCCTCGGTAGTCTGGCGGTTTAATATATGACTTTACTTCTGATAGTCACACTTTACTTCCGCAGTCAAAGACCGTAATCTACGGGAGCAAATATACAAATATCTGTATTATTGCTCCCGAAGAAAGGGCGAATCTGCCGTTATCATAAGTGAAGGTAAACTATTGTTTTCCCCACGACGTCAACAGTATGAAATTTCTCTGGCTACCCAATCAATGATTAAAGTCTTAAAGATATTTGGGTGCCGTATCTGTATTTAGTGTTTATTTTGATAACATACCTGTTATGTACTACAACTACAATATTGCCTTCTGGCGTGAGGACAGCAACGTTTTCAATTGTACGCAAACTCCAGCGTTCCACATACAATCTCCTTGATTCTCTCGGGATGAATTTGGAGAAATGACCCATGGCGTAAAACATTGGCTGCTTTATAAATTCATCCTTATCCGGGGACACAATAATAGGAGAATCCACGTAGTTCTCCGCCCAATTTGGACCACCATTTTCATTCAAGCAAAGATTCCAATCAATCCAACCCACTACGAAGTTGTTTAGATCCTGAAATTGTATTAAATCATGTTTAATGACACTGGTGTAAGTATAACTATATTATTACAATATTTTTTTATATAGGTAATACCAGGCGAATGAAATGAATTAATAAAGATTAAAAATTATCTAGCAGTTAAGTTCGGTTTTTAAACTTTCGTGGTTAGTACATACGAGTATTATATTAATATAGCTAATTATCATAAAATTATTTGGCAGATATTATGTCTGTCTAGGTACAAACTATCCGGTCGGTCACGTAGTCCGTAGTAATCCATACTAATATTATAAATTGTAGTGTGTCTGTCTGTCAGTTTGTAAACATTTCAAGGCTATACCGCTGAACGTATCATAATGAAATCTTCATTATTGTACCCTGAGTACGGACATAGGCTATGTTTTATCTCTAAAAATAATATGAATATTATGGCTTGAGGATCTCAGTGTTATATAGATATGTATGTATTGTGTGTTAAAGAACAATGGTAATAAGTATTTTTTTCGTAAAATATAAACCAAACTGTTTATTTCATGTCGTCCACATTGTGTGTGTCGTAATTAATAGTAAGGAACATACTAAGTTTTCCTATTGGTACTCGTATAGTTAATATATTTACAAATAGCAGCGAGCGGGTACTTCCAGATGAAGTCGGAAGTAACAGTTAGTCTAAATATAAATCCATAATGGAATTTGAAAGTGTATTATCGACAAACATTGAAGTATGTACTTATAAAGTTGTAATCAGTGAATAATTATCTACAATATTTCAACTATAGGTCAATAGGACAGTTATTAATTATAAGTACAAAATAAAATAATTGTTTAATCATATCTGAGGTAATATGATAGATATAATGTATATATACGTCACGTAGTAGGTATGCACTAATAGGTATTCTGTGATATAGTCAAATAATTAATCTGATAATAATTTTCGTGCATTTGTAGTCAAATGTTTAATATTTATAGAGTCTGTTCATGTAATTTCTGATTTGATTGTGTCACATTTAATATAATATGAAAATTCACGAATGTCTAAATAAATCAAAGGATTTACAATCCATGAAATGGTTAGGTATATGAGACGTGATTGACTCGAAATTTAAATTTGAAGTGATCATCCTTACTTCCTTACTCCTTACTTAATATTATAAATGCGAAAGTAACTCTGTTTGTCTGTCTGTCTCGCTTTCACGTCAAAAGTACTGAATTGATTTAAATGAAATTTGGTACACAGATAGTCTAGATTCTGAGAAAGGACATAGGTTACTTTTTAATGCGAAAAAGGGTTGTAAGGGGTTCAAAACGGGGGATGAAAGATTGTATGGAAGAATCGTCATTTTTGACGCTAGAAGCTTGAAACTTATTTTTGAGGCTGGTGTATGAATATAAAAAAAAATGACATACAATTTTTTTATAAATTTTACCCTTATGGGGTTAAATAAATTAGGGGATGAAAGTTTTTACGTAAATTCGTTGTTTTTTAAAGCCAGAATTTTAAACTTATTTTTAGGCTGGTGATTAAATATAAATAAATACGACATTCAAAGTTTGTAATGAAATTACACTTAGCATAAAATAAAATAGGGGGTGAAAGCTTTTATATAAATTCATACTGACTGTATTATGAATTTACATAAAGTCTTTCATTCCCTATTTTATTTTATACCGTTAAGGGTAATTTTATTACAATGAATAAAAATCAATAAAATAAAACTTATACGCCTAAACTACTGAACCGATTTAAAGGAAATTTGGTACACAGTTAGTCTAGACCCTGAGAAAGGACATAGACTACTTTTGAATGCGATAAAAGGGTTATAAGGTGTTTGAAAGGGTACATGCAAGGTTGTATGTAAGAATAGTTATTTTTAAAGCTAGAAACTTGAAACTTATATTTTAGGTTTGTAAATATGAATAAATATACCAATCAAACTTTGTAAAAATTTTACCCTTACCTGCATAATAAAATAAGAATTGTTATATAAATTCATAATTTTTTAAGCTACATGACGAAACTGTTTTCATTGGCTTTTTTGGGTTAGTTTATTAAATACCACACTAATATTGTAACTGTCTATCTCGCTTACACACTAATATTATAACGCCAAACCTACTGAACCGATTTAAATGAAATTTGGAACACATAATCCTGCGAATGGATATGGGTTACTTTTTATGGGAAAAAGGGTTGTAAGGGAATTGAAAGGGTAGATGTAAGGTTGTATGGATATACGCCATTTTCAAAGCTATAAGCCTGAAACTGATGTTAATGTAGGCTGTTGATATTGTTGAGAATATAAGTAAAGAAAAATGGGTTGTAACATGGATTTTAAGAAAAGTTAAATGTTTTATATGGAAATATTGTCATTTTTAAAGCTAGAAGGTTGAAGTTTAATTTTTAGTCTATTTATTAAATATATATAACGAAAAAAGGTTATAAGGGGTTGAAAGATATATGAAGTATTGTATGGAAGCGTCGTCATTTTAAAAACTGGATTTTTTAAACTTATTTTTCAGGCTGTTGATTGAATTGTATGGAATTCTGTATCGTCACTTTTCACTTGTCACGAAGCTACAATGATGAAACTTTTTTAATTGGCTTTCTATTGGGTTAGGTATTTCAATATTGTTTTGATTATTTGGTCAAGGTCACTATTTTATGCGGACGAAGTCGCGGGTACAGCTAGTAGATTATAAATTAGATACAATTTAAATTGTAAACGGTTATAAGGGATTAAATAAGAAACCTCGCATAATGATATAAAGAAAGCAAATTAAAAAGAGCACTTACTATATGTATACCTATGTGGGAATAAAAAATTAGTACTTAGTAAGATATAAGTACTAATTGATCTTTACAAGTATGTTCAATATTTAATAGAATATTTTACAGTATGTAGTACGTACCTCAATAATACTGGATATATATCTTCTTGCACGACGCCATGATCCAATTATAACCTTCTCTCTGTTCCAGGGCATCGGACCTATTCGTACAAAATACAAATTTACAGGTATCTTCTATTCTATAGCATAGGGGATATACGAGGTTGCGGCTCACCTGATGGTAAGTTATTACAGCCGCATGAGCACCCGCAACTCCAAGGGAGTTGCTCTTTTCTTGAAGGATTCAATATTGTATAGGTTGGGAAATACCATTGCCAATGGTCCATGCGAAAGAACCGATTCATCTTAACATATATTATCGTTATACCTAATAAAGCACACAGCAAAAAAATCGTCTGTGTGGGTACCTCATTTAGTCGCTCGCTTCGCATCTTGCTTTGTAAGACGTGTTTCGATTGAAGTGTAAAATAAGACAGTGAAATTATAGGATAAGAGCCATGACAGCTTAGTCCTCCGGAATGATAATGCATTTGTTCTCTGGCATCATGATAACTTGGTGTTCCTGCTGTTCATATATATATAGACGACGCTCACCACTTACCATCCGGTTGGCTGTCATCTTGTTTGCCATTACAATTAAGTACATAAAAAAATATTCAGTTTCTTGGAGGAGATTGTTAAGTTTCATAAATTAGTCACAGCTAAGTAAGACATCTTCTTTTACAAATTAAAGCCCAATAGAGCCTAAATACGGAAAATGGTTTCGTTGACGGCCTGAGTGATCTAGCGATTTATTACACCGCTTTGCTTACGATGGTCGCGGGTTCGATTTCTCGCACGATGCAAACATTTATATTCATGAGTATGATTTTTTGTGTTGGTCTGTGTGTTTTTTATGTATGTTATGTTTGTAAGTTACTTAGTACTCATAACATAAGCTCTGCCTGCGTACCTCCTGGATAATTCACACAGCGTCATCTTGTCCCAGATGTCCAGGAATTCTCCAGGTTACTATTATAAGTTATTACTATTACCTTCACAAGCTTCAGTTGCGAGCAATATTTTGTTGGGATACCGTTCTTGCACCCTTGCGAGAACGCGGGGCGACACAAAGTTGCCGTAGTAATGTACGGCGATGCCATCAATGTAATCAATGGAACGTGGCTCCGCTATCTCCATCTGCAACATTTTTTTATACATTTATTTCAGGCTACTAATGGCCCATATTATAAACCTTATAGACTAACATACATATATAATAATAATAAACTATAAATTGTCTCTGTGGCCGCGACACTGACGACGGCAATCTGCCATGGTAGCGCCGATATACCACCCCCTTCGGCCAGTAGTCCTCCTTCATTAAGGTGGGCAGTAATTTGGTGGGGCCATAAATGCCTTGAAACTCGCGTTGTGACTCGACTTCAGCTGCGTCACCCTCAATGTCAGGTTACTCTTGGTCCATATATAGTCGACAATGTCCTGCTCCTTGGTGGCGTAGTGTAGGCCGCAGAGGTACATTGCCATGGTCGGTGTTAAAACACGCAACAGGAAGTTAGACCCTATGGGTGCGGTGCCACAGTTCCGATTGACCTTGTGCGCCTCTTCTTTTGTATCAAGATTGTGCAAAATATGTAAGCACTAGCTGTTCAGTGACTTCGTCGGCACAAACAGTCCCTTATTTCACACATTCCCAGAATATTGATTAAACTATACACAAAAACCTTTCAATGCTCTTCGTGTTCGTTATAATAGTGCCCTTAGGCCACTGTTGGGACTGCCCCGATTCTGTAGCGCGTTACTTATATTCGCACAAGAGCGCACCGACGATATCTATGCGTAAACGAATAACGTCGCTTCCAACAACGCAAGTAATTGCTTGGAAAATAGACAGTCCCGTCACTGGCAGGGACATTGCTGATACATTGAAGGGTTGTCCCACATTTATGTTTACTATCATGTGAATTATTGTGTAATAATTGTTAATAATAAAATAGACTATATTGTTATCTTAAAATACACTATTATTATTAAAAATAAGAACTTGCGGCACTCTTGATGGTAAATATTATAATTAATCCATGAACTTTAGGAAAATTGGAGATGAGATACTACAGCTTTTTAGGACGTGTAAGATTTTTTCTGATTTCAATATCGTATCGGTATGGAAAGGATAAATTGCTGGGAGATGATTCCACAAATTTGTTACAAGATATAAAAATTTAACAGTGAAGTTTTCTCTCCATTAAATATTTTGTACTGTACCATAAACATTGTTTTAATATTAGCAACCTTGCTACAATATTGGTATAATAAGCGTGCCGTGCTTGTAGTGTGATAATAATAGATTGTTATAATGATGAAAAAATAAACTTACCCCTCGTAACCAAATAGGTAGAGTGTAGCGTTGATCATCAACAGCCAATATCAATGTATTGGAGAAGTTTGAGTTTCTTATTGTAGGACCTAGATTATTTGCCACCCAGCGACCCTGTAATAAATACTTTATTATCAATCATGTTTTTCAAGTAGGGAATTTTAAAATGTTTGTACCTCGACATGTTTGCATTAATTTGATTTAGACTAAGAGAGTGAATGCCTGTTCTCTCAATACTTCTTTTATTTCTATATACCTACTATTATTAGTCTTATATGTGTGTATGTTTCTTGACTGTAAACATAAAGTCGCCGCTTAATATTACAAAACGACTTTACATAAAATAGGAAGAGGTATAGCTAGGTATACAACAACAATACAGACGCCTAAAAAACTTGTTTCTTTTTAAGGTGTAGTGAAAAGCATTTAGAATCATTGTTCTTTTTTGCTTTCTTTTTTGGTAGTGTGATTTTGAAAATTACATGATCTCTTGAGTAGACGTATCCGTGAGGAGCTTATTACGGGTGTCACAGTAAAGTACTTACGTCTTATAATATTCGTTGTCCAGAAAAGACCATAAACATGACTTTCCACTAGATGAGTCAGTTTTTTTGATATTCCATTCACAACAAATGTATCTATCTACTCACCAATTCTGAGGGTGTCCAGCCTAAAGAGTTGAAGTTTACAATGGGTACAATCCCATTTAGGGGTTCATTAGTGGTTGTAATTGCCCAGATGTTAACATGCGCTCTCGCATATGCTTCTATAAATCTGTAACAATTGTTAATGTAGTATTACTTCCTTGTAATTCCTATCTCCACATTCAATTTATTTAATAAGTAGAATCTTTTAGCTATTGCACTGTTTTGTCATCTTCATAACTTAAAGATACACTTAAACTTCACATATACTTTATGTTCAGTAGTTTTTTTATGGGAATAGGTATAAAAATTTACAATAAGATACCAAAGGATATGTTGGAATTACCCTTAAATAAATTTAAAACATCTGTTAAATTATATTTACTGAGCAAAGCCTATTACTTACAGCAAAAACGATTACTTGAATGACGAATGTACATGGCAATAGTTGTTCATGCATTGAATTTTCATTTAATGGTTAGACATAGACACCTATATAAATATACATAGTAAATAAGTTGGCTTTAAAAAAAAAGTAATTCAATTGAGTTTCTTGCCAGTTCTTCTCAATTGGTTCTTTATACTGAACTGGACGGTAGGGAAAAAATTAAAATTAGAATGTAAAAATTTGACGTTCATAAGCGGCTAAAATGTCCTAATGTACAGGTTAGCCCAAGTTCAATAAATTTTAGAACATTAGTTTAGATTAAAAAAAAATACCACACTAATGGAAACCAGTATGCTACCAACCGTAAATGATAGTCAGCGTAGGTCTGATAAAACTCAGGCTTCAGCTGTCCAAAACCGGTGATTCTTTCATTGGATTTCATCCACACTGGAGGAGACCACGTACTTGCTGTGATCTGCACTTTGTTGCCTGCTTCAGCAGCGGCAGCTTGACTTAATCGAATCATTGGGAGCTGAAATGGTTAGAAAGTACCACGAACATTACGCCATCATCATCATCACTCCATACACGCAGCAGTGCCACAACAGCGATTATCACACGATCACCAGATTCCCGTGGTACCATGTGGTGCCATTCCAAAGAACTAAGATTAAGATAAGATTAAGAGAAGAAGAAGATAAGAGAAATTACAGAGTTTCTACGAAAGCATGACGCTTTCGTAGAAACTCTGTAATTTCTCTCCCTTATGTTCACACTTCAACCGAAACTTATTTTTACTAAGTAAGTAAGCAGCTTGGCGGCTGATTTAGGTGAGATTGAGGTACCCATGAGGATGACTCTTTACAAGTCTACCAAGTTAGAATATTAGATGTAAAATGAACGGTTTTGTTGATATGTTAAGTACCAATCGAATTTTGATGATTTCTCTTTTGTACTTGGACTTCCATTTTGGGGCAATGTAAAGTTTGCATGATAGTTACTTATAGGTGGTTTATAATTGATATTTGTTATGGTATTATAGTTATAAAATTTAAGAAAAAAAAATGGTCTATTACTTTTAATTACTGTAATTTAGGTATACACACCTTATAAAATAGGTCTTCTTCAGTTAGAGAGAAGTTTGTTAGGGCTGCATCATTCCAAGGTAACTCATTGTAGGCGTAAGGATGAGTTGAGAAGTCCGACCCCCCAATAGGTACTCTGATCATGTTATATTCTATACCTCGGGGACTAAAGTATGAACTGTGAACAAAAAAAGTAAAACAAGCATTACGTGCCATTCTTATATATAAGAGATTTAACTATCATGTATGGTTGGTTATGTGCGGATAGTAATACAAGTAATTTATCAGTAATATTTATTCTGGAAAGTTGTTACATAAAATATATTGCAAAGTAACTCTATGTTACTCAAGAGCAAACAATAGGTCAGATTTTATACAAGAAACATTAGCAAACGGATAAAAGTGTATATGACTAGTGATTGTTTGTCATTAAAATAATCATCAATGTTATAATAGCATTTATTATCTAACATTCTATTTTTTGATTGTGGATTAATAACACCATTGCTACCGATATACCAGGTCAGGTAGACCTACACGCAGTCCCTCTGGAAAACATCATGATGGATTTCCAGAGAAATCGTCACAATAGGCTAACTGACTTGACTTTGACCTCGTCTGCTCATTCTTCTTGCCCTGGCAGGGTAACCTATTCCCGCGAGTCTCTGTATTTTTATCATTCATAAAAAAGTTACAATTATATTTTTTTAGCAACTTACTCGATAAATCGTCTTTGGGCTCCGTCAGACAGACTACGCCAATTAATTGCTGCGGCATCGGTTACAGATCCACCAAAACCTTCAATTACCTGTGTCTGTACATTGGTATATACTCTGAAGGCGACTCTTCTCCACAGTGGCACTAAATAGAGAAGTTTATCAGTTATTAATGTTATTAAAAGGAGGCGAAAAAAAAAGTGTATGGTTTCTTGTTCAAGTTTCGTATAAAAAACTATACTATAAAAAAACTTGAATTAATCAGTACGGAATTTACACAGAAATGTTGGTATATATAGGTCAAAATATAAAAAGTTGAGAAACATACCCGCAAAGACAAAATAATAGTTGTAAATATTTTCAATGCGCAATCTACTCTTTCATTTATTGAATACAAGTTGTGTATATACAGATGCCTTCTATCTACCTAGTAGTAACTAGTTATCATGACCCCGCTTTCATCCCATCAATTGGCATCGACTAAGTATTTCTTCTTTCACTAGTGGTCAAATCGGAATTTTTAATATACTTCTTATACAATCAATTCATTATTCCCCTGGTCGCTTCACCTTTATGTCGTCTTTTAAAGTCGTCTGAGGTCGATGAGTCGATTAGAAGACAGACAATTACAGGGGTTAGGAGCTATGACACATTAGTCCTATGGAATGACAACGCAAGAGTGTATGTGATATACCTCTTGCGTTAAGTACAAGATGACGAGATCCGTTAAGATTTATAAACGACGGTTGCTACTTCCATCAGGTGGGCCGTCTCTGGCATGCCCTTATAATTACATAAAAAACATGTTCATATCAAGAAAATCGGTTAGGTAGTTTGAAAGATACAGTAATATAACGAATTGTCTCTGTACTGTCAGTTTGTTTCTCTGTAGCTTCGAGAGCAGAGCGTATATGTAGGTACTTAGGTAATTACACTGCCATATACTTATTCTATGTATGCAAAGAAGTCTACCACTATTAAAGTATGACTGCCACCCAATTAATAGTAAATTATAATTTAGATATTTTTTACCATCGTCTTCGTCTCGTTCTTCATCTTTGGGGTCAAACTCTTCATTTTCATCATCTATGGATTCAATCTCCTCGTTTTCAATTGTTACGCTTTCTTCATCTATAGGACCAAACTTTTCGCCATCTGCATCCTCGTTTGTTCGATCCAATATAGATCGTATTGTACCGGTCCATTTTTCAAATCGTTTACCGGCCTGAAAAATTCGATATTGTATACAAATTCACAATATTATCGGTAGTACTTACAAGTTTATTTTGGTAAACTTGTTTTTGTAATTTAAAATATATTCTTATTTCCAAATAGATACAGTCTTTAATTCATATGAACTACTTATCCACATTTCCTTTCTTCATTAGAACTAAGTAGAGATAAATAATGGGTTGAGAACATACTTGAGCGAAACTAATTAAAATGTTTATAACAATACTTTGATTCTGAAATTACATATAATACCTAATAATAAATACTTTACTTACACTACTAGATGTGTAGGTGACAAATGAATTAATGTTCGGGAGTTCCCTTGTGATAGTGTCGCAGTAAGTAGCATTGCAAACGCAGACTACGGAACGACCTTCCACTTCACGGGCATTACATGGTAAATCAGCTGTAATTTACAATATAAGTGATGAATTTAGTGCGTAATTGTGCATTTGATTGTTTTATCATACACTAGCAGAAATGTGGGGTACATAATAATTGCAATAGAAATAAAATACTCTCGACAAATAATTAGTTTATTGAAAGAAATACAAGGTTAATAATAAATTATTTATAGAGAAATGTATATGTGTGTGATAATTTTATAGATGTCTGTCTCTGTCATGAAAAGAAGCAATGATGTGAAATGATTAATCTACTACTATGTATCTTTAATACACCATAGAATTCTATTGGACCACCTTCCATTACTGTTTTACTAGCGTATGACTCTATTGATTTCCTTGATATGTGCCATTGCCAGTTATAGATGCATATATTAAACCACGACGAATTCACTTTGAATTAACCACCATGGTTTTCATGGTACCGAAAGGTCAATTTTGTGTTGTTATGTATCTGTACACTAAAACATTGTAACCACGCAAACGAGTTACACGAGTCTCCGGTTGAGGGCGACTGAACTTGTTCAATTTAACTTTCCGTCCTTTTGTATATTTCAGAGACGTGTTACGATAGTTGTCGATGATCACGATCTCTCTCAGGGAATTCATCCCCATATGCTGGAACCTAAGTTGTCTCAGAATGCGGTTTCAGAGGAGTTTCATCCCGCGTACACTTAGCTTGTGGAATGAACTTCTTACCGAGGTTTTTTTGAGAGACTATAGCATGGGGTTTTTCTAGAATTAGGTTTCTTAAAGGTGACAACGCGCATGTGACATCCCAGCTGTTCCAGGCGTCCATAGGCTACCGTAACCGTAAATCAGATGGGTCGTATACTTGTTTGCGTCCATCGTGGTATAGAAAAAAAAATTTTTTTGCTTATTTAACACTCTTCTGATATTGTTACATTAGACTTAGAAATATGCCGTCTCGAAAATTAGGATCATTCCCAATTCCTTAACACATATTATCGTCCCACCCCTCCCCTTAGTTTATGAATGACCCTTAACTTTCGGTTTACAGGGTAGACTTACTATATATATTTACATGCGAGTGGGACGAAGATTGCTTCACATTTGCTCAAGCCTATATTATGAAAAGAAAGTTAGGTACATAAGTACTTACCAGATTTTCCTAGTGTAGCCAAGAAAAATATAATTGATAAAATTGTGAAAACACCTCCATTTCTTTTTGTAGCCATCTATAAAGATAGAACAAGTTAGTCAACGTTTAAATAATAAAACCTACATGGTAGAACAATTTCTTAAAATCACCGAAATTATTCACGCGTATTATATTGAGAAAGTAATATTTTCATACCTTTTTATGATTATAGGTATATTAATATTTTAGATATAAGTAGTAATAAAACTAATTCGACATAGTCTAGTCTACCTTTTCACTAAAAGACATCTCTTCCAGTCAACCCAACCAATCCAACACAGCGTGGCATAGCTATCGAGTGGGTAACATTAGTGCAACTAACAGTTAGAAAAAATTTCTAAATCAACTTTTAGAACAATCTTAGTTTTATTGCGATTTTTTGTGATATTAGTTTTGCTTTCATAATATATTATCTTTTCCTAATATTAGAATTTCTGTTTAAAAAATTAATGTTTTGAATTAAATATTTTTGACGGTCACAGTGGTCAAACAGTTTATCACACTGCTTTATTACCGATGGTTGAGGGTTCGAATCTACGGTGCAAACATTTGTATTCATGAGTATGTTTGCTTGTATGCTAGCGTAAACCTCTCTAAAACTAAATTGGTATGTTATCGGTATTTTCATTACCGGAAAGTCAGTCTGAAATATACACTGGCACACAGATTATTTTTGTGTTGCCCAAATTCTACGTCTCGACATTATTGACTCTAGCCCAACAAGGCTAGGGTCAACACTGTCAACCTATGATAATAATATACTAGAATGAGTATCAAAGAACACGACTTACCTTATTCATCGCCTTATTATTATACTAACACTGTAGAGCTGTACGATAATTGTTTATCAACATTATGGGTTAATTAATCAAGATATACAAATCTATTTAATATTATCTGTAAAGAGGAACGATAATAACATATAATTTGGTTAAACTACACGAGTATAGTGTGTTTGCTTCAATTATAGAATCTTTTTAAATTTAATTTCAATTTCTTCGTTTAAATGCTACCGGATTTAGACTGCGTATTTACAATGCGTATTGCGTGAGTGTGCAGAAAGTATTATTTCATTATAATTGAATTTATAGTCAGTAATTTATACAATTATGGCTGTTGTACGAGATGAGATAATCAGATCCATTGTCAAATGTAGACATCGAGGTGAAAGCAGGACTTGACATGTTTACATTTCATCCATTTGCCGAGGCGAGCCCACCTCAGTCTTTTGGTCTAATTTGGTTTTTATAAAAACCAGAGCATAAGGCAGAAATATAAATTGTATTTTTTGGTTTTAGTTCTATTCGAACTCACCACCTTTCGGCGTTAATTCGGTGTAGTGACCACTACGATACGATGCTAAGTTTATACGTATAATTATATTTAGTGATTGTCGGTGAATAAAGTAAAATGATATAAAAAATAATTAAATTCGTTCAATAATAATAGCAACCCGGGACAACTAACTCAACACCATGTGGTCAAGTTATACAGGTACTAGACAACTGCTAGAATACTTAAATACGTTTGTAAATACATACATAAATGTAGAAAACACCCAGGCCAATACAAACTGGCTTATTAATGAATACAAATGTTCTCAATCGACACATCTACCATCGGAAGTAAAGCGGTGTGCTAAACCGCAGGACCTCTGTTAAATTGTAACTACTATATTAAATTTGGAAGATGAAATAATCGATTGGATTTCGACTAGGTTCTTTCTAGAAAAATCCAGTCTATTGAATACCTATTACTTACTTTTGTCACGAATGTTAATTAGTGCATCGTTTAAAACCAACCATGTACACTAAGTTCATATATTGTAATAAAAAAATATCTTAGGGATTAAGGATACAAGAGTCCTATTTTTATAAAATGTATCAAAACATACACATATACATATATAAGTATATATAATGTAAGTTTGTTATCAAAAAATAACAAGTATTTAAATAAATTGTTACACTACGTTATCTTTCCTGATTGTTTCGTTTGAGTCAATCTGATTAGCGATGGTGGCATAATTAACAAATATTTTCACTTCGTGGGAGTTAAGTCCAAGTATCTTATCTCCACTCAGCATATGGATAAATAATATACACGTGATTTTAAGAAGACAATATAATTAAATTTTCATACAAATCTTTTAACATAATCTTTAAAATACTGTACAATGTCGGCTAGTTTTGCAGGCTATCATTTGTTCTAGATAAATAATATACTTATAACATTTTGTTTCAATACTAGACACCATAAAGAATAGTTATTATCAGGAAAAATTATATACTTAAAAATTACAAATGATTTCCTCCAAATCTGCCGACGTAAAACTTTATTAATTTTGATATGGCAGATTGTCGATATGAAAGACTTTAGAAGCATAATTGCTTAGAACACTAAAACTGAAAGAAATGCACTAAAACGTATAATTATATTTACAAGACCTTTTCATTATTGAATAGCGCACTTATCGGCGTTTTCAAACAATTCCATACAAACTAACGCTAGCAAAAGAGTCGAATAAAACTGAGTTAATCTCATTTGAGTACATAATATAACAATTATAGTAGAAAATCACAACAAGGCAGATCTCTTTTGCTTGTTTCATTTCTCATGACCGTCGTATAGTACATAGGGCGCCCTTACACTGGAACAGATTTAAATATAACAGATTTCTGACTCAGGAGTTTGTATTTTTTCCATCTTACATAGGTACATAGTTCTAACATCCGGCATACTTGAGTATTAAACAAAAGTCATACTCTTAACTAATACTTAAATCAGAAATCATCTCTAAAATACAAACTGGCATTCGGAAGGTCCAATATTGATGTGTAATGTAGAGAAATCATTAACGCAACAAAAATTAAGTTCAATCACTTAAGTACTACGTGATATCTTTATCTATAAATTTTCGGAACGACCATCGCCATATTTAAAAAAAAATCTTAAAGCTATTCACTTTACAATTTACCTAATATAAATCTATGAAATAAATACAAAAATCTCTTATTATTATCTAAGATAATATTTTTCTACCTCACGTCTTGAAACTAAATACTATTTAATGCACATAAACTTAACACAGTGTAAAATTAAACATGCGCGGCATCCACCTGCGCACGATGGGAGGCCCCTTAATATATTTGACTAAAAGAGAGATCAAATCATTGCCACGTAAACTTATTGTATAATCCGGCAGGCCGTTTTGAGTAATGTTCACACTCATTTGTACTTTGAAACGTGAAAGAAAGATGGCCCTGTCGTAGTGAAATTAATAGAGCTCCAATGAGATAATTGTAACAATTAAGATTCATAACTGAACCGTAAGGAAAAAAATGTTAACATAAAAAAAATTACGTTCGTAAGCGGCTAAAATGTCCTACATGAATAAATGAATTTTGATTTGATTTGATAAGACCATTTTTTTAAGTGGTTTGAGTACATATAAGCGATAAATATAACTTTGTGAGGTTATGGTAATTTCACAACTTTCGACTACAAAATCTTCGAAAATAGACCACAGGTTATAAGCCCCAAAATAAATGTAAAAAAACGGGTCTAATTATTTTCTATAAACCTTAAGTTTAGATAGCCGCTACAATGAATGCTTGCTTTATGAGGCAGGCAAAGAAGTTCAATAATTTCATGCCATTTAAATAAGCATCTTGAATCTGATGTATGTAATGAGATTCGAGTTAAAATCCGATGACGGTAAATATTTTATATACACTTTAGTATTAAATGTTAAATTTGAAACACTCTCTATCCACCCTCCACTCTTTACGTGGTAATAGAGTTTAGCCATAATATATAAAAATAGATTTTTTATTTCATATTTTAAGGTGAGTCTCAAAGAATAAGCTTCTAAATAGCTTTGAAAATATAAATAATAATTTCATAACGGAATAATTTGGTGAAACATTTTCAATATATATTTTTTTTCTATAATATTCTACAGTTAGCACCAACCGTTCATAGTGTGACGATTTATAAGCATAGATATCCTTATAAATTAAAAGAACCCGGCAGCCCAGCTAATCCTGGCTGCAAAAACTAAATGATTGCAAGGGAATGGCATGTTGAAAATAAATAGTTACAGTATATAAATTTTATAACAAACATTTGGAATTTATGTATCAATATATTAAAGAATATTTTCAATTGAAATATGTCTCTTGGTCAAACAACTTTTGTTTCTTGATTACTAGGTCTTTGGCTAGTTGTACTACTAAGACTAACCCTGTATACGAATCATAATTGTTACAAGTAGTTTGTGGTCTATTCCGAAATTTCAAATCCGAACGACACGATTAAACTTTGTATTTTTTTTGCCAAACACCAATTATTCATTTCGACTATTATTATAAAATTTAAATAATAAATTTATTATTAAATTTAAAGCAGTTAGATCGGAACAATTGAAATGTGTGTGCTGATTGACATAAAATAAATTCGTAGAATTCGGAATTGTCATTTCGTAGTAGACACTCTCATTCAAGCATAGGTGCGTGTCGAAAGGCGACGAACAAACGAGAAATAATAGGGACAGGGAGTATTGAAATCTAGGTCAAGGATACATAGCTGCCAAAGAAAGATATGGAAATGAACAAAGTTAGAACGCCTTATACGTAAAACGGATATGGTTAATTAACATATCCTTGTGACCGATTTTCCTATTTCTCTCATATGATACAACTTTATTACACACCTTAAATCTTGCAGATCATCTGAACACAATGTACACTATTTAAGTAGGTACAAATAGATACATTATTATATACAAGTACACATTGGTACACACTTGAGATACTGTTTGTGGCAAAGACCGTTTTCTGGCAAACGTATATTAAAATAAGGAAAATTCTTATATACAAAATGTATAGAAAAAGGCAAGGTTTATAAGTTGATATCAAAGTATAATAAACACAGGGATATTCTCCCCTGAAAAAGAAAATATAGATATTCTATTGAGCATTCTTAGGTGAATAAAGCGATATTTATAAAATTGTACCACGAGCATTTAACAAAACGTCCGATAAAGTTTACTAGAGACAATACTTAACAAATCTATACTTATTATACCTACGCTGATTCGGTATCCTACACTAAGTTTTAATCTTTTCACTGTTACACCTCTCTTAGTATTTCATTATATCTATATTGATAATTAAGCCAGTGAAAAGATTAAATATGCTCAAGTAATTTATGTTAATGTAACATAATTAGAGGCACTGTGTGTATTCAATTCTATACTCTTATTTGACATTATTTTACACGTTTATACCGAACTATATTCAGCATTATAATATTTATGTAAAATATTATTGTTACTCTCAATGAACGTGGTGAAAGGAAATTTTAATACGAAAACGATAGTTTTAGAAAATACGTTCGGAAATGTCTACGCGTTGGTGTGAGACTACAATAACAATTGAAGACCCGACCATCTGATTTACATTAGAGATATTCAAAATTGAGCTATACAATAAACATTTAGTTACAAAAATACTTGTAGCGTAATTTTCAGATCACATTTTGCTATTTATAATGTTCACTATTTAAATAATGAACCTACGACTTTTGATAAAGTAACGTGCCGGATGGAAATAAGAGTAGCACTTGTATCGAATCGGAAGACCTACTCGAGTAGAAATTGCGAGGTCTAAGCCTGCCCACATTGCAAACGACGACACTGCCGCTTGTGACAATTGCGTTTAGTGTGCGCAGGTACTTAGAAATCGAATGGCACGATCGCGTGAAGCGCTCGTGTGGTAATCGCTCGATCCGCTTACATCGCTCGGTTCGCTTGCTTCGCTCACTCCGCTTACTTCGCGTAGATGCAGGTGGGGGGAGCGGCGACGGCGAGCGAGCGGAGCGTGCGAGTAGTTCAGTCTTTCACGAGCCTATAGATGTGATGCTGCGCGCCGTGTTCACTGTTTGACACCTCGAATACGAACGCGGCGCAGAGTAACGTCTCTTGAGTATCTCTGTTTGATACCACCTGTGGAAAAAAGATGGAACATTTAAAAAAAAGTTTGTTATGATATCCTACTTCGCTGCGCGCCGACTTCACTAGTATAGCTATAGCACGAGCGGTCTAGCGAGAGAGTGGCTCTCATGAGAAATAAGTACATTGCCGTAACGCGTGGTATGGCCCGGCTGATTGGTCAGAATTATGAAATTTACAGCATATGATTTTAGAAATTGTTATAATTTAAATGGAATCGATCAATATGAAAAGCAATAAAATTAGAATTTGATGAGACGATACGAAATATAATATTATCTATTTTTACCAGGGGCGGATCGTGAATTTGTGGGGCCCTGGCCTAAAATTTAGGGGCATACCTAATTCTATTACTCAACTAAAAAAATACGCAGACCAAAAACAAGAGACAGGGAATTCCCCGTTCCGTTCGATAGATGCGCATTTCCATGGGTTGATTAATCTCAGGGTTGTCAATCTTATGATAGGTTTTGTTATTATTATAGGTTTTTTAATCTAAATATCGCCCATTGTTTTCAGTGGGGCCTGGGAGCCATTTATATCCACGGGGCCCTGGGCTGCAGCCCATAAAGCCCGTAGGTAGATCCACCCCCGATTGTTACTGTCATCTACTTTGATCAAACGGATGCGCTCACCGCGGGGAGCAAACAATAATATCTATATTATATTTAGAACATTTTACTAGATCAATTCAATTTGTTGATAAAACAACACAATGACTAAAGTTTGCATGCGTCACCAGGCATTGTATATGTATAAGGATATAATATTAATAAATAATTTGCTTTGATCAGAAAGGAAGTTTGTTCGTGGGTGGTCCGAAGATCCTCAGATATGGTGTGGTTTTTTTTATACTATGATGGTGGCAAACTAGCATACGGCCCATCTGAGTGTAAACGGTTATCGTAGCCTATTGACGCCTGAAAACCTAGGCAGTCACCTAGTCAAACCCGTGACAAGTAAAGCGGTGTGCTAAACCGCCAGGCCACAGAGCCCGTCTTTATTATTATTTATTGATTAATATACATACTTTTTAATTTATTTACGTAAACAAATAATGACTAAATGCTACATTTTACAAAGTATTGAAAGGAAAAATATATTTAAAAAATTGTCACCACACACCACGTTTACCACAAATTACAGTAATATTTTTTATGTTTAAACCGTAATTAAAATGAAGTATTAGTATTTTAATATAAATAGGCGCGTGAATAACTATTTTATATAATTTGAAATATCATAAAACAAATATAAATTGTTCATGATCAACCTACCTGTAGTATGGTGAAGTTTTCTAGGACACTGTTCATCATGTACTTCTCAGGTAGATGTTTGAGTTTATGTATGAAGTTGACCATGTACTCGCACATGGGTGACCGTTGTATGCGGTACACGAACCGGCCGCCCTCGTACCGCGCGTACTCCGTTTCTACCTTCTCCACTACTTGTTTACCGAACGAACACACTTTAGTACTACACGTTATGGTCATGTTTTCGTTGCTTTCGTACCTGGAAGGAAATAGGAAATTATTTATATTGAACGTCAGATATATGGAGATTTCGTATTAAACCGTCGTTATATTAAAAAGTCTAGGGTTCGATTACTTATGTTGAGTGTTACAACATATGTGAAAGTTTCGAGTTAAACCTTCTTTAGATTAAGTCTTGAGTTCGAATCTGGACGATATCAATAACTTTTTGTGTTAAGTTATACTTTTGACATACGGTATGAAAAACTGATATGAATCCAAATAAATTTTATGAGGGAATATAAAAGTAGTCTAAAGTTACCCCTTGTAATAATAGCTATCTGTGAGTGAAATTCCTGTATTTTTTTTAATTCCTTTTTGATTTAAGTATATACATATTTTCATATATATTTAGTGAAAAACTGGTAACTTTGTATTACAAACTTAGGTGTAACTACAGTATATACTTTCATATACATTCAGTTAAAATTTTTTGTTTTTTGGTATTACAAAGAGACACTTACATTTTATTTATTTGTTTTCAACAACTAATAGAAAAGGATGCCTTTAAACGGTATTGTAGTTTTTACTTTATTGTATAAACAAACATAAATATTATTTATTATTTGAGATGCAAACTACGTGATTTTTATATCAACCATGAAAACCAAGGCGGAGCTTTCATGCAGCCATGTTACTTATATAAAAATATTATAATTATACAACATAATATTGATATTTTATTTATAAGTACAACAGCTTTGGTTGTAAATATAAATGGATATTATGAAATCAAACCATATATTTAAATGAATATTAAAAACACTTACACACTAGTGACTCCGTAGAAGGCATTTGGGTCGTCTAAATTATTTGTATTTAGGTCCGCCCAAAACTTGACGAGGAAGAAGGCATTTCTGGGTCCCTTATCGTACAATTCTTTTAAGCCGCCTTTCTTCTCTGGAAATTTATCGTTTATCTGTTGCACATCTACAGACTGTCGAAAGAAAAAAAATACAGATCACTTTAGTGTTTATTTTTCATTCAAGTAATAAGACTACGTTAGATACTAGTTAACTTACTGAAATTTAAATAAAATTATAATAACCATGAGTAATTATATTATAAACAAATCGTTATCTAGTTACAAAATATCAAGAAATAATTTTAGTTCTTTTATTCACCCTTATATAATATTTTAAAGTGTGATTCCGTAGCTTTATCTAAGGTAAGTATATTTTAAATGTTAATGTTGTCAACAATAACTATTTTATATATGATGTACCTGTTGAATTACATTCGTCCTTATATAATTAATATATAAACGAGTAAAAGGTAATTCTTATTAGTTGCCATTACACGACACATTCTTTCCCGCGCGAACTGGAGCGTGCGCGATTTAGCGCGGGAAAACCAGCGCGCAATCGTGAGGGATTGCATTTAATTAATTTTTGCTCACTCTTTGTCGGGTATGATTCGTGTCATTACAATTTCTTTTAAAATATCTTTTTTATTTCACAGGTTTTATTTTTAGTCGTTTACGATTTATAAATTATCAATAACTCTATGATTACATTTTTGTTCCATAGTCGGTCATTTTCGTCCGTCATTTTGTAATGACAATTAATTATTACAAAAAGGCGCTAAAGCACGTACGTACGGTCTTTCTCGTTCCCTTTGTCTACATTTACGTGCTCATTCTTTCCTGCGTGAAAGTCTATTCGCGCGTGAAAGAGAGCTACGTGTTAAGGCAGCTATTAGATACGTTCTTAACAGAAAGGTTGTGGTAAATAGTATTGTAGTGCGGTAAGACTGATGTCATCCGCCGTACGACAGCTTGCTATTTGTCTCCGATTGCTATTCTGGTACACTCGTGGAGTGGACTAAGCTAATGGATGGATTAAAATTAAAAACAAAATAATGATTCTCACCTCTAATAAAGGATCCGCGTATGTAACTGTGCCACCTATATGTACAAATAGATGTTGTGCAGGTGTTGTAAACTGAAACAGACAAAATATTATATTTCATATTGTATCATTATTGTCATCTCGTTACATAATAGCAAGTCAACAGTAATTACAATTATATATTAACAAATAATTATGTCACTTTACAATTTTAATTATTATAAATATTTAAATAACATTCATGTTTCTGTATAAGCTAATTTATGTCCTAACAAACACTATAATTGCAGCAATTCTATTAGCTAGGGACACATTAGATAACCATGCTAGTTTCTACAGTCATATGTGCTGTTCTGAAACTTATAATTCCTGTATATTCTAAAGAAATTCATGTCAAAGTAATGACAATGATAAATAATTGTGGTAAATAATTGTAATAAATTTGCTAACGTAATACTTGAACGGTGGTCAAATAGACGTGTAAGCACATAATAGCGTAAATTAATTAAGATTGCTATAATTTGTTTATATTAATTAATTTAACTGTTATTGTTTGTACCTTTAAAACAAAACAATATAAAAGAATACCAATATATTATTTTATATATATTGGTGGCTTGAGCAGCTTCGAGCAATTTTATAATAATTTCTAGTATTTCTTCATTGTATCTATTATTACAATTTTTGTACTTCGTGTCCAACGAAATAAAAATCCATAAAGTAATTATTACTGTACAAATTTTAATTACTGTGATTTAATTTGTTAGCGCATAACGTCTAAACACCTATATCTTTTAACAGCTTATGATCGACTGATGTCGTACTCGCTAGGAAAGTAGTTTTACCTATTTTTTCATTCAAATTGGTTCAGCCGTTTACGAGGACAAATCCCGTACGCCTATATATGTATATGGTATATAATTATTCTGTACGGGTGTTATGGCAAATTCTATTTTGCCATGATTAACATAACTCGAAATATTTCTATATATATATATATATATATATATATTAAGACATGTTTGTACTCACTGCGTCTGGATCCCTGGTCTGGTGGTCAACGAAGGCAGAGAACTCCACGAGCCTTAGCTTGTGCGTTGCGATAGCTCTATCTTCCCAGGGTGGTGGTGGCGCCACGTCCGTACCGCCTGGTACCCCAACGCCGGTCACGCCTGGGACGCCTTTGTAACCAGCCGCGGGGAAAGGTTTCACGCTGCAAGTGTAAATGATCAGGTCGTGAAAAAAAGCATAGTTAGGGGATTTTTGGTAGGGGATTGTTAGTAATGTCAACAAATAATAATAATCTTCATTTTACTGCTCACAAAGAAACTTACAACGTAAACAAATTATGTTGAAACTCTCAAGTTATTCCTTGTGAGAGTCTGGAGCCTGAACTAGGTCGAAATCTGTACTACAGATGTCCTGGCTCCCTCCGGGACCTTAAAGTATTGTATATAATGTCTGAATCTAGCAATGTTTCAAGGAAACTGTCAGGTTGACATCTACACAATTTCTGCTGGATATCATCGTAATAAATTCTTGGTCAATTTGCCACGATGGGCTAACTGACCTGAACTTATGCTTATATTATCGTCCTTCACTAGTGCTTCCCCGGCTCAGTCCGTTAACGCAGGCGGGTGCACAATTCCAATGTAATCCAATAAAAAAGTATATATTACCATTAGAGGGAGACTTGATTTCTATCGGTTGCACATGACTGCTATAAAGAACCTGTCTTTATATTACAGTTGGATACTGTCTACTTAAATAAAATTATTATATGAATACAGATTATTTTCTAAAAAAAGTATTACTCTAATGGTACTAATAGGATACTATTAATACCATTAGAGTAAAAACCTACATTGCATCTGTAATTATGTGTTATGGAATAAAATATAGAATTATGATAAATACTTACTCATGAGAGGTCCCAGCTTGTAAACCGGGTTGCCAGAATTGCTGGAAAAAGAGAAAAATATCAATTAACATGTATCAATATGGGAGGGACGAGATGATGCAAAGCTTTTCTGTTGTTACATAGCTTGGTGTTAAAATCGCCAATTATACTACACACGTACAGAAGCGCACATTGTTTAGTTTTAAAATATTATTATGTAAAAAATCTAATTGCCCATGATTTTTAAAGCTTATTTACATTCTAGATAGTATCTAGTTTAAAAAGTAATATGTAGTCGTCGCGATGTGGTCGGTAAAATTGCAGTAATAGATACTGGTATAATGGTGTAGTTCGCCACCTACGGGATGAACGAGAAAAGAGTGGAAAATAGCAGGAAAGGAACTCGTAGGAGTTCATAAAGAAAGTTGGTATATGGATACATGGAAATGAAAAGCATATTGTAGTACTTGGTTATAGCACTGATGCTATAACTAAGTACTACAATTGAGTAGAGACACCAGTGTCCTCCCTAATATCTGCAGGCCTATTACAATAGACGAGTTTGTGGAACCGTTACAGGGGTTAGTCCGCTTTTATTAATTGTTTGGATACCTACGTAGTTTCGAGATACTAACCGAAAGAATATTAATAGTAAACTGTGAGATAAATATCAACAGAACAGTACTAAGATATTATGCCTAAAATCCTGTATTATCCATCTGACCCTACAAGCGTAAGCTTGCAAAGTAACCTGCTTGGTGGCTGAAATGGGTAAGACGTAGATATCTACTAAGACATTTTTTTTACAGTCTACTTCAAACCTAGTTTCGATAGCGTTTTAAATTAGAGATTTTACGGACTTTTTAAACAAACCTGAGATTTATGAATCAAATTGGGGAGTGTATATAGTAAATATATTTGAATCTGTCTAGTAATAATTTAATTTAATCACATAAGTTTAAATTCACTAGGGTATTAATTTAGCTATTACATACATTAACTTAACGTAGCCTTAAAAATTTAATTATATATGTATAAGATACTTAAACGACGAGATGATACAAATAAACATTGAGTCAAACTGTGAGTAAAGCAAATTCAATATTCTCCTATGTTATTATAGTTTAATGTCACATGCCCGAGTAGAAACAGCATTTTTAAGTATAGACAACGAATGCCGTTTATTTCTCAAACGTTGAAATAAGCCTTTCGAAATTTGGACGAATGAGAAATAAATGGATCTATGGCCAAAATTTAGTTAACGGCATCGAGAGGTAGGCATTTCCTGTATTAAAATACATAGACAAACCAAATATGTATTTAATTAGGATAATAAAGATAGCTAAAAAATGAAATGGGTTACACTTTATAGTGGTTTCCAAATCAGTTTGGAAATCAAATGAAGCTGTGCCAGAAATATATCTACATATGGTGTACCTCTTAATGTCATTAACAAGATGGCTTAGTCCAGGCTAGTTTTAGTTCATCGACAAGAAACACTAAGGCATGCTTTTCGCAGGATGACTACCGTGTGGTGATACGCGGGATGCGGCAACCCTGCCACGATCTGAGCACTAGATAGAGTGCTCATTGACTGCATGGCCTTTTCCTTCATCACACCACCGTCCTAAATATCATTTATTTATTTATTTGAAATATGCTTCAACTTTTTTTATTATTTGATTTGTGTATTGAGAATTCTTAATACCATAGTTTGGAAGCTTAATGTCACAGAACTGAAAGTTAACATATTGTATTTAACCAGTTTTGTAAATACTATAAATGTGTGTTTAGTAACGCGTCTCTGAGAAACTTTAAAGTTCTATAACATTGGACTTACGTAAGATTACGCATAAAGTATTCACTTACCACTTTCAGTTTCGCCTGAATTTCCCGCAGTTTCCGCCTCGCTAGCACCTGTATGTGAGACGAAACTTGTTTCCTCGTGCGAGTTTTTCCTGTCCTGAGCTTTATGTATCTTGCTATTAACTCGTTTCTTCCTGTAATAAATATAAACGAATTTATTAGTGAGGTATATCTAATACAAAACGAATAATATTTGCTTAGCGACATCTAAATACTAATTTTCTACTTTCTTTTTATAGGCATAAGGAACTTTTTCAGTTGTGTGTGTGCTGTGAGTGGAGTGCAAACAAGCTGGTAGTTCATATAATCGGAAGTAATTACCGCTGTTAAATAAATTAGAGATATCATAGAATTTATTGCAACGCCTGAAATGGTACAAAACCATTTCCTAAAATACATGTTCTTGTATACCCAGTTAGCACTCATGCGATGCCACTTTTGCGTGAGAAATAAGGTGTTATGCTTCTTGTATCAAAGTTTCCACTAGCGGATCTAACTCACCCTCCAAACCTAAACTCAACAATTCCAACTATGTTGCGTTACGGCTGAAATAGGTTACGTAAAGAACAGCTATTTAAGCGAATTACGCAAAACTTACTATTTTTTTCTACTCTTCAATTGGATTTGTACCATTTATATAGTTTAAAGGAAATTGTCGACAAACAGAAAAATAAGACTATTGATTTTTAGTATTGTTTTAAATATACATTTAGAACAATACTTTAGACATCTTTATGATTCCGGATACGGACCCCTTAAATTGTGTATAATTAATAAAAAGACATAAAATCATGTCCCAATTGACATAGCCCGCGAAATGCTTCGCATAGCTGATTCAGACAAGGCACAATGCAATGTGGCGCGGGCCGCAGCAAATCCCGTTATGAAACAATTTTCAAAGTATTTTGAATAGCTATTTTCAATCGTTGAAACAGCAGTCCGGCTGGAATGCGGGGAGATTCGAAGGCAGCGTCTATTGTGACTTCATTTTCATAAAGTTAACAACTTTATTTTATTATTTATATATTTGTACTTTGATAATTTCTGTATTATGTTTATTCGTTATATTTCAATTAAGTAATAAAATTAATAAATATTAATTAAGTAATAAATAGGAAAATAAGTAAATATTAACATTGGAATAAAGGAAATTATTAATGGTAGACAACATTTCCATAACTAAAAGGTACCTAATCATTACGTAGTATAAAACAAAGTCGCTCTCGATGCTTAAATCTTTAAAACTACGCGGTAAAGTTTATATGTATAATGCATGCACACCCGTGCGAAGCCGGGGCGGGAAGCGAGTAGTAAATATACATCGAGGTATAATATAAAATCTGTTAGTATTCATATTCTGAATGTAAAATATTTTTAAGTATAAATTGTATTATAGTAGTAAGTTTTATAAACCCTGTTGTCTTTAGAAATATTCCACTATTAAATACTTTGAAAACTGTAAAACTTTGTATTTTCATAAAGCTTTAATTCAAGAATCTCGAATTAAAAATGAATGTATAGAGATATTTTTAATTATAACGTATATATTTCTGAATACGAAGGTGAAATAATTTTAATATTTTCTTTTCCTGAGGCAATATTTTAATCCTACTTATTAATTATTTATATACATTATAGGTAATTTAGGATAATAATCATTAATATTAATGTAGCTGTTATCATATAAATCTTTAACATTACTTGGCTCGAAACAGCACATTATCAATATATCCATAAACATATACATAATTCGACGTGTTCGTATATTAACTAATTATTTCAGTTCCATTATTGGACCAATTTAATTTGAGTAATAGTTTATTAATTCGTGGGCAAAATGGAGGAGCTGACCAAAGTAAATTGAAATCTCATTGAATTTGGGGAATGCGGTGGCGACGGGAGCCTGGTGACTGGTGCGAATTTAATTAACCCCTACCATGCTTGTTGAGGCGTACGAGCGTGTGTCTAGTTGTTCATATGCGACCCGTTAGGGCCAATTTATATGTCCAATATCAAAGGACGTTTGATAAACCAAGATCAACTTATAACACGACTGACTTGTTTCAAATGACGGCTGTCAGATACAATGAATATAATATTCATGGATTTTAAATATGACTAGTATTTTTCGTCAGTAATATTTTTTTAAATTTTGTGATGGAAAGAAAACATTTCGTATATATAATTTGTATGGAAATATTTTAATTTAGATAGAACTAGTAGATATATGATGTAATACGGGCAATAGTTATCCGGTTAATGCACATTTGCAAATTTGTACTACGTAAATAATTCGATTTCTACCCTGCAGGTTATTTGACTGTACAATATCTGTAGCCTAATATATAGGTATAGGCTACTTGTGAATACTACATCTTTTTTATAATATCAGAGTGTGGAATAAAGTTGTGTATTCAAATAGCTTGCACACACAAAACTTAGCATCAAATTAACGATGTTGAGTGATAATTTTTTAACTAGAAAATTCTAATATAAATGTAATGTAAATGCGAAGTTAATTTTATTTAGTTGTTACCTAAGTTTGTTAAGGACTTTTCATTCCTTTTTATATTTTTTTATTAATAATATTTGTCTTTGATAACTATAAAGTAAAATTCAATGAAGTATAGTATTTGTAACATAGAAATAGACTTGAAGACTAACGAAATAATGACTGTAGCTAGTCATATTACAAAGTTACTTGTAATCTATACTAATATTATAAATATATGCTAGTGTGTATGTCTATTTGTTACTTTTTCAATAAAGTTTGATTTGAAGGTATATTGTATAACAAGGAATGACATACGGTACTTTTAATTAAAAAGACGTACAAAGTTTTGAGTAGCAGGTAGTGTTATATAAATTCATAAGACTTATATATCATCGTTAATAAGTCGAGATTATATATATAATCTCGACTTATTAAACAATTAAATAAATATTTCATAAAATGTCTATAACAAACTGGTAACATAAATCCAATATCTGTGTTAAAAGAACAATTATCAAGTTCCGAGAATTGATTCCGGTCCCCAAGATTCCACCGTGACATTTTAGTTACTGAACTAAGAGGACGTCTACAATTTTATAACTCAAGACAATATTAAATTCAAAATTAGAAGGAGTACAAGCTTGAGAAACAAACTCTTGAAGACTGTTAAGTCGAACATTCCTGAAATTGCTACGAAATTATGGCACCATCGTAAACTTTTCACGGCGGGTGTTAAGCTAAAATTAGTGAGTGTGGCCACTCTAACAAATAGCTGTTAACACAAATTAGTAAAGAGAATAAACATGCATGTTATACTTTCTAGCCGTAACATCTGAGTGACACGGCGCCCGCGAATTGAGCATTAAGAGTGCTTTCACCCGGACAGTCGTATGCATCCTTCTATAAATAGTGCAGTGCAGAGGATCAACTCGAAACATTTCTATTCCACAGTGAATAGAAAAACAAGAGATCATTATTTATTAGTTGGTTAGTTAGCTAATTTGGTCGACGGGCAGTGCCGCGACGTACGACGCTACGCTCTCGCGCACTCTCGCGGAGCTCTATCTAAGAGGCGTGCGTGCGCGCAACCACCGCTTATATGTATGAATATTAATCAATTTCTTCAATATACTTAGCATTTAGATCACTTCGCATTCACTAATTGTAAATTACGAAAGCAATAAGGCTGAAATGTACCGCGCTACTTTGTTCTATCTATAGGCATTACTATGTTTTAAGGAGTTTTTAGAAACGTAATTTATTCGACAACTGGGGAGATATTGGAGATCCATCAGAAATACATTAACGTAGTACCGGAGGCATGATCTCGCGATTGTTTTCACTCGCAGAGGGTTTGGCGCCGTTGAATATATTTTTAATAAATATAAAATAATATAAGTATATATTTCATTTCATTATAGCTTTAAAATACATTTATATGTTTAAAAAATAAATCTGCACAAAATATTACCGTACTTCCGTATAGTTCCTTACATTATTACTTTTTCAGTATAATCCGTGTAATTTAAGTAGAGCCATTGATTAAGAAGTGCTTAAATATAATTCATTATTATAAGACTATGAATAAAAAGTTGTGGAGCATAAATGGAGCAACCGAGCGATAATATTTAGGCAGGGGCGGACTCTACCATATTTAGTCAGTTGACATCGCGTGTACGTTTTTAATTTTCGAATTATAATTAACTTTTTTTCATTTTAATTTGTGTATTTAATTATATTTATTTAAATAACGCATGAATTTTTCCAATTGAAGATACATCAACATGTAGGTATCTAGGGACACAGAAAATTGCTTGTCAATGGAAATGTGACAAAGATATGTCTGATAAAGGATACATTAGAATTTGAGTGAAATATGGGAGACGTAGCTGAAATTCACGCTGACCCAAACAGAAGCTATGCGAGGAGTCGCGGAAAGGGTTGAGTTGCGACGGGTCTAAGGAGGATTTCTTGGGAGACAATCGGGAGTTATGCCTGAAGGCGGGCGGGGCGCTAAACAACGGGCGAAGGCGGCCCGCCCCTTCTTTATATTTTCTTACTGCGTTCGCCGCCTAGCAGCGCGGCCGGGCCCCTTACACGCTCGCTCGCTCACTAATTGCGCATTCTTCGCATAGTTTAGCCCTCCCGGCGAACCCCTCCGCCCACACCATCCCGGACCACGTGAAGCCGTGCGCCGACGAAACTTTCATACTCCCAGGATATTGAGCGGTTTTGAATGTCTTAACTCACGAACGCGCTAGCACCACCAGTACACGCTTTGTCGGCAAACTGTTCCCAACCGACATGTCTAGTTGGCTCAGTTTGACCAGTTCCGACAACTTACTTACGTGCAACTACGACAGTCCCGACATCGCACGAGATCAATGCACCGACCGGCGATTCCACTATAATAGGTTTCGTCCGCAGAACTTTACAGAAACTATATTCATATATCATTCCTCATACCAACACACGTTATAATAAAAATTTTCCAACTGCAACTTTATTCAAACTCATTCCTAATGAAGAAGAAATTAAAAGCAATGATAACCGATAATAAAGTTAATTCTAATGTACCTAATGTAAAGGATGTTCTACACTAGTCATATCGATACTATGTACCCGTTCATGTAAAAAATA